CACGAAACCACGAAGCCACGGGATTGAATTTCGGGGGAAAGGGCTTAAAATCAAAAATTTTAGGATCTTAACGCTTCAAACTCACGCGACTCTATCTCAAAACGACGGCAAAACGTGAAAAATTTTCGAAATTTGAAAAACGCGAATCCAAGGAATTAAATTCCAGGGAAAGGGCTTAAAATCAAAAATTTTAGGGTCTTAGCTCTTCAAAGTCAACGGACTCACTCGCAAAATGACGAAAAAGGAGGAAAACTTTCGAAATTTGAAAAACGCGACGCCAAGAGATTGAATCCCAGGGAAAGGGTTCAAAATATCTTCGAAATTTGAAAAAACGCGAATCCAAGGAATTAAATTCGAGAGAAAGGGCTTAAAATCAAAAATTTTGCCATCTTAGCACCTCAAACGCACGGAATTCAACCCGAAAACGGCGGCAAAATGTGGAAAGTTTTCGAATTTTGAAAAATGCAAATCCAAGAAATTGAATTCCAGGGAGAGGGCTCAAAATCAAAAATTTTGGGAGTTTAGCGCTTCAAACGCACGAAATTCAATCCCAAAACGACAGCAAAACGTGGAGAATTTTCGAAATTTGAAGAATGCAAACCCAAGCACGAAGCTGAATTTCAGCGGAAGGGCTTAAAGTCCAAAAGTTTTGGGATCTTAGCGCTTGACTTCAAACGCACGAGACCCAATCCGCAAACGATGGCAAAACGTGGAAAATTTTCGAAATTTGACAACGCGCATCGCTTACATCTTTGCCTTGTTTATTTTCTTACTTTGGGGAGGAGGAGGATCCTAGTGGGAGGGATGTTATCGGACGCTCCAAGCTAGTATTTAATCCTCAAGTAGTAGACTACATCCTTGTTCAAACATTAACATTAAGATTTCTAATGATCTGGATCTCCAGATAGTTGCTGTGCTGCAAAGAAACTGTCTTGAAATATCAAATTTTTTCTGTCTAGATTCTCGAGTACCATCTTTTATAAATAATATCCGATCAAAGCGTTTCTTTCGAAGATAAAAATTCCTATTGATTCGTTTGAAAGTGAAGAAATTAATATTTGGTAGTACCTGTACAACTATAACTGATCTACAACGACCTAATCCTTAGATCCCCTCTTCTTCATCGGCTTCCGCCCCATCATCGACCATCTCAACGGCGTCATCGATCACCTGGACGATCTCTTCGTTTGCAACGGCAACATGAAAGGAGGGTCGGGGTCCTCGTGCGGTTCTATTTTCATAATATAATAATTATTCTCCACCTAGTGGCTAGTCCTAATAGCTGTCCTTCTGAATAAATTTTGTACGAGATGAACAATGCTTGCAACATGAAAGGAGGGTCGGGGTCCTCATGCGGATCTATTATAATCATTCTCCACCTAGTGGCTAGTCCTAATAGCTGTCCTTCTGAATAAATTTTGTACGAGATGAACAATAGTTATCATACTCTGACTCGTCTTCTAGAAGAAGTTGTTTTCTTGTTAAAACAAGGTCAATAAGTTTTTGTGCAAGTACTTCATCTCCACCTCCTTCTTGTCCTTCTCCTTATTTAGTCAAGTACACTCATAAAAATGCTCTGCGGCGAAAGCATCCTCAGTGCCGTCGACGAAGACCTCTTCCTTCGATCTCAAAGTCGTCACCTGTTTCTTAGAGTTTATTCATCATTACTGCAACTTCTGCTACATCAAGAACATTCATTCATGGCTTTTGTTATCTATGTCAAGAATAAGTAGCTGTTGATGTCTCACAAGGCTGTATCTTCTTTTAGGTGCACTAACAACTCCGAGAAGATTCTGAAAAATGGGTCATGTGTGATGGCATAACTTCATCACCACCTGGGGTGGCCAGGGTTTTACTTTCGACGACGCTTTCGTTGAAGCTTGAGCTCTGCTTGCTCTTGCTGTGTTCACCCTCTGTTTGGACAACCGTACGACCAAATCCTGGCATCAACGGCGTCCCAATCGGAGGAAATCCGGTGGTCAAGTTCATACTCGGGGTTCGCAAGACGGCTGCAAGTGGAGAGAATGCAGTTGTGATGTATCTTTTTGTTCAAGTTCATGAGGACGAAATCAATCATGGTAGAAAAGACAATCATGGCTGGCAATGGCTTGTGATGGTCATGGTGAACGTGATAGATAGATATATTTTCATTTGTGCCGATCGCGACAACCTGCTCCATGATCATCAAAAAGATTTTCGTCGCCATTTCAAGAATTCATTAGTAAAGTCAAAAAAGTAGTCAATATCACCATGCTGAACTGGCGCTGTAAGAAGGCTTGTCGTTGGAGCCGGGAGCGGTGGACGCGACTGACCGAAGATGCCTGCTGTAGTTGTTGTTCAGGTGAAATTATTTTTGCAGTTTTTCATGTACTCATACTAGTAGTGATTTCAATGGCAATCGCGTACTTCTCTTCCTCATGTTGTTGCTACCTGATATGATCCAGCAAAAAATTCAAAGAACTCAAAGTCCAAGACTAATAGTACATCAAATACAGTTTGTCAAATAGTAAGTACCCAAGTTCATGCCTATGGCTGGAGCAGCGAGGGATGTTGGACGGAACTGAAGACTACCACGGCTTACATCAATCGGTGCCCTTGGTGTGGCAGCCATTGCCATAGCCTGTCGTGTTTTTTCAAGACCAAGGTGAGCAGTGCTACGTGCAAGAGCGAGAAATTGAGAAGTAGGAAATGGACATAACAACAAGATGAAAATTCTAATTAAATTACAATATATTGGTGGAGCCAAGCTAACAACTAGGAAAAGAAAAAGGAAGGATAGTAGGTAAAGGATAGTATATAATGCTTCTATGAAGATCTCTTACAACTAGACGGAACTAGAACTTCTACCAGAAAATGAATTTACTCAACAAGAACGAGATCGAGTACGCCTTGCATGTAGCTGAGTTGTTCGATTGCTCCGAGATCGATGCTGAAGTTGCAAGGCACTCCATTTCCCTCCACAAGAACCTCGTCTTGTGTTTCAGCCTCTGCTGGTGTCTCAGGTGCTACCGGGGCTTCGAACACAGCCCGCTTTTCCTCGAACGACAAATAAGTCTCTTCAACCGGTGTGCCTGAAGCACGTGACTTTTCCTGATGAATGAGTAGTTGAATTTGTAGTGTTTTGATCTTGTTCTTTCTGACAATAATGGTGACTGCAAGTAAAGAAATTGAATTGCTAGATGAGTTGGAAATGAAGCTGGTTCTTGTTGTGGTTGTCGTGGTCTATCGTCGTGATCAAATATGTTGTGATACAAAAGATGACTGCAGCTACTGTGTTATTCATGGCAGTAGTAGCTGCTTATCGTTCTCGTTGTCTACTAGAGAAGAAAACATGAAAACTTCAGCGTCTACAATTACCTCAACAACGTTCAAGATCGGGATTTTTGATTCTTCCTGCTCCTCCTCCGGCTCAGCGATCGCGCTCTCTGTTTTTGAAGAGTCTCCTGATATGTGAAAAGCTTCATCTTCATCCATCAGCATCAATACTGTTAATTGTCTTTGAAAAATTATTTTGATTTACTTCACTGTAAGAGCATCATCATCATGGTCGTGCTCAATTATGGAAGTAGAAGCTGTAGTAGTACTGGTGGGTGTATTTACATATAATCTCGAGAGCCTTAGATTTAGAATTCCAGAAACGTTCTTTCTAACAAAAAACAAAAGATATTTTGCATCTTGATGATAGAACAACTAGTAATATTTATATACTGCATTGTGTTATAGTGAGTAGTACCTTCCTTTTCAGCGGGAGCATCAGCAGCGGGGGAGATGCATTTCTGGACGACTGCTTCTACTTCTGCTTTCTTTTCCACAATCTTGACATCCTCGACCAAGACCGGCTTAGAAAGCTTCTCCACCGGAGTTGTTATTAGATGATGAAGTTCAATCTTGAACAACATGAGGAGCAAGATAGATATTGTTCTTTCAGGTTCTACAACAACTTGTTGGGGTGGAGGAAGTAAGCAGTAGGAGAACCACCTTCACTACAAAAAAAAGCTTCAACAAGAGGATGGAAGGTCAACATCGGTCTTGTTGAACATCAATAATCTAGTACTCTTCCGACTAGTAGCAAAGAAATAATACAACATATTTGCAATTAGCGTGGTACTAACTTTGCTCATGAACAAGGCTGTCTTCATGTTGGATAGAGACAGAGGAAGATCGAGATCCTACTTATAATACATAATAACCATGCTTGTTTACTTCTACTATGTATTCTTAAAATTGCTTTTTCGACAGGTGCCGCTGGTTTCTTTTCGATGACAGTTGGTGCGAGGCTCTTCTCGATCGGCTTTTTAGCCGCGGTCACCTCGACCGGGGCTTCGACCACCGGTGGCTTCACTCCGCAGCACAGAGGCATCTTTGAGTATTCTTCGACTACGAAGATGAACTGCTAAACAAGCTGTTGCTGCAGAAGCAGAAGATGCAGAATTTTGCACTATGTTGATGTGTAGTAATGATTGTCTTCTTCGATGAAGATGCTGATGCTGAAAGAGATGGTCACAATTTCAATGTACAGACAAAGAGAAAGAGGTTAGCTTCTCCTTGCGTTTAAGTAATTTCGCCTTCCTAGACTTTCCAGAAAGGCTGCGGAACCAGAAGTTTTGGTACTAAGCGTAAGCCGTGGGGGGAAAATATTTGTCTTCTCAAGTGGAGAGGAGGGGTATCTTCCACGATATACACGATGGAAGTATTGCTAAAGAGATCGTTTTGTTGAGATGATCATAATGTTGTTTCCGTTTTTAAGTAGCAGTTTTGAAGAAGATAGAGCATCTTCATCAGATTTCTGACCTTACTTCTGAAACTTATTCTTATTGTAATATTTTCATTCCTCATGGACATCTACTACCAAAACCAAAACTATTGTCTATAACAGATTCAAAACTCTTCTCCTTCACATTCAACATTTTTTAGTATGACTTCAATCCTAGGTGCACTAACTGATAACCGTGTTTGCCTCATCTCTGACGTGTCTCTTCTTCATCTTCTCCCCCCTCCGGGACCAACTGAAAACTACTCTCTCAAATGATGACCACTCACACTCTTCTTGATCATCTTGAAAAAAATAGTTATTCGTGATGCATTGTCATTTATGGTCATGCTCATGGTCACTAGAAAAAACAAGTATACAAACATCCACATGAAGAATGAAGCATCTTGCTTGAAGATGTGCCCTCGTGCTCCTGTCCTCAACTCTTGTACTCACACGTCGACTCAAATATTAACGCTTCAGATTTTATCAGTCGGACAGAAATCGTCTCTCTCTTTAGAATTTTTCATGTCGTGATCTTGCAAATCCCATTCTTTTTACTCATCCTGAGAAATCGCAGACGGATAAACTTCTTGACCTTGGTAAGATGTGCTACTAAGAGTTTGGCAGCCCCACCTAGTAGAGACGGCGCGAATCTATTCGGCAAGCTGACTAAGATTGATGTCCCTGGCGACTTCTGCCCGCTACTCTAGCTTGTTGCTGTTGAATTGTCATTGGTAGTAAGTAATTTAACCCACTCACTGCACAGCAACAGGAATAAAGCGTCATGGCTTCTTCAAATCTTGAAGTAGACGTGGTCGTGATGAAACTGGAATTATGATGCACCACTTTATCTGAAGGTCATTACCAAAACATGCAATTCTCTTTCTGCTTGACTGTTCATTTCGATGTCTTGTCATTTCATGATACCGTGTGTCCTCGCCTTCATCTTCATCGAAAGAATTGGCGTTTCTGTTTCAGGGTCACTATTATAATCCTATAGGCCGGCTGCAAGTATTAAGTAGAAGTTTCAGCTCTGATGATCATGTAGCACCAGGAGGGCCAGCGACCATGGAGTTAGTAGAGTAGATAGTACTGCATAAAAATGGTGGCAATGGCAAAAGCATCCGATAATTCATTCATCATGTTAATGTTTCACGACTTGCAGCTCCTTCATCACGCACATAACTCCTGTTCGAATTCGACCAAACTATTCTTACAAGCATTCATAATTGCTGGTCCACCAAAGTCGATCAGCGCTAAAGTTCCTATTTGGATTTCGATTTGCCACCGTCAAAGCAAAACAAGTATTCATCATCTTCTGTGCCAGAACAGCGTCTCCTGCGTCTTCAAAAATTGCATCGAGAATAACATAGTGTTGAGGTTTTTTTAGTACAACGAACTATAAATTTGTTATTGTTTGTCTATATGAGCCATAAAGGTCTGCAATTCATCTAGGGGCTTGGAAGCATTCATCAGCTCCTGACTTCGCGTTGTTCAACGAGTTGTAATGTCAGTCTACTTATGTATTTGATCTACAACTTCAACTTTACAACATTTCATTGAGCAGTCTACTCTGATCTGCGTGTGCCTCTGCCCTATCTTCTTTTCTACAATTGTGCCCAGCACGTCTTTGCACACGCTTGTTTTCGTAGGAAGTTCTTTACCATCGTCATCCTTATCTTTGACGTTTACCCTTATATGTTGTTCACAGCACTACATGACAGTGAAGACAATCGCCGCGGAGAAATATTTCGTAATGTCTAAGTGAATCAATATGTGCTGTTGAATGTATCAAAGCGATAGAAAGTGAAAAATCTGCTATGTGATTTTTCCCTACTAGAAAAAACACACAGCCGCAGGAGGAACTGATTCTGATTATCAATTAAAAGAAAACTTATAGATACACAAAACCTCTTCTAACTAGTTGTAGATGTAGTTGTAGTTGTTCTTGCCATCAGGTTCAGGAGCAGCATCTTCATCTACTTGCTCAATATTGATGAATGGACAAGACGATGTTTAACAAGTAGACCAGTAGCCAGGAGATCTTCATCTACAACTTGCTCAAAAACAAAAATATGTATTTTTCGCCGCTACTAGTACCTCAATACGCAGCATATTCGCTTTCTTTGGCGACTACGCTGTTATCTACTAGGTCTTCCCACTCCCCAAGCGTTCGATTCCAGTGTTGAAAGGACAAGTCACTGGAGGACACCACCAGACCCCAGCTACGACGCGCAATTTCCCCCAAAAGCTGCGTGGCATTCCAGCTGGCATAACCCCAAAAGAGTTTTAGGCCTCCAACAATTTGACTCCCAGTCTCGCTGTCGTGATTCATGCTCCTCGTCCTCGTCGAGGTGGAACTCCTCGACGAGGTTGCACCAGCAGTAGCTCCACGATTAATATTTGATGATGTCCCAGTAGAAGTCGTCGTCCCTGATGTACGCAATTCTCGGCTCTTCTTTCGTGCCCAAACATTGCAAATCAGAGCGATGATGAGCGACAAATCCCCACCGAAGAGCGTGTTTTTGATTCGCAACTTCTGAGCCATCTGCCATGACAAAGGATCGGAACTCGCGATCGATAGAACCGTACTCAAACTGGCTTGGATCCTTTTCTTGCCAGTGGATGATGCACCTCCTGAAGCCAAAGAGCTACGACTACTTTTGCGCGCTCCACCACCTCCGAGTAGACCTGAAAGAGAACCTCCACGACTTGCACGACCACGACCTGAAGAAGACGCGTCGTAGACCACCTCACGACCAGCTGCATGTAGATGTACTTCCTCATCAACAGGAAATTCATCTCCACCATTTTCATCTTGCTGTGCTAGCAAACAGCTCGTTACATAATCAACCAAATCTCTCTCGTCTACCTTCTCCTGCAACAAGCTAGCATCTGTCAACGCCGGCAAGTCAATCAAGCCGAAGGCCTCAGCCGGTTCTACAGGACCCCCAATGCGGTGCTCGACTGGGTCGCAATTAGAGCTAGAATATAAGTGGTTTATACGGTCAGAGATGAACAGGTGACGAATTACTAGACGAACGACCAATAATAGGACTTGAAATTTTCACGATTATGATTTACGAAATCGAAATACAAATGCAAGTTGGTTGTAAGAAAAACAATGCTTCTGCAACTATATCTTTTCGCCTTAACAAGAATTCCAAGCACCACAAGCGCATCCACGGTCTGCTTGTAGTCCTGATCCCACTTTTGCTTGGGCGAAACGAAATATTCGTACCGGTCTCCTGGTAAAGCGCGGTTGACCCGATCGGGCAGTCGGTCCAGCAAGCGGTTGTTTGCGCAGTTAATCGCCAAAAGGGCACCGCCTCCGCGTTTGTTGGGGTCGTAGGGCTCGCAAAGGCAGATCAGGTAGACGCTCTCTGTGAAGTGCAAAAGTTTGTCCGCGATATCCGGATGCTTCTCGATGATTTCGAAGTTCTTCTCGCTTTTGGGCCGCGAGCTGACTAGCAAGTTGCCCTTCACGATTAATTGGGGGATGTCCTCACCCGTGTATTCGAGGATCGTGTCTCTCCTTGACGGCGCCTGGAACTCTTTTTTGAAAGGGCGGTCGCAGATGTTGCAAATCTCATCTATCCTGGTTTGATAGCGCGGGTGAGTGCTCTGCGTAACGAGAATGCTCTTCTGCCACTGCCGCAGGCACTGCAAATGGACCCATTGGGTGCTGCCGCGGCATTCGCAAGGCGCCACCAAAACGCCAGTGTCTACGAAACAGTACCGGCAGGCCTTCTCACTAACTGCAGACCCAGCATCGCCGGCTACCTCGTTGGCCTTCCACAGCGTCCGCAGCTTCTGTAGCTGCTCCTGCTGCTCTTCTTCCTCCACTGCATGAAAAAGCTCCACATAAATCTCATTCTGGGCGTTAAAATAGCTGCTGGCCTTGGCATATCGCCGTCGATCCTCCTTGCTTTTAAGTATGAACGCTGGCTGGGATTTTTTCATATTCAGGGGTTTCATCGTTACTTGATGTCAATGTCTCACTTATTAGTAATAGTTATCGATCAGAAAACCTCTTTCACTTTCAAAAAACCAAAATTTTTTTCATACTCCTTGTATAGAGGCTTAAAAGTAGCTATTGGGTTTAAGTATGTAGTTGAATTAGCTAGTTAAGTGGCAAGTGTGGCTGCGGAGGAGCAGGTGGAGCTGTCCGGCTGGTAGCATCAAGGGTGGTTGCGACAGGTACCATGGCAGAAGCCTTCACTGGATGAGAAGAATGTGATGAAACGGCAGAAATTTGACTCTATCTCGGTGCGCGGCACCACGGTGCCGCACACCACAAAGCCATCAAATTTCTTCAGTTTCATCTCATTCTTGCCATCCTGTGGAGAGTCCTGCCATCCACGTGAGGCAGCCACTCTTGCCACTCGCCGGACAGAGCTGCCTGCTCGCTCCACAGCCACGCCAATTTCTTAACTAGCTAGTTTAAAAAGCTACTTAATTAATAAACTACCTATTTTCTAATGGTAATAAGGGCGATATGAAAAAATTTTGGTTTTTTGAAAGTGAAAGAGGGTTTCCGTTCGATAATAGTATGTATATTATTATATAATACCTTCAAGTTCATGTTCAAACTACGTTCATTTTTGATAATACAACACCAAGTGTCTGCCTGCTTCCACCATCGTCGTGCATCCATGTTGTGAAAAAATAAAGGCAGAACAGGATCAGTAGCAGTAGCACTTGTAAGTAATGTAATAAGTAGGCCAAGGCTTCTTGTTCTTCGGGTCGAAGTTCTTGAAGTTCTTCATGTTCATTACAATTTAAGTTAGTTGTCAGGATATTAAGCAGTCCAAGGTCAAGTACTTAGTCGTCCGGCCATAACCAAGATGCTTCCGATGGATTCGTTTGTCTCCTCGTACATGTAACTCATTAAACCAATGAGGATTTTTTCGATCGTCCACGCTGGGTTCCAGCTCTCCTTGTGAAAATCGGACATTGAGAGACAAATGCGCTTGTTGATCTCGAAACGTCCAGAGGGCGTGAGCATTTTGATACTTGGCGGCTTCATCGGGAAATCAGGCGGAAACTCCAAGATGCCGTGGTATTTTCCTCCTGTGTACGGGTCTTGCACGCCTGAGATTACGAAGTGCCACTCTAGGAGATTAGTCTCTAGAGGCCGTGCGTCGATGTATTCAATTGGATTCTTCAGAATGCGGCGAAACTCCGTCAGAAGTCGCTTGTTCACCTGCCCGCTTTCTTGCTCCGCGGTCAATTGTTTTTTCTGGCTGCTTGATGATGCAGAAGAAGCTCCCGCTTCCTCACTCATCGTTCTTGACGGCTTCATCGCTTCTTTGATATTCTTAATCGTGCCTGCAAAGGAACCCACGACCGCGGGTGGAGCAGCGCTACTGCTGGGATTATTCTCAGTTCCGCCCGCGCTGCTCCTTTGCTCCTCACGTAATTGGTCCGCTACAGGTACTCGCTCAGGAATCTTTACGCTCAACGCGTTTGTCTTGTCCACAAAGACAATGAGATCATAGCATCTGCCGACACACATCTCTCCGTAATGCGACGAAAACTCAGTTTCTGGATGATACTGGACCCCGACCCAGCGCTGCAGGAGGGGATGATTAGACAACAGTGCGCAGCCTTCGGAAGTGAAGGGCTGCTTTCCGCCTTCAAGTTTGTCGATGGTGGAAACAGGAAGACACTGGATCTGACTTGTTCTTCGGACAGCGTCGCGACCGGGATAAGCCTCAGTAACCCACCAACCGTCAAGAGCACCAGCAGAATCGTAGTTCTGGATCTGCAACCGCACCTGTGCTAGCGAGCGCTGAGTTCCCTCGATGGTTTGCCTAGTGTATCATGTGTACAACTAGGTTCGTTGTTCTTCTTGTGGACGTGGAGGTCGTCGCGAAGAAAAATTATAATGAAGAGTTTTAATGATCTTAACCTCGGATATTTCAGGAATATGATCTTCATATTCACAAATCGAAGACCGGATCCGGACGCCTGCACAAAAATGGAATCTTCTCGCAATTCAATCAGGCACAACTTAGGAATATTAGACACTAGTAGTACAACTAGAAGTACCTCTTTACCCCAACGAAAGGCACCGACGGGTCTAGCTTCCGCCTCTTCGCTGCACTACCCTCTTCCGAGCCACGACCGGGTGGTTGCACATCGGGTGTGGCGTAGACTTCTGTGTGCACGCATCTATAGGGAACTTGCAAGGGCCCAGGCGCGTAGTCGCATGAAACGCTCGATGAGCTGGCGGCAGAAGTGCCAACGACGACTCCCCCACTGGAGCCTGATGAGGGTTTTGACTTTTTTGCTGCTCGACTGTTCCTCTGAGAGCTTCGTGCGCGTGCTAAAGCGCTCCCACTGGGCGCTTCGGTGTCTTCAGAGATGAAGCTCCCTGCTGCAAAATACCCCTGCTTGCCTTTAAATCGCATGTGCAAACACGCCTCCAAACTGGCGGGCAGACCTTTCTGCAGCTTCATCACCTGTCCGTCGGCGCCCCATTTGTGAGCCGCACGAACTTCACCGTGGTAGCTGTAGAATCCCACAATGAAGACGTTTTCTAAGGTGGATCGACACATTTGACCAAGATTCCACTTCTCGTTCCTAAGAAAGTTTTCCCCGCCCATCGGCGTTGCGGTGGCGTCTCCCACGTGGCTGTTGTGAGCCCAGACAACCACTTTCAGCTCGTTCTCAGGGATACCTAGTTGTAGAGACCGAAAGAACTATCGTGAGTTGAGGTAACAAAGCGAACTTCAACATTCAAACAGAAACTTAGTGAAGTCGCACTATTCTTGAATGATCAAAAATTTAAATTCCTAGAAAAATGAAGAGAGAGAAAGATGAGCATCATTATATATCGTGAAGAAAATCACCTTCATCGCAGATAGTGGGCAAGAACTGACACAAAGTATAAGAAATATACATCAGTACTGAGTGTTGCAATTATTCATGGATGATAAAAACACAAGGTTGTTACTACAGCAACTGCAAAAGTAGAAATAACTGTACCAAAAAGTTCCTGCGAGTTGGCCTTCAGCCTCATGATGGTTGTCATCATGTGCTGATCTCTCGCATTCCACGAGGCGCGAGAGCCTGGCGGTTCCAGTCGCTGTTTCGAGTAGTACTCGTCAGCTGCGATCATACACTCTAGGTTTTGCTCAGCGTTGAACTGATCCAGCTTTGAGCATCCGCGAAATTTGGAAGACGAGAGCAAAACGCCACCTCTAGATCCATCAGCGGTCGTGCGGTCGCCGAGGGCTGTGATTGAAGATGTTGTGGTATAATTCAGATTCATCGTAGTTGCTATAGTTGCGGATGATGATCTTTGCTGGGGTTTCTCGTCTTTGTCGATAAAATTTGTAGGTAAAAAGGAACTTTGCAAGGAAGCAGCAACAGGAGAGCAGGATGAAAAAAACTGACACTCCAACTCTAGCCTAAAGCTAAAAAAGATACAACTGCTTCCTTTTCTGCTCAGCGAGGATTGGAGGATTTTATTTTTCTTGTCTTAAAGGTCGACACTCAGTGGTCATTGATTCTGAAAGAAAAGGGCGCCACGCCTTTCCCCTTGTTTTTCCTTCATTTTCCCCTGTTCTCTCACTGACGGGCGCCCCTCTTCGATCTACTCAGTGACCCCGATCTAAATGGTGACCAATGAAAGAAGTTGAGCCTTAATTATCGTCTTCCCCTATTTCCCATTGCAGCTTGGACAATATCTGCGGCCACAAATCAGGCCGTTCTCTCGGATATAAGGTTTTTCGGAAGTCCTTTCCCAAGCCTTCTCTATCGTGGAAGTCGAAAAATTTCAAACACTCCTCTTTCGATTCTTCGCGACAGTAGCAATCCAGTCCAAAAAGATAGGGGCCATCAGAGCTTGCTCTTCGCCGCATCCACTCCACTAAGTCGTGAAATGGTTCGTTTTTCCACATCCAGTCAGGAAACCGAATACTGTCGGGAAACATCTTGCTTTTCTTCCGGTGCCAATATTAGAGGATGAGGAAGAGGACCTTTTTACCTAAAATTATATATGACCCAGGGCGCAAGGCGACGGCGCCCCCCCCTAGCGTAGGGGGGAGGGCACCGCGCAGCCCCGGGCCCCTTTTTCAGGCGTCTGCCGGGGGTGGAAGGCCTCTAAATAAGGGGGCCAAGTGACCGCCTCCGCTCCCTTCCAGCTGCCTGGCTGTTCCCTAAAGGCCTGCTCCGAGGTAGGTGGGAGGCTTCAAAACGGGCCCAAGGGACCGCCTGCGCCCCCTTCCAGGTGCCTGCTTGTGCCCTGAGTGCCTCCGATATGCTTCGCCGCCGCAGCAGCGCGCCGGTTGTGGAATGCCTCCGAAGGCGGCAAAAGGCGAGGGGCTGGACCCCCTGAGCCGTGCGGCCTGTACCCTCCGGGCCCTTGGTCATCGGCTTGCTGGCTCTTGCGACCGTCGCCGCCTTCGGCGGCCTTTTACCCCGGAGCCCTCCCGCCTGCGAGGGTCAGCAGAGGCCAGGAGGTCCATGAGGAACACGGAGAGAGGCGCAAGGGACCGCCTGCGCCAAGTTGTGACGCCTTCCACCACTAGAATCCGCGAAAATCAGCGCGGAAAAGCGCGCGCGCGCTCCACCACAGACCATACCACGGGGGGGATGCCGTGCAGCTCTAAAACATATTCATATATAATCATAAAATTAATCTTTGTCGTGGTGGAAACAAGGCATGTCTGCGGCGGTCTATTTCTTTTGATGATGATGATGATGATGATGATGATGATGATAGAGACAGCCAACAACTGATGTTCTTACAGGAACTATATATTTACCCTAGAAAAAGTATTTGGGGATGCGTTTTCAAAGATGCATTTGGCGGGACTAGAGCCTTAAACATACTGGTTCATGTGCCACATGAACGTCCAATCCGACTCACACAGCACACACGTGAACTTCTTGAACTGCAAAAGTGGACGTATGGTGAAACTGATAAAAGTAGTCATGTTGAGACTATTTCTAACATTAACCACACAGATGCACGAAAAGAAGTCTAATCGAACACGACGACGACCTACACTCACAAGATGAAAAGGAGCAACCTACACAAGTCTTCACAGGATGAAAAGCATCGAGAAAAAAAAATCAACTTTACACCAACATGAAATTGAATTTGAAGTACCTCAATGAGATACTTCGTTATCTCAGCTCGCAATTGGTAAAATTCGTGGGTGCCGTGAGTGCACTCACCGAGAAGCACCGTAGTCACGTCGTCTGGGATTTGGGCACCATTTCCTTTAAGGAAATCCTTAACGTCGCGGAATTCACGAAAGCCGTCCATTATATTTTCTGTTTCAATCACATGATAAAGAAATTCAAGTAGAATCCAAACGGGAGTTTCCCGACGAGATCAAGAGTAAGGCACGACCACGATCCATGAAATCATTCAACTAACATCAAGGCCATGGCTACGCCGCGCTGTTAATGTCATCTAGTTGTAGTAAAGATGAAACTAAGTCATTCTACCGCGAATGAAAAACCGAATTACATCAAGTCGACGCTGACGAGTATACTATTATACCAGTACTAATATTGTCTAATGTACAACATTCTGTACGGGTCAGGGGAAGGGTGAAGGTAGAAACACATTCATTTTTTGCAGACAGTCTGAAAAACAGTTTCAGATATGATTACGTAGAGAAAGGCCGTTCAGACGAGTCCCAAAGAGAAACTCAGCTTTTTCTTGATCATCGGTCTTCCTTCTATTAGGTCTACGTGTTTTATTCATCTAGCCACTCACACTAAGTAAAATATGTTGATCCTGCTCTCAAAATTCTCGGTGTTCTAACTCTCGCTTATTATGTCCAGCAAGACGAAGTGTGCTTAGTGTAAGTACGTGAATCACGACCACCGTGTCCTGTTCGCTCAAATATCAGTGACATCATCAAAAATCATCTGCTGCCGTGCTCAATGTCCTGTTGATCGAACTCGAACACATCAGGTACGATTGAGTAGCGCTTTCGTCCTACTTGTAAAGGTGCGCCAAGATCAAGAGCGGAGGGTGCATTGCTTCGTCTTATTGATTACTTTTCAGTTCCACTACTAGACAATGACGATATACATGTTGTATCTTCAAGTTCAGCAGCACCACCAAGAGTTGCGCATAACAATTGTAGCAATTTGTACAGGGGAATGAACTCGACGTCAACATTTTGTATCATTCGACGGGAACCTGCTGGGCCAGCCTCTCTTAGAAGACCAGTAGACCACATGCTGCCTATGAAGGAAGGCTCCTGATAGGAAAATATTTTCTGAGTTTGTAAGTCAACGACTTCATGTTCTTGTAAAAACTAAAACTCTAAAAAATTGTTGGAAAAATATTGATGATACTACAACGAACAACTACCTGTAAGAAGTATGGCAGGACGCTAGAACAGCATTCTTGACAAAAGTGAGGATATGTTTTCTTGACATAATTATAGAGCGTCTTACACATACAGCATTCATGGTGGTGCTACCTATATATAAATCTAAGAGACGCACTACTTGAGGAGCTTGTGACTCACCGCTGCATGCATTTTTATCATGTGCGAAGAATAACGCAGCAAGTCTACGAAGCACAGGTGATCTTCCACCCGCCTATAATACTGCTTGTTTATATTTTAGTTTTTGATTTTGCATGACCAAGAACATACTCATACTCGTCTACAGATACTGATGTTCTTCCTCATCTACTTGTATGGTCTCGCATAACAAACCGAGACAACTGCATCTGGTGCGGCTAGGCAGATGTCGGTACAAAATAAAAGGTGCTGCTGCAGAGGCGCCTTGTGCTGGTCTTCTTGTTCCATCATATTTCTTGACATAAAGTCGTCTTTCTATAACCGTGCTGACGGTGATTGCGATTGGTCTCCTCCGCGCGCCTGTCCGCTTCTGGAGGGCAAACACCCGCTGGTACAAGACGTTCTAGCTTGTTTCCTGATTTATTGTCAAGCTTAACTAATACTAAACTACTCGACAATTAGATGAAGAGAGAATCAAAATCCGATTTTTGTGCATTAATATGGTGTTGGCGACGCTGGTTTTGCTGATGTAGAAACCGTTTTTCGATACATCAATGCACTTCTTGCAAGAATCTTCAAAACACTATCATGTATACGGGTTAGATAGGGTGTGCATCTTACTCATCGTTGGATTGAATTGGAGGTCGAGGTGGGTATGGGTACTAGACAAGCGAACACTCTATGCAGCACGACCGACTGCATACAAGTCATCAAGGATGATAAATCGTTGACCACCAGTATGTTCTAGAAGATGGACGGCTGCTTTTGCACGAAAAGGCTCAGATTTTCTGGGTGACGAGTCGGAGGTCGTCGAGCTGCTTGGTGATCGTGATTTTGGACATCATGAGCTAAATAATACTTCCTCTTCATATTCAGGATCAGGACCAGCAGCAGCACACGGTGCGAAATGTCACGAAAGAGGACTTCATTTGGGCTCGCTATGACGAGGGGTGGGCTATGGATGCTAATGCTCTTACTTATTACGAGAAAAAGGTTCTCAATATATATAAATATATAATACACAGAGAAGTCGTGGTCGTCCTCTGCGTCTTCTCCATTTTTCTAAAAAAAATTCGCCACGACTGTGAGGCGAAAAAGAGTCACCGTCATGTCTTTGACAGGAATTTTCATGTACATCACGAGTACTTTATGAGCACTCTCGCCTACAACTAACTTCATCTACAAGCACAAGATCTTGATGCCTTCGCCTTTCCAACACCAACTTCCACAAGTGTTCAGACTGCAGTAACAACATTCCAACATCCATTTTTGTTCACCTACTCTAACTCTTATCGGGGCACCACACCTAAAAAAACGATCAGCAGGTAGGTAGGATAGTACAAGCTTACGTGCTGCTTTCGCTTCGCACGACTTGATCGATAGCAGCGACGACGTAAGCCAAATTGTTTTTGTTCAAACCGGCTAACGAAATGCGACCCGACTTTAGCAGGTAGATATGATGTTCCGAAATAAGACTCTCGCAGGCTTTCGTCGAGAGACCTAAGCGTGACGAAAAACATAAATTTGGAATTGGAGGAGGACATATTACGATAGAAGAAGGAGAACAAGCATTCGGAAAGTGATTCAAATCATAATTAGTACTTTTCTTATTTATCCAAATCTACAACTCACGATACAACTAGTTGTACTAGAAGATTAAAAATATACGGAGACAGAAGACCACGGTATATATATAAGGTTTTTGTTGTAAAATCCTCAACAGCAAAGAGACACATGTTGTCAATTTCGAGTAGTTGTACCTGTAAACGAGAACATGCCGATTTGATCCGTGATGTGGTGCCAGGTTCCCGGTGTGCCTTTTTCCTCTAGTCCGTTTCTCAAGCCCCATCTTACTTCGCCAATGCGATCAGCCATGAATTTCAGTTCACTCGTCCATTGGGTGTAGAGTGGTTCTGAGTTGAGGATTTTTGAAACTAACAAGGCACCGTGAATTGGCGGAGAGCTGTACATGGGTCGGATCACCAACTTAATCTGACTCAAGACCACAGCGGCTCGTTCCTCTGAAGAGCAAATTGCGTGCAGCATGCCGATCCGCTCTCCGTAGAGACCGAAATTAGAGCAGATGTGGACGGTATAAAAAAGCTTTGGATGATTATATATGTGCCAAGGATGGAGGCCCCCTCCTGTGGATGGAGCGGCTGGGGCGTCAGCGCGCTCTATTTTCCGCGGTGGTGACGTGTAAGGATTCCCGGGGGCACGGCCCTCAAGAAAAGGCGTAGCCGGCCTCCCCTTGCGGCTCTCCGCGTGTACCCCACAGGCGTCCCGACTCTTGGACCCTATCAGGGGGACGGCCTCCGGGGGCAGAAGGCCGCCGAAAGCAGCCACGGCCGCGAGGCCTGGCCCCTTTGGCACTCATCCCCCCAATTGGTGGCAGCGTCAGCCGCCGCCAAACGCCAGGGAGGTTGAGGACCAAAGGCAAGGAGGAGTGGGGGCAAGACGTGCCCGTCTGGGTTCTGTCGGATACATGTAGCACGGCGAAAGGGGTCAAGCCTTGCCACCTGCTGCCCTCGGAGGCCTCCCACCCGCCAAGAAAGTCCCCCAGTGAGGAGCCCGCACGTGGGAGGCCTGTCGGGTACATGCAACGCGCCAAGTCGGTCAAAACTTGCGCCCTTTGCCGCCTTTGGAAGCCTTCCACCCCCGGCCGTCGGTGCTTGAACGGCCTCAGGGGCTTGCGTTCTGTCGGGTACATGCAAGAAGCCGCGAGGGCGCGAAGGTGGGCGCTTGGAGGCCTTCCCGCCCGGCAGTCCCTCGAGGAAAAGTAGGATCCGGGGCTGGAGGTCCGCCCCTCAAAATTTAGACCGGGGGGCCTTCAGTCCTGAGTCCTGGAACATATGCAAGTAGATACATAGGTTGGATATTTGTGAAGGTGAACAACGCGATTTCTTAGCTGCTAAGATGAACATGAAAAGCATGGTCGTCATCAAGTGCATCTTCACTGTGCCACCTTCGAAGGATCCTAATATTCAGCGTAAACCAAAACCAAATCAAGATAAGCCGTAACTAAATTTTTCGCAAAAGACTGGCAAACGAAAAACTCAGGGCACTTTTCGAGGAAAAGCTCAATCACCTTACGATCGGTCTCCAAGCTTCCGCTCGCATAGCCTTTGGATTAGAAGTGCCACAAGTGGCAGGGAAAAGTATTTTATTCGAGGTTAGATGTCGATGAGGATCGATGCGAGTGACCACAAGGTGTGCTACGTCTCTAAGGGTCATTACAACTAGTTGTAACTTGTTGACACCATGATCATGATAATTTTGATTCTTGATGGTCCAAATTGCCTTAATGATACGCGCTGTCGAGAATGCAGATGTGTTTTTTCTTCAATAAGGCGGCTAAAATCTCTTGCCACTCTTCCCAGGTTGGATCCATACCAGTGGGATTATGTGCGCAAGGATGAATCAAGTACAAGGACCCCTCCTCAGCTGCCTCGATGTGGGCGATCCTGGGGGAGGTTGTGGTTCAGGTTCTTGTGAGTTTTTAAGATGTTGGAAGCAGAACAATCAAAATGATGAAAGCAAAACAGCTACAGTTTTCATTAATGTGAAAAATGTCCTGAAGATAGATGAAGATTTACATCTTCAGCTCCTACTCCACTACTTGTTGTCCAACTCAATCCAAATACCACTCCTTCACCCTGAGGCATTTTTTCTCTGCATTCCAGTATGGGTACTTTTCTGCCACCATACCCGCATTCTCGAAAATTGTTGGGTGGTTGCCCCACGTCGGGTCTGAGTAGTACACCTTCTTCGATTTCAAGTGAAGGGCAAGAAATTCAGCGACAACACGCAGCGCGCCCGTTCCCGAAAGGGCTGCCGTGCTCGCGATACGAGCGTCAGACTTGCCGAATAACAATTTCTGCGTAGCGTTCTGTTGCAGTTTTGGTTGTAGTTCTTTTGTCAAGAAGCCTCGGTACGAAGGGATACTATTTGTTATTATCGTGCTAAGTGCTAGTTCCGTAATGCACATGTTGATGCATTTACTAGACATACCGATGCTTACGCGAACGCGTGCTGCTGTAAATCAAAAAGTGCTTGTCTGTGCTTCAATCTTCGACGCTGCATTATACCAGAGTACTTCCTGCCAGAACAAATTATACTTGCAGCTGCGGATACTGATAAAAGCACCTTCAAACTGGGCATGCCATCAATCGGCGCATACTCTTTATCGACGCCGTTACCGAGTTCGCGTAGTAGTTCTTCCTCTGCTTTTTTCACAACTGGCAAAACCCACGGCACGCCTTCCTCTGTGCGATATGCGCCGATGCCCAGGTTCACTTTCTGAGGATGCGTGTCTGCCTTATACATGGCAGCAGTGTTCAAAATCGGGTCTGGCGGCGCCATGGCCAGGTGACCAAACATCGAGGACGAAGACGCCATCTCTTCTTTTTATCTTATTACTTTTCAAATTCAATAAATTTCAAAGAAGAACTAAAAAATACTTATACTAGGACAACACCACCTTGAACATTTCTATCTCTTGTAGTCCTTCTACGATAAATCCATTTGATAGGCGATCCCCGGTAAGCGAAAACGAAAGTCGTCGAGCAGATACTGATAGTAGTACCCACTAGTGCAATCAAATTAACACTCAAATAGATGATATTGATATAGAAATATATAAGTATGCTCTGGTGGTCCTTAGAGGTTCCACTTCGGCTGAAAAAGAGAAAAACTACATCAACATGTAAGAAAACGAACTTGTTCTACGCGAAGATAGCTGATGTAGCTCGCATTAAATGCAACATTACTAAATCGAATAAACCAGTACTAGTGCTCGCCGGACTAGCTGCAAGAGTAGTAGATAGGTCTGTTGTAGTAGATGCTAAACTAGGTGATGCTCTTGATGTGAAAAACTCATCAAACTTTCGGAACAGGAACTTCGAATAGAAATTCTAGTGATCTTCAAGACACGAAAATTGTAGTAGAAAATGTTCCAGAGCAGGCAATATCATGCATCATGTAGAAAAAGTGCTCCATGGATGTCCCTGATATAGAATATCAGAAAAAAAGGTTGAAATCGTAACAATATCGGATGCAGACGTAGCCTGCCTAGTGAAAAGTCGTAGACCACAAGATCACTTCTGCTTAGATAATAATTTCATTTTCAATCTTGATCTTCTCTCTGTCTCTCCTCAGGAGCCTCGATTTGAATATCTTCGGGTGTTCCTCGAGTGCCTCTTGTAGGTTCCTGCATCATGCTCTATGGATCAGTTTTTGTGTTCTAGCATGCTCGACGACTTGAGGTAAGAACAGAAACAGTAGTTATCCACTGAAACTCTAATCACTGTTTCTAAAAAGTTTTACTCATAGAACTCTCAGTGACCGACGAAGCACGTCCTCGTTTTTCCCTCTGTGCTCCACGAGCCAACACCCATTTCCGCTACAGAAGCTCCCCATGTCCGCGATCCCGCACGGCGGAGCCAATGCTGCCACAAGAGCCTTAGTGCCACTATGTGGCTAAGGAGCCTTAAGGCTAGACACGAAGCCGCGCGCTCGCAGTATGGCAGTATAATTGGGAAACATCATTGTGGATCTGTGGGCTAAAATGATCGCGCATGAGCTTGCGAGGCTGCATGTAAAAAGTGCGAGGCTCAGGTTGCACGTAAGTTTATAGTTTCTCGCCATCTTGATCTTGTTCATGACGCACATTGGCACTACTAAGTACTTTTTTTCTCCTTTTTCTTCTTGTTCTTCTTCTTTGTTTTACTTTTCTTCTGGTCCGTACGCTTTCGCTTTGGCTTTGCCACGTAGTTACCGCCAGGATTACCATACTCCTGCTCACCTCCATACGCCTGCTCACCTGCAGGATTAAGTGTCCACTGTTCGTACGGACCTCCATACGCCTGCTCACCTCCAGGATTTTTAGGTGTCCACTGTTCGTCTGCGGCCGCATCTGATCGAATCAGGCACTTCCGAAGGCAAATGAGAAGGAGGACAACGAATGCGATCACGGAAGCCAGCACGGCTAGGACAATCTCAGTTTGCGCAGAGCCAGAGCCAGCATCGGCTTGAGACTCGCCACGAGATCCTCCACCGGCAGTTCCCGTCGTCTCGCCAGGACAAGCCGCAGGCACAACTTCCGCCTGCTCCGCGAGGTTCCGCGGTGCTCCTCCTGTTGTCCCGCCCGAGCTCGGAGCACCCTCATCTGCTCCACCTCCTCCACCGGCACCTACCGTCGTCTCGCCAGGACCAGCCGCAGGCACAACTTCCGCCTGCTCCGCGGGGTTCCACGGTGCTCCTCCACTGGTGGCAGACGCAGACCTTGGCCGCTTCGTGACGAAACTCCCCGTTTTACGATCAACGCCGAGGGCTGGACGCACAACCAGCGCGCCACTCTCTTGCACATACTGTCGCGACGGTAGAGGAGCCGTGTATACATGATGCTCATTCACACCAGGCGGCAGACCCCGACCAAGGGCAACAAAATTCTCCCAAGGCATCCAGAAGGCATTATCCTCAGTGACGACGTCTCCATCGAGCCTCTCAAGGCACGCCTTTTCCTCCACCTTGTTGGAGAGCTTGAGCCACCTAACGTCGTGTCGTTTTTCCGTCCAGACTTTAGCCTCTTGGGGGTCCTGAGCAAAGGACGGCGGGTCCTGGCAAAAAGTCCGTACACGGTAGACACCGCGACCACGTGCCGAGTCAAAAAGCCGCTGCCGGGTGGCGCGCTGGTTGTCACTCGGACGCCGTTCTTGTGACAAATTTAGCAAGTGCAGAAGGCGCTCCGGCAGAAATTCGAAAGCGGTCCGAAGCCCGGGTCTACAGCTGCTCGAGGCAGCTCCCAGAGTCCCAACGTTGGTTGAAAGAGGCGGGCAGGGTTTGACCTGGGTATGACCGAAGTTGAAGACCTCGCAGTGATAGTCGTCCATCGGTAAGTCGCGCAGTTTTTCCGTCTTCATTTCCAAACTCTGTTCCTGCACCTCCTTGGCAGACCGTCCACGCCACACATAGGTGGTGGCGTCACCGACCGCGCGCTGCTGGATAGCGTAAATGAGAAGATAATCTCCCGCAGGTGGCAGATGATGGCCAACAGCGTCTGCGCTATTTGTCGTGGAAGGTGACGGAGCTACTTCCGATACAGGGAAGGCGAGTACGTCTAGCGCGGTAATGGCGTAGGGGCGGCTAGCTAGCTCAAGGCCAGGCGATACCTTTAACCATTGCGAGGCCTGTATGGAGAAGAGCGGTAGAGTCGACCTGTGCGTAACATAGGACACGGTAGCATAGTCCTCGTAGTGATCGGCCGCAAAGGTATCAAAAGAAGGCGCGGCCTTCGCGCTCCTTCGTACCTGCTGCTGCAATCGAAAAAACAGACACCTTTTTACGCCACCAATAGGGCCTGCTCTCGTGCGTGCAGCTGGTGCTGCTTCAATAGCATCAAGATGCCTCGGGTCCAAAAGCTCATGGCTCATTTCCGCGTCTCCACCGAGCGCATCATTTCCGCTGGAAAAAAGTCGCTCGAACACTGGCTGTAAAGAATTTCTCTGGTCCTGTGTATAAACACTTTTGATTTCTTTACCATCCGGAAAAAAAATCTTCTCGAGCCGCTCGCGTCGTGGAGCCATTTTTGCTCCGGCTTTGGTACTTGGAACCTCTCCAAAGTACTGCTCATATATCTGCGCTAGTACCGCTAGGGAAAACGACATGGCCGGATCCTTCTTTCCGCTGCTTGTGGCCCAATGCTTGTCCTCGTTTTCGAAAGCGAGACGTAGCTCCTCCAGGTTATCGCGCGGGCTCGTGATATGCTTGCCCGAATTCGTCTTTTTCTGACCCTGTTGGGACGCAGTCCCTGTTTTTACCTTCGATAGCACCGTACGCAACAAGTCCCGAGAGTCCTTTTTGAGAAGAAGGAACTCGTCCGTCAGAAAGGCTTCCTGACTCCACGGCTGACCAGCCGCTGCCACCGAATGAATATACTGTCTCCATGCTCCACGCCAATGTCGGATAACATATGCCTGCACTGCCTCCAAGACGCCGTAGAATAGCGAGCATCCTCGTGGGTCTAACATGTGCTCCATTTTGAACACGTCGACGGAACTGGTCCATCTCCGCTTAGTGTGGTCTGTGAACGTCAGGGCGAGCTTGTGGGACTCCAACATCAACGCCGCCCACGACACGGCCCCGCTCTTCGGTCTCGAAGCGGATCCACAGTTGGCAGCTCCCCAGGCGCAATTTGGTCCCGCGTTCCAACTCCAAATCGTACGACGAGAATTCTTCGCTTTATTTATTTTTTCACCACCATCACCGACAAGCATCCTCGTTGCAGACTGCACGAAATCAGGCGAATCCAGTTGGGGCACAATTCCTCGCAGGTGCAGGATTTTTTGCACCGCTTTCGCGAGGATTATTGATGACAACCTGAGTGAAGAGAGAGGGCTCAAGGCCACTGCTTCGTAGCCGGAAGGCTGCCACAGTGCCACGCGATCGTCGACAAAAACGGTCTTCCACGCTTCGTCCACGAAAAGCCGAACAGAATACACGCCAATCGGCGACCATTCAAAGCTGCTGACCCACCCGAGACTGCGCAGAGTCGCCAGGCAAACCTCGAGATCCAGCAGGAGTTCTTGCGAAACCCGCCATCCCACACTAAGAGGCGCCTCCCCATGGACCACATGCGTTTCGCTTATTTTGCAGTCGTCACCCTGGCCCTCCTGGATGAGAAGCCGATGCACTTTGCGCATTGTGGCGAAGGAGTCTATATTTGCAAGCGACGAAGTAGCTGCAATCGAAGCCCAGGCACCGGCGCTCGCCGCCCCATGTTGTCGGCCGGCAAGATCATGAAGCACTCGTAAACGCGAAACTGTCAAGCGCGATTGCATCGAATTGCTGACATCGAAACTTTGCGCCGTTAGAGTTGTGGCAGGATAGAAACAAGCTGCAAAGCGTCTCAGATTCTCGAAACTCTCTCTTTTTTGCGAAGCAGCGGCCTGCATCGCTATGCTCTTTTCTTCCTCGTCCTTTGTGCTAATTTGTGCCTTGCGTTGGGCTTCTCTCCACGTCGTAACAGCAGCCTTGCAGGCCGTCGCAGCGCGTTTTTTGGTGTCGTCGACGTTAGGGGGCGTGTAGCTCTCAAGTATTTTTTCGGCAACCGCAATAAATTGCGTATCGATCGCCACTGTCAGCTTTCCACCGCCAACGTTTGAAGGGTCCTGGTCCGGCGGTAGGGAAAAGGAAAATCCCAAGAATGGCCCTGCTTCTGGCAACGGCTCTGATCCTGTTCCTGGCGCAGCAGCAAGCTTGGGATTGAGCTTGTCCCAGTTTTCTTGCTGCTGAGATAAGCAGAAGTCTTCTATCTCCTCCCAACCGGGATCGTTTTTCGTCGCTACCACTCCCGTCACCTTGTTATCCGCCACGGCTTTTCTATAACATGCGGAGACCTCCTCTGCCGCCTTCTTCCCTAGCGGTGTTGCTCGATCAGGGGACAACCACGTGACGGGGCTGTGCTCAGAATCTAACGTCCCGGCAATTTTCTGCATTTGTGCCAGCGTGCGGCTCTTGGCACCGTGAAGATGCGACACCTCTGAGGTCTCCCCGTCCGCGAAGACCCCTCCCTCCGCAGTTTTGAGAGCGGACGAGGCGTCGGGGAGGCCCTGCGTACTCCTACCACTCGTCCTAGAGCTCAACGCATCTTCAGACTTCTCAAGCTTTTCCAAGTCAGCAAGCTCGAGCGGGATCGGTTCAAGCAATCTGTTCTCCCGAATGAACTTTAGCTTAGGCAGCTTGCGTTCGCTGATTATCATATGTGTCGGATTCTTCGACCCACTCCGGGGCGCGTCTTCCGTTCTGAGTAGGCGCACGAAAGCACGCCAGGGAACGTAAAAGCGCCGGCCACGGTGGTCTCTTTGGTTCGTATTCTCGTCGTACCGCTGGAGACAATGGTCCCGCTGTTGGGCTTCCAGCTCCACATGCTGCAAATCGAAAAACTCGGCAGCTTTTGAGTCCTCCAATGTCGTCGGGTCTCGTGGGGGCTTTCCTAGCATACCACCGCAGTCGGCTCTAACCTGGAAAACGCCATGCTTAAGGAGCACCTGGCGGAAGGTCTCTGATTGCGGACTAAAATACTTCATGACCTCACTCGCTTCCTCTGCGTTTTCCATCTCCCCCAGATCAGGAGTATTTAAAGCGTGCAAAATCAGGTCACCTGTAGAGCAGCCCGTGTCGCCTGGTGCTCTCAGCACAGCCACGTCGAACGCTCCTTTCCACGGCCTACAGGCTAGGCCAAGTCGAGTTTGCAACATCGTTGAGGGGGGCGCGCCCTCTCTATCCCAAGCCCCCACGGGCTTGAGAATGTCGGTCCCTGGCGGTGGCACAGTATCATCCGCATTCAGTTTATGATTCTTCAAAAGCTCACTCTTTTCTTCTATTGTCATGCCCGCAGGCCATGCATACGGGTTCCACACTCCAGTGCGCGTCGCGTGCGGATTGCGCAACTGGATCGCATAAATTAGCAAAAACTTGCTCACGCCGTCCTTCTTATGACTATCCGAGGACAGCGGGACTGCGAAGGTCTCAAGGGCCTCCACCGAGTACGCATGCCCCGCAAGAATTCCCGCAAACATGCCAGAGGAGTCCCCAATCAAATTCTGCACGTGCATGCCAAAGCTGAGGGAATGCAGAGATTTGATTTCTGTTTCGCTTCGCTCCGCTTTACGCTCGGCCGATTCGCCCATCGCGAAGCTACCAGACAGTCGCCTTTCTATTCCAGCTTCATTCAAATCTTCCAAGCGTGCTCTTAGACGAAAAAACATGCACTTCTGCTTGGACGTTCTTTCGGCTTTGGCAGACGTTGCGATCATCTTACCCCCATTTCGTTTTCCATGCTTTAGTGTGATGTCTTGTCCTAGCAGGAGCCTAAGTACTTGCGGGTGAAACGCCGGATCTTCGATGCGCTTCTCAGCAGCAGAAACAAACGCACTTGCTTCCTTTTCTGCTACCACTGGGGAGGCCGTGTTCGTCTCAAAGTTCTCACTCTCCAGATGCGCGAGAACTACTGCGGCAAGCTTCGGCCCAGCCTTGGCAAGAGGAGGAGACAAGTTTGCTGCTTCTCTCAGTGCTTGAATCACTAGAGACTCCGGCTCTTCAGTACTTGCAATCATTCCAAGAGCTCCCTGAAGCGCTTTCAAAGTACTGGCGTCGATAACATCTTCACCTTGTAAAAAACGAGCAACCCTTGACGCATCACCCTGGCCGCCTGGCCTGGTGCCCTTTTCCCTCTGTTTCCACTGCTTTCGAAGTCTCTTGAGAACGAGCCACTCCATCCGCTCTTCTAGCGAGACCCACAGGCGGCACTCACGTGGATCTAACAGGTGCTGCTCCTTTTTCTCTTCATGGTTGAGGATGTAGGTCGCAGATGTATGACTCGATTCGAGGTTTTCTATCTCTTTCTCCTCATATAAAGCCGACCTCTCTCCTATCGGATTAGTCCCTGACGCAGCGTCATGGGGTGTCCAGAACCAGCTCTTGTAGGTCGCGGCGACCCTCTGTTCTTCTCCGGCCTGCGACAGTTCCTCACCCAAACCGGCAAAAAGGAAAGAGGCTGTTGTTACCTGACCGCTCTCCATCTTTGTGTAGCCTCCCATCGCCTTGGCGACTGCCTTGATCAGAACCGTTATAGTGGCCGACCGATGTAGACCTACAGTCGAGCATCGACAATGGCTCGCTTCGCTTGAATCATCCGTGACCTTGATAGTTGCATCTTGGACCTTATTCACAGGAATACGATCATCGACGAGCACGTCACGAAAGGCTCCCCTGACGAATAGGCGGACACGGTATACACCAATTGACGACGGCTTGATCTCGCGAAGCCACCCCAATCGTGCGAAAACCTGCAGAACCCCGTAGATGTAACAATTTCCAAATTGCTCCTGCTGAATGTGTGCCACGCTGAGTGTATCACCGAAGCTAGCTAAAGCCGGTTGAGAGGATTTTGAGTAGGTGTTTCCTGTAACCCCAAAGCGCAACGCCTCTTGCTGGCAAGAGAAAAGTTTCCTCTCCTTCTGCAACCAGAAGCGTGACACATCCATTGTGCTATCCTTCACGGGTGAGAACAACCGCCGCATGCTGGTGTCCACTGAACTGTAGCGCTCTACTGCGCCTTGCGCAGTCTTTTCAACGTCGAGACGGTATGCATAGATCTGCATCGCTTGTACTTTGCTACTCGCGAAGACTCCAGCTCTGAGCTCCGAGTGCGCCAGCGCCGCATCCTTATCCAATTCGCTGAGGCAGTGTGCCTCGCTGTCAAGTGCGTTGCACAAAGCGTCGAACTTGAAGACGGTTTGTCCCATTTTGGTGGATATCGTAGAGCCTGGCGACGCTTTCCCCGTCATGCACTGTTGAAATTTCTGCTTTGCTTTTCTTGCTTCTTCCGCGGCATTGTCATCCTCTGAACGTTGCAACAAGGTCATGTCTACGAACGAGGACTGGTTTGAACATGACAGGAAGAGAAGTTCGTGGTCTTTTTCGCCTATTCCCGGCATTCGTGCATCTTTAACGCTACAGATACTGGCTGTTGCGTCACTATCAAGAATACCAACGCTGTGCTCTTCTCGTTCTCCTGCTGAGGAAGAGCTAAACGTAAACCAAGGGCTCACTGACGACAACCACGACCACACAAGAGTTGCTACTTGATTGATGTCACCAGCTAGCGTTGGGTGGAAGAACTCGGGCAGTGCGGCAAGCTCGGAACTCATCCCAAACGCATGCCATGAAGATGTTCTTGAAAGGTCCTCGGATTCATCATCTCGCGTTGCTGGAGTACCCAACGACCAGGTCGAATACATGCTTCTGGTACTGGTCCCATCCTCGACGATCTCCAGCATGGACTGATCTCCGGTACCAAGGAGGACTGCGCTTGGAAAAAGCTGTTCGAAAAAGGTCCAAAGGGGAAGCGTTGGAGGCTCCAGCGATGAAGACAGGACAACATCTGAAAAAAACAGACGCAGGCGCTCCTCACCGGCGATAACGTAAGCAGTCGCGACCTCACACGTGTCCTTGTCGCCAGACCCAAAGCATGCTAATGAATAGTGAACTGTAAACACGGTTACCGCGACAAGAATTAGGGTCAATACAACGCGCGCGGCCTGGAGAATTTGAATAAGCGCAAAAGTTCGCTGTCGCCCTCTTGGTCGATTCGTGAAGATGTAATCCTGTACCCCGTTCTTCCATGATGATGTTGCTTTCCCGACCTCCACAGTATTATCTTCATGTGCATTATCTCCTGCTGAACAACCGGTAACGCTAGGGTAATCCCGATCGGAACTGCTGTCCTTCTTGCTCACTAAGGTGATTTCATCACGCTCGCGAGCTCGTTGGAGCTTTTCGCGCCAAGTCCGCTTTATCAAAGCGGTCAAATCCTCATCCGAGTTGCTGTCCGTGCTACTGACACTGTCCTCCGGAGAGGGCGAGCCGTGTCCGCTCCCGGCTCTTGGAGACTTCTTGCCCAACAAGAACAGCATTACGATTTCCATGCATTCGCCGCTGCTGGCTCAGCCCTCCGATTATGTTCGAGCAGTCGATACGTTCAGCACGACATCAAGGACCGGCACGCTTATGGATTCAATCCAAAGCTGACAGGGGAAGGCGTTTGGTGTGATGCCTCCAGCGCATCACCTGAGGACCACGACGGGGAACCGAGACTCCCCATGCCTTCTGTTCAACATCTTGATGTTCATTGAATTACAGTTGTTCCATGATCGTGCTTTTCCTTCACGACCTATCAACTACATCAGCATGCTCGCGATAAGTACTGATGTTGTAGAAGTACTACGACACCGACAAGAAACGTAACGACATGAAACCGATACGAAATCGAAAATGTAAATGATGACAAGAACATGGGACATTATCGTAATTTAGCTCTTCGTCATTTCTATTTGGAATTTTGCTCTTCCATATTTCTATTTGGACAATTGCATTCGCCTTCAGTTCTTACTTGCGCCATACTTTACGCGTGTTAGTTACGGGCCTCAAGCTAAGCATATGGAGCGCAGACTCGAGTATCAGAAAGACCAAACCGAGTCAACTTTTCAGAACAGCCTAAAACATGCTTCGCTGGAGAAAGCAAGCCTCGTTCTTGAGTCGATTCGTGAGCATTTATATTAGCAGCTGTTGTTGACGTAGACAATGACTGCCTTTTGCTTTTCTCATTAATATGGTGAAAAAAGTCGTGCATCATTCGCACAACGAACAACGAGAAAGACGTAGATGTAGAGCCAAGAAGCGAACGAGTCTAGTCACAAAAGCAACGCATGCCAATGCCTTTTTCGGTTAAGTCCATATTTATTATGATTATCATCTCCCGTGCATTGATCACTTACATCATCTTCACAGTGGAAAGAAAGGAAAAAAACTTCTTATGTATCTATGATTATCTAGTATGCACCATAAAATACGCTTACGCAGTAGTTGTGTTTATAATCATATTCATAAGAACAGATACTTCTGTTAATCTCATGACAAGCAATGTTATGAAAGGATCGGACTGCCTGAACCTACTAGATGGAAAAAATTGACGATTTTCTGGACGGAAAAAAATATACGAAGAGGTTCTATCAGACGGAAAAAACATCTCAAGTACTAGGTAGAAAACTGTGTTGAGGGTTTTTACAACCGTGCTCTGCCGAAGAGGTGAATCCCTACTAGAGCGTTGTACTACTTTTTCATGATCCTAGAAGTCGTTCCAGGAGTCGAGACTTCTTCGCGTTATAATGTTAATCAGCGAACCATAGAACTTTCAGGAATCGTCGTTCCGTTTTGGCGGTTGGCTGTCCCACCTCACGCTTCTGAGACGGATCACGTCCATCGAAGATCTCTTTTCCACCAGCGCCATACATCTTCAGATTTGGCGCTGATTTGCCGACACCCGTATCCGGTAGGATGCGATTTCCGAAACGGAGGCGGAGACGGTTCTGTAATCGTCAGCGTGATGTCTTCAAAGTTTAAGGTGAGTAGTCCATCGATTCCTAGTCACAAGCGTCAAATTGACGTCACTTGCTAGTTTAGCAATGATCTCACTAGTATCACTCGTCCGTGTTGGTGTTGGTAGTTTAGCAATATGATTTAGTTTTCTACTCTTCTTGATGTTGTCCTTGTTGCCCCATCAGGAGGACCGTGACCGTCCACTGGTAGAAATAAACCGTCTGACGAGAAGAAGTTTGAAGCTCATCCTGCAGAACAATAAGCACAAAGAAGAAAAATACGTGCGGCACGAATTTGACGCGACACCACATATCAGGTTTTTTTCCGCTTCCACGACGTTCACGTTTTTCCTCCGCTTCCCGAATGAAACGCGCAACGATTGTTAGAAGAAGCTATAATGGGACACCATTTTTCAAAACGGCGAGCAATGGGGCATATCAAGATCATATTCGTGTGAGACTATCTTCTCGGTACAATGCATAGGTCGTCTGAGGCTGGTAGTGCAACAACAAGAACCACAAATACCAACATGCATGCGCAGCTGTATGGTATGCATGGAAGAAGTAAGAAACTCTAGCGGCTTAATTATATGCTTATTTCTCTTCTTGTCCATAAGAAGTATATGACATCTGTGGCCGTGCGACTGGAGCCGTTGGGTACTGCAACCGGCGCGAGGCCTCCGGTGCAACTCGGTACCCATACTGTCACGTGGCCGCCTGGGTTGTCCAAACGCTGCGGTTGAGGAGGCAGAGGCGGCAGCTTCGGTTCGGGTTCAGGGCAATAGATGGGCTCCGGACACACAGGTTTCGGGCATACTGGCTGGGGACAAGCCGGTGCCGGCGGGCACTTTGTGTTTCAGGTTGCGATAATGAAGCTGGTCGGGCATTACGAGATCCATAGCCACACGATGATCATGTTCGTTCTTGAATCGTTAATCGTTTAGAGAGACCAAAGCATGGAGTTCTTGTCATTCATGTAGTTGGAGTACTAGTAGAGGTACTCTACTTCTACTAGAACTACTTAAATAGTGCGATAAATGTCAATTAGTACCGTAGCAGCCGCAGGCGCATCGGGCCACCTCCAGTTGCCCTCTTGGTTAATGTCGTTTCCGCCGATCCACACTGTCCAGCGACGGCCCTGGATCAGGCTTCGCACGACATTGTTTTCGCCTCCGTTGGTGATGATCGCCAATGTCGCACTTTGCCGATAACATTCCGCCGCTGCCTGGTCCCAAGAACGCGACTGAGTGAAGACTTTGTAGGACACGGCATCAGCGCCCCCACCGTTTCGGTGACATCGCCACCCATTGCGTCCGTCGCACACAGAGGCTTTTGAGCAAACGAAGTAGAAACTTAGACTGCTCGTCAAGCAAGGACGAGGTAGAGAAGATCACGCTCTCGCTCAAAGTGAAACAAGTGACCGAGGGCTAGATCTACTACTACAACCAAAAAAATTGTTGCATGACCACGACGATCGTGGACGAAGACCAATATATAAGTACCCTGGTGCTGAGGACAACCTGCTGAGCCCGAGGTTGACGCTGAAGATGAAGTATCAGTGGCACTGTGGCACTACGCCTATCAGAGGTTCATAACAGTCGATGCCCACAGGATAAGTCGTTCCAGCGGCCATTCGCGATCATGGTCATGCAGTCCTCGTGTCCTCCCCAGTTATTCGGCTCACCTCTTAGAACTGCCCGTAATTCATCTTTCAAGTGCAACATCCTTGAAAAGTATGGGGGAGGATTCCCCTGTGAAGGTACTCCCCCACACGTTTCAGGGATGCTTCCAAAGATGGATTAGCTACAATCTTAAACCTCGGTTCCAGTGGGTATAACCCAATCGCAATCCATCTGGCTGCGTTTGGCTTGATTTAGATGTTGATGTAGAGGACCTCTTCGTCTGTAGACGAGAGGGGGAGAATCCGTCTTCGTGGTCTCGAGAGGATGAGAAAAATCCGAGCGCAAATGAGGTAGGAGATTTAGTCGCATTTCTCCCATCAATACGTCTAATTACAGGCGCTGACGGCCACCCCCGATCGTCCTCATCTTGTAGTTGTTGTTCCTCATTATGCAACGAGACTTCATCTTTCATCGTTCCGTTCGCAGCTACGGTTGGCGCGAGCTCGAGTTGTGCAGGATGCTCTTCGTCGACTCCAAAATCACGATCGTACTGTAGGTCGGCACCTCGTCTCGTCTTTATTTCAACATTCTCTTGACGATAATTTTTATACTGAGTCGTGTAGTCTGCGACCTCGTCGAAGACCTCGACGTAGTCTCGACGTCTTGCTTCATCTGCTGCATCGCTACTTCGAAGCTTTTTCTGCACTTCTTGCTGTGCAACACCTACGTGGTGCTGAAAGAGTCTTTCAAGCAACCCTCGTTTGCGGCTTTCGACTGACGTTGTCGACAGCACCAGAAACTCTACCAGGAGATTCCCAATCCTGCTCCTCAAGGGAGGACGACCGTGCTTGTCGCAGGACATTTTCATCACCGCGAAGAGAACTTGTGGTTCTGGTGCCGAAAAAATGCGATGCTGGTGTTCAGGAACTGCTGAAGATTTTTATCTTCACACTCGTGACTCATCTTGAAAAGTGGCCTACATGCTCATTAGAAGTTGTCCTTGCTTAGTGCGTGCTGCAGGAGCAATACGCTCCTACTTCGCCCCATCAACCGTATGAAGCCTTGTTCAAACTTGTGCCTCATAAGGTATCACTGATCGCAGGAATTAGCCAGAGTGGTCAGGAGATCAAAAAGTCACTTGCCACGTTTTCTATTAGTGATGGTATCTGAGCCTGAGTCTCGGTATCCAATGCAGTGGCAATTTCTAAACTCAAATGCAGTGGCAATTTTTTGTCAATGCTGTTCTTTCAGTTTGACGCTTTCTCATAGACACTCCGTCTGTTCTTGCCGTATCTCTGATTTTTCAGCGATGATATCCACCTTCACCTCTCTCGTAATATCAACGAAAGCACTCTCTCGTCATATCAACGAGTATCTTTCCGACCTACTTGTGCTTTCTCGCGTGGCGAAGGTCCTAGACTTATTTTTCAATTATCTTATGAAGCCACCAACATATTTTCAACAGCACAACTTCAACACGAAGAACTTCTACAGTAAGAATTAATATTCCTGCTTGTAGGAGCTAGGGCCACGTCGCGCGCTAAAACTCGTAAGTCAAGAACAGGAGGAGATGCTGAAGGCTCTTATTTATTCAGGTGTCCATCCTCGGTATTGAAGTTGATATCGTGGCAGTTGTGAGTGAAAGAATCAGGTATTGGTCACAGAAAAATTGAAATCATGTCTGCCACTTCATGCTGCGGAGACGAGCGAGAAAATGGTAAGTAGTAGTAAAGCCAATGCTCAAATCAATGCTGGTCGTCCTGGTCGTGGTCGTGGAGACATTTTTGCAACTTTATTGTGTTCTTCCATATATTTGCGCACAAATTTCTCCTGAACATGTTGTTTTGTAGTTGTACTTGTAGCCACTCTTTCTCTTGTTCCTTCCCTGTTGGCGTTAATTTGAGTGCTGCAATGGCCCGAATGATAGCAGAGAATACACTTACAAATAGAGGTGGTCGCTACCACGTACTAGCAAGTTGACCACGAAGTCTTGCTGTTGCTGAAAATTGAATTTCATATTTTAAGGATCATGAGTAGATGATTTGTATGCTCGTGTTGTTTCAATATCAATTCATCCCGTTTAGGGTTACTAGGTCTAGGTCAATTTATCATGATAATTACGATTAGGATTACAACAATATTCATGTTAGTACTTCGTAGTCTGTCTATTAGTGTTGAAAAGAAGATTTTAGTTATTGTCTTTTGGTAGTGAGCAGTAGTTGTATCATCGAAGTGGTCGTGGTGATGAGTATAACCAGAACATTATCATGTAATGGAGATTCTTGGATCATGTCTCTCCTTTATTAGTTCCTGCAGGAATCATCAAGACCACAAATATTGATTTTCAAATCCAAGAAGACATTATTTTACAACCGCTGCAGATGAACAATGCGAAAGGGAAAGGAGAATCATACATAGAACTCGTCGTTTTCAACACAAATCTGCACACCGAGTAGTACAACAATTTACTTTTTCTACAGTCTCACTCGTCTCGATGTTCCCTTCTCCTGTAAGTCAAAGATGAAACGCATTTACTGGCACCGTGGAGTGTTTGATTTGAGGCGAGAATGCGAATAGTTCTTTTCTCTTCACCTATACTTTGTGAAAGTGATGCTGAAGACATCATGATAGTTGCAACGGTCGCGAATAAAGGCTGCCAACATACGATCAACATGACAACCAGGACACTCATCTCCATTCAGAACAGCCAGAGTTATCCTGATGATCATGAACTTATTTTTTACCACAGGCTGGGGGACGTCTTGTACAAAAAATGAAGAAGCACGCAGCACTCCTTGACTTTGACAGTCAGACATGAAACACGACGGCGAGCAACACACGACAAAAGTTACATACGACCTGGTCAACATCGAGGCTCGTGGTCATCTTGGACACCATAGGCGGAAGCGATCCTCGGAACGGCTAATTCTTGCAGCAATATGACGCAGAAGTGCTCACTGTGTCTGCAACTGCAGTACGTATGCTCTTGTCCTCAACACAGACAACGAATACAAGAGCATGAGACAGGCAAAAATTACCTGCTCCCAAGCAGCAAGAATATCTTCAAAAACATATTTTCATTAGGCATGATCATGCACATTCGTTGCAGTGCCGACCAGGTCATGATACATGTACTTACAAGAACCCGACCTGTTTTTAATTGCAGCATATGCAAATGCACTGCCATCGCCCCGTCTGAAAGATAAAAGACAGCCAGAATTGAAGGTCTTTTCTTGTCTTAGACTTTGAGGTCTCTGATAACAGAATCTATCATTGGTCCTATCGTTCGGAGTCTTCGAAGCTCAACAGCAAGTTTTTCGAGCGTCTCCCTCGAATCTGGCGAAAGGGGTGCAAGCACTTCAAAAACACTGCAGGAAGAATGTTCTTTTGCAAACTTCCACTCCCCGGTCCCCCACGATCGAACCAGATCACAACACTTCTCAGCTATTCTTCGCTTGAACTCGGCACAAGCCACAGGCGACCCACCTTCACAATGTAACGCTACAGGAGCCACGCCATCATAGAATTATACTTAGAGCAGATGCGTTTCGGACTGCTCAGAATCCATGATCATATCAAACAAGAATAAGTACTAATCAATAGTTAGTATTGCTACGCTTTATATGATTTCTTATGCACCCGCACAAAGAAATGTGGGCAGATGACTGGGTCTGCGGAGAACGATGCCTAGTACTAGTTGTAGTGCTGGGTTCCATTCGGCATTGGTCGAAAATTTTCACTTAAAATGCGTGATACTGACATTTACCTCAACAAACTAGAAGTACCAACATTGTGGTTTCATAATGTTGTCTGAGGACGTATGTCTCCAAATGGATCCCGTTCATGCGTTCGTCACCCCATTCAGGACGGCTAACATGCATATACGCCTGCGGTGGATTCTCTAAACGCACTTCCCAACCATCTTGCTGGAACTCTGGCACAAGAATTTCGGCGAAACCAGCTTTGTACTTGAGTAAGTGTAAGAGTTCTTGTTCGGAATCTATCTTGCTACCGGAATCATCTCGTATTAGTTGTTCCATTTGCTGGCCCATATTTTTCAGATAATGATGAATGATGTCAGGACTGAAAACTCAGCTGCTTGTCCTAGTTTTTGCTGGTAATCGTAATTGCCTCAGACATCATTAAGCAAGAGAGACTACTAGTCAAAAGGTAGTTGAAGTACTCCTGTTCTTCTCCTGTCCTCTCCCCCTGGTGCTAGGTTAAAGACCGAATATTCTAGACGAATATAACGGGAGAAAAGAACCACGTCCAGCACCATCAATACAAGATAGAATTAGAATGAGTGAATTGTACAACTAAGCTTGTCACTACAAGATCCGCTTCCACTTTGCTGATCATGAATGATGGTTGTATACCTATACCAAGAACAGCGACCACCATTACAATACAACCTCAACAACAAGAGGAATTCGATCATGCTAGTTCTTGTGCAAGCAAGAACATTGATTTCGTGTACCGATCGAACAATTTTTTTGGTACGTTTTCATCTGCAAGCAGCACTTGCACAAGAACGGCACCAACACTAGTACTAGCAACCCGAAAAGTGTACTGCCGTCCTCTGGAGGTTTCTGAGGGAGGAGGAGGGCCCCGTGTTCACGGCAGATGATCATCTTCACAAAAACTCGATGAAGACATTGAAGATTCTATACTACCCACGAAGCTGCTCTTTGTGGATATTTTTCCAGTGGATCGTTGATGTGGATAACTCACTATAATAATACGCGTAATAGAGTGTAGATTCAAATTCAGAAGATTCTGATGAGGACTCACTTGTCTTTCTGTACAAATTTGAAGAGACACGATACTTATCCAAGCACCATACGATGTTATTTTACATTTCTAGATGCTACCAGTAGAAAGCTTGGTTTTCCAAAATACGAAACAGGTACCCAATTTGTCTTTCGTCTAGAAGAAGATAAGGAGTCCGAGAAAAATGCAAGTTTTTTCAGAGTAGAAATGATCGGTGCCGCCCTCAATACACATCCCATTAGTTTTGAAGAATTTCAATTTGTTATAAGATATATGTTGAGGGGAGCACCAAAACTTTTCCAATTTTTCAATTTCAAAAAGGTAACGAAAAACAAACCTATATACATTATATGGTGTTAGCATTATCTGTAGGAATTTCCCACTGCGTTTTCTTTGCGCGAAACTGCTGTCCTCAGACTGAGGGCAACAAGACGCGAGTCATTCCCGGTAGCTCCAATTTGCGTTCGCATGCGCATTACCCCTGCTCAAATGAATCCTAGTGCTAGTCATGTTGTTGTTGACATTTGTTGCTGTTGATATTGATGCATGTGATGATTTTTCTTTGCTGAGAAAATGATATTCATAGTCTAATGGTTTATTTAGCGTGATAGTAGTGCTTGTTGAGTATGTGAGCGATGTTAGTGTTAGAGTTAGTCGTGAACAATGTGAAAGATCAACTATTAATAGATACAATGTTCGAATATGCTGTTTTTATTTAGTACTTTCAAAAATGACATTGACGATGTAGCACTTTCGGTTTAGGTTCTAACCGTGACCCCAGCAGACCTCACTTGTGAGCGCTGCTCGGTCTTCGAGGTGAACCTTGAGGAGAGCCCTGCGGCGATCCTTGCGCACTGCCTGGCGGCCGATAGATGACGCCGAATACAGGAGGCAGATCATACGACCCCGGACCGACGTCTTCCGTTGTGCCACCTTGATTGTTGATTGGAAGTAGAAGTTTGTTGTCGTGTTTCGATTACTCCTACTACAATATTGGCAACTCTGTGAAAGTCATAAGTAGAAAAGGGATCAAGGCAAAGCTATGCAAGAAGAGTGAATGATGGTGAAAGCAAAACAAAGTAGTACTCATAATCGGTTTGAGGTTCTTCGGTCGACCTCCTATTCTGAACTTTTTGTATTGCTCTTTCCGAAGTAATCCAGGGGGTGCATAATCCGGACCACGTTCGCATCCTTTGAACTGCGTCGGAAACGAAAACCTTGTCGAGGTCGAGGAGTTGACTTCTTTGAATTCAACATGGGCGCGGAATCACGAGAAGGAACTACAAAGACTGTCTACTAACTTGGAAAGTAGTAAAAAGATACAATCTAAAAAATATTTATAACCCTATCGTGTCGTCGCTCTTGTCGTGTTCTTTGTGTTTCTTCTAGCAGTAGGAGTAGCCCATCAAACATGATGTAATAATATGAAATAAAGCAACGCAAGTGTAGTACCTTTCCTGCGATCCCATGGTGCCAATCATACTCTTCGGCCTGCATAATGTGTCCTTAAGCTTCATCACGAAGTCTTCTTTCGCCTGTTTCTTCGTGAACGCCGTCTCCGATTCATATGAACCAGGCCCGACATTATCCGGCGTACTAACTGAAAATATTGTCGTTGGGGAGAACACGAGGCGCATGCAAGAACAACAAGATATAATGGGAAAACAACACATACACAATAAAATGTACACACTGGTGCCTGCTCTTCGTTCGTGGTAAAAGTTGTAGTTGTAGAACGTAGTAGGATCATTAGGATATTTTTAACCAAGTAGCGCTATAAAAAACTAGCACGAAAATGATCAAATACTAAGTAAAGCTTTTCCCTTTTTTCTTCCGGGCATAGGGTAGTGTCGGAATGTCGATTGGTCTTCCATGGTTGGCGGGTCGAGGTCTGGTCCCATCGCAGATCCGGTGGATTATTAGAAAAGCCTCCGACTGTGAAAAGTCCGAGGTCAACATCAACAAGAAGTTCTCAGTGCAAGAACTACAGATACAGTCTGTAATAGTGATAAAAGTCGTGGATCTTCATGTCATGTGTACATCTCTAGCGACTATTCCTCATCACGGGCAAGATGAGACAGTTCCTGGTGCGTTCAGTAGATTATCCGGTAAGTTGTAAAATTCTTAACAGTATATTTTGATTTTCCTCCGATACAGATTATTCAGACGGTAAGTGGCAGTTGAAGTTGTTATAGCCTTAAAACTTGGGCGGATACTTGAATTTCTCGCCAACGCCCATAATCCACGTATTGCCAAACTTGCTGTCCGCCTTCATATTCACCTGCCAAGACCAAGTCAAGGAGGATGACTAAATAATTTGTTGTAGCTTTGCAGAAAAAGTAGAAGAAAACAAACCAACTCTAGTACTAGGAAAATTATAATTCACAACTACAAGTCAATTTCTTATGCTATTTTTATTCCTATGTAGTTTAGTTGTGTTTCGTCGACTGTAATACAAGGAATACCCTCGTATATGGATCCCTCGTAGGGATGTCCAGCCGCACGGGTGGCACAGCCCATTTCAGGGTCGCTAATGGTACCGCTAGATCCCTAAAATTCAAGCCCGCAAGCATCGCCGATGTCCTGTAGATGAAGATGAAAATCAAGGATACGGATGAAAGGGATTCAATCACTGTTCCGACAAACTGAACACATGCTTACTTTTTATAGTGAAGAAGTAACTATTCACGGCCTGCATGTACATTCGCTCGTCGCCGTCGTGGAGGTTTGTCAGTAGTAAGAGGTACTTCAAACTTCATTCAAAGTGTTGACTACAGCATAGTCCTCGTCCAGACATATAGATACAAGCAAAAATAAAATCGTCTACAAGAGAATTGGAGTAGAAGTAGTACTTTGTTGTTTTCGGCATGATGCTTTTGTCATACATTTCTGGTGGTGGCGGCTTTCCAGGATGCGTGAGGCAGTTCTTCTCTATGTACTCCTGCGATTCTAGCAACCTCTTTTTTTTATCATTAGAACTAAGGGCAACCCATCTTCAGCAGCATCTTGGCCCCACTTTACCCTTAAAAAACGGGAACAGGATGCCTGTGAAGATAAATTTCTTGTTGTAGTCTTAATATTAATAGCCTTCTTCAACTCTGCCGTCTTTTTTCTCAATTCCACACATCTGTTTGAATCGCGTGGCATTATGGGAGGCTGATACTTTTTCTTCGTAATATTTCCTAAGATTTCATCCGCTGACCGCGTATTCGTTAAGACCTGACGAGCCGAAAAAGTAAACTTTTTATGAGAATTGATATTGCAGCAGGGACTTACGCTACAAGTACAACTAGTCTTCTACTACTTCTGTGGTCTCATCTACTAGAAGTACTGCTGTGGTACAGCTAAATTTGTGGTCTACAACTACAAGCTAATATCATTGTGATTCAGTCCTCGTCCGAAGATGTATTTCATTTCCCACTAGAAGTAGTTACTCCAGCAGCACCATATTGAAGTAGAACTAAATCTAAAAGATCATCAACAACTTCACGCCTCAATTTCTACATGATAATTTTCACAAAGAACGGGGCACATCTAATTTGTACAGTTGTGGCTGATCCTCTATCGAGTAATCTCGGTATGCCCATTGTTCGGGCCCCCTGGGTCATATCGACACGAAGTTGCATACATCTTGTCCGCTTTTGCTCCCACACACTTTGGGCTTTGAGTGTTGGTGGATGTGCCCGCTTTTTTCCGCCATCTTGATCACCCAATTCCAACTGCTGGAGTTTATTCTGAATGTCATCGAGCGTGTCCCACGCCGACTCGCCCGGCCGGGCGTTCATCTTGTTTCTTCACTTCCACCTGTTGGTGCTGGTGCTGTGCTAGTACACAGCCAGTTTTCCTCGTCCGACCAGGTAGTTTGGAGTGCAGCTTCCTATAGATACCTAGACCTGCTCCGAGTAACTCGATTTTGTTTGGTTAAGTTAATATACATAGTACTACTACAGTAGAAGACATTAAATATCGTAATACCAATAGATACCACAAGAACCGCTGAAAACACAATGAAACATGATGAATCAAGCGTCCTAACCATGTGATGAACAAACTTCTCCTTACTTGTAGTTTGCGTCTCTGCAATAAGGATCTTTGTTTCTGTGGTACTGATTCACTTGCTTTTTGTAGAGGAACAAAAACCTTCCAAAATTTGACAAAAAAAATGAATGTAGTAGTTTTCCATTACATGGGAGAAAGTGAGGAATGCCATCAAATCGATATTAAAGAGCAGACAAAAGTTGCAGTAGGAGTATGAGTACTTAATCATTCGCATCCATTATAATCCGCATAACGCACAGGTATAACTCCGATTCAGAAGATTGGAGGTGGTACAAAGGGTTTTCGCTGGGGAAAGATGAGGACGAACCGAACGCTTCTTCTACAGAGTCAGTGCAAATTCAAGGATGTCATGCTGACAGAGTCACACTGTGCCTTGATTTCACAAGAACGATTTCGTTGCTCAGTCAAGAATACATGGACGACGACCATGGTTTCGTCCTCCTAATAAACCGAGAATTCGCAACCGATTGATGAACCTGAACCTCATCATGCTCAGCCAGGCCTCATCAAAAATAAATAAAACTTTAGAGGCAGCATCTTTTCTCAAAGATCCAGAGCGGAGAAACTACTACAAGATCATTGTACAAACTCGCAGGTGGAGCTGCAAGAATGGGAACATCGTGGACTATTTCTTCCATTGTTGCCGTGGAGCTTGAAGCCCCAATAGCTCCTTCTAGGCAAAAGCCGCCGATTATGTCTCAGAAAACAAAGAAGACTGTCTGAGGAAATGAGTACCACGTCACGCACGTCGATCTTCTTGTTACAACTACACCTCCACAAAATAAAGTACGATAAAATAAAAAACTATGTATGCGATTTTTTGGAGATATAATCATCTGAGAGATTCTGTTCCTGGTGGCTCGTATCTGTATACGACCATACCTTACCTGACCGAGAGGTGGAAATCGTTCTGCGACGTGCTGGTTCCCGTATTACAGCTGCCCACCTCTAGAAGGTGGTGACCTCAGAGTCAAGTCCAACTTGTGCTCCCTGTGGTGGTTCATCTCGAAAACGAACACGAAGTCACCTAGTACAGGATAGTGGTCGCTTAAGTCAACGAAATCGCGACCCCGGTAAGAAAACGGTGTCCCCGCTTGGACGTATTCGGTGGAAATTCTGGCATTGGTGGAAAATTTAGACCCTCTCAGAAACAGAATCCATCTTCAAAGTCTCAACATCCTGGAGAAGAACGTCCACCCTTAGATGACGACACGAGCGGTAACTGTATTTATATATAACATAAAGATATTGAAAAAGGTGAAAGTGAATGTCCCAGATTGATGCTTCTCGAGATGAAGATGGATCCTCGGATGTCTTAAGAAGCAAGTGATTCTTCTCCACGAAAATGTAGTCCAAGACCATCGATTCGTTCGCATCACTGCTAACGCTACCGAAAGAGCACCATTGATTGCTCGCAAGTACGGAGTCTTGCCATACCACCGGACGGTCTAATGGTGGCGGTGGCCGAGGAGGACAGGGTGACGTAGGGCTAGAAGATGCAATCAAAATTGCCATGTCGTGTTTTTCGAAATCGTCCAGGTTCGGAGTGAGTACAACCGATTGGTTATCGGAGATGGTGCCAGTTGGAATTGTTGAAGAACCTTGAGGTCCACTACCCGAGAAAGCAGATGATGTTGGTGCAGGCAACTTTAATATTGATGTCGTGGCAGCACCAGCAGCAACCTCTCCATCAAGACCAAGAGAAGGAGCTGGACGACCACTAATTCCAGGATGCTCCATCAGTGCTACACGTCTTGATGCAGAAACAGAAGTTGTATTTGTATCATCTTGTACTACTGTACGTGTAGTGGCGCTATCGGTTCTCCTATCGTCCCGGTGGTCCCGGTCCTGGTCTACTAGATCTCTGGCTATTTGGTCGATGTTGATAGTCACAGCGTTTATTTCGCCGTGGTCTTCTTCCTTTTCCTGTTCCGCATAGTTTTCGGCTGAGAGTAGGTGAAGCATCTTATGATATTCGGGGGATCCCAGGTCCGCCACTATGTTGAAGTCCCCGGCCAATAGGACAGGTTCGTGCGGAGGGATCCTTTTTCGTGCCACAAAACTGCGAATCTGGCGCAGTTGCGCTCGTCGATCCTTCTGCGCCCTAAGCGTCTCCCAGGCCTGCAAATGTGTGCCAAACACGAGGAAATGAAAATGGTGGTTGAAAGATTTCTTGAGAAGGTTCAGGTTCTTGGAGGGCTTAGTACTAGAAAACTGCTACTTCTACTTGTTCGTTCCTACTAGTTGAAAACTAAGGACAGACTAGAAAAACAAGAGTTATGAAGTTGTGAACAAATGTAAGTTGGGATTACGATTATGATCATCAGCATAATGGAAATTGAGTCCTTGTTTCTGCACCTTGACGTAGGTGCAGCCTTTGCTCGCCAGAACTTCGTCACCTGAGCAGCTGTCATAAATCAAAAAATCGGTTTCCAGTATGCGATGTTTGGAGTAGATCTTGATGCCAGAAGAGATGAAGCGACGTTTCAGAATCGGCTGGATAGTGTCGAACAGGAAACCATCTCGACGTAGAAGCAGCGAAATCGTCTGCATGGTGGCTTCACAAAAGGCTTCGCAGAAAACGATGACGTCCAAGTCACGCGGCAGAGCAGCAGGAATGCGCTGTGCGCGCGCGTGCTTCTCCGGAGAAAGGTTCCAACTCTTTGGTGCGATCCCGGTGATCAGATTCGGCATCATCCAGATATTGTACGTCAATAGCCGAAACCTCACTTGCTGTTGTTCTTTCTTGTCAATGTTGTAGTAGCGGTCGTTGTTCTGGAGCGCCGTCATCATGTTCTTGATCCTCTTGAAGCCACTTGCATGCTGTACTTGACCTGCTTCAGCACCACTTGAAAGTGCGGTTTTTGAATTTTGTTGGAGCAGGGAGTTCGACGATCTGCAGCGCGGTCTAGTGCTTGCCGTGAGACGAGGATCGTTGTGCTCTGTTGCTGTTTCTTGTTTGACCACACCGTTCTTCATGTGTCTTTGTTGTTCTGAGGGTATACCGAACTCTCGCCCTGCTTCCCCAGTTTGATCATGTCCTTGTCGTATGCCTGGAAATAGTGCCGTTGAACTATGAGACTTGCTCAGCAATTTGTAGGAGATTGAGGCTGCTGGGTCTTGATTCTGTCCTGGTTTGTCTCGTCCATATTGCTTCTTGCTTCTGGTGTCCAGGATGTGCGCTGTACGTGTATCACTCCTAGGATCACGATCATTTAGAGACCCATCACACATCGCAGGAGATCCCGCTCCCGCAAATAATGATAACGAGCTGGGTCCTGCTTCAACACATTTTTTCTCTAGTTGTTGATCTTGATATGCCTGTCCTCCGGCGTGTGGATGCTCTAATGTAAATGTGGTCTTGACCAGTGCTTTTTTGCTGTTCACCGCAGACAGGAAGGTTCGAGTGTCTATCAAGTGCATCTGTTTTTTCGTACAAGTCCAAGGAAGGAACGCGTCGCCGTAGACTATCCGACTGTGCGGAACGATACGTGGGAGCCCTGGTAACTCGGTCGGGGACAGCGTGCTTTCGCGTCCATGGCAAGTACCACACTCGTCCTCGTGGCGGTCACCGTCACCTGAGGGTGAATCGTGTAAATCTACTTCCTGAAGACGGTCTCTAGCTTCATGCGAGGACGTCCTCTCTAGTGTTGTGTTTTTTCGTTCTTTATCTACGCAGCCTTTTTGATCAGAATTCTTCACACATGAAGTCCCGATCCCGGCAATAGATGCTCCTCTCGCGAGCGGCTGGTGCGGTTCAACAGTGTCTGCAGGGCCGAGTAGTTGCTCCTTTAAACGGGACGGTATATTTTTCATCGGTGACAACGTACATCTATCTCCTGGCGGCTCGGGGTACTGGCTGGGGGGTCCTAGAATGGCAGCACAACAAGCCTTGGTGCTAGGAGGCGTCGCGTATCCTAATTTTTCTTCTTGGTCAAGAATTTCGTCACGACCAAATGAGCTGTCGGGGTCCACTCTCGCTGCCATTATCGGGATCGATGACTCGTCAGCGACTCGGGAACGCAGTGCTGAGCGTAGGTGCTTTCCTTGATCATGATTTGCCTTCCTCGACGTCGTCGATCCTTGACGATTTCTGTCACGCAGCTTGAGATCGTCCTTCGTACGTCGATGACGCCTCAAAAGTTGTTGTTGCTGGGTAGAAGTTGCTTGATTGCTCATTATATTCAGCACCACATCATGCTGATCATGATTTCGATTTCTAGAGGTTATGGCCGCGCATGACGAAGCTGAGTTCCATTCATGATCGTCCTCAAAAATTCGTTTGGGTCTTGACCCACAGCATCGGCAGATGCCCTGCATGGGCGTGGAGAGTACGTGAATATCGTCTCCGAAAGACACGCGACCGCTTCGCTGCGTAGGCGATGTAAAAATGACCAGCAACTTGTCACCACGAAAATTGGCTTCGCCCTCTCCGCGAATCTTCATTTGGTACACTTGATTATAGTGAACAGCCAAATCCTCATTTTGTTGAGCATTTTTCTTTCGCCTCCTGACATTGCTCCTGCTCGCTATATTCCAGCCCTTACTGCTCGTAGTCAAAATGCCTCCGCGACCACCGCCGCGAGGCTTGCCATTGCCGGTTCCTACAAATTTTGAGAATGAGGGGGACCGAGACTTCATCATCTTGTTCCTCGCGTCCTCGTGGACGCCGATCCTCGGATCCTCCAAGTCCGGCATGCTATCGACTTCTTGCTTCGAATTTGATGAAACGCTTACGTCCTCATTTGCAACTACATCTTCAAGCGACGGGGACCATGCCGTCGTTCCGTAGTCGTGAATCACGCGGCGGGACAACACTGCTCGGTGTTTTCTTCTTCTTGACGTCGACGCAGTGATTGTTGAAGTGCTGACCACTACATCTTGTTCAGCAGCACCAGCACGCGCAATTACGTCGCCACTACCCGTGTGACCTCGTCTACACGCGCTTGACGAGTACGAAGAGCATCCTGCGTCCCCCTTCGTCGCGGAAGCAGAAGATCGCTCATCAACATCGCCCCTCTGATCTTCTTGGACAGAAGAAGAAGAACAAGAAGAAGAATGAAGATATTGTCCATCTCTAGGGATACCCCTTGTGCCGGATGAACAATTGTTCTTCGAAAGAAGTCTCTCACTGTGAGAGCCTCCACCAGCACCACTTCCAACAGGACATGATCCCCGACGTGTTGTCGTGACGAGGTGTTGCGTCATCAATACCTGGCTGTCGGAGGATGCCGGAGATATGTCATCTCCGGCGCCGCGTGAGGACAAGGAAGACGTGCTGCAATCGTCATCACATGCATCGCCTTGTTCAAGGCCTCCTCGACGCTGTCCTGCTCCTCGTGCAGCAGACAAGCTTCTTGCAGGAAAAACGTCTGTTGATGCAGCTCCTCCCACTGGTTCTGCTGGAGTGGTTCCGTTTGTAGTTCCAGAAAAAGTATAGTTCTCTTCGTTTTTCATTTTCAAGGCAGGCACAGTGTCAGTTGTATGAGTGTCAGGACTCAGTATGCGAACATCTACGGTGCACGAGCTATCAGCAGCAGCAGCAGCGCCCGCTCCCTCATGCTCATAATCAGTTTCCTCCCCCGCTACTCCTTCAGCGTCTATTCGTCCATCGTTGTAGTTTTTTATCTCGTGTAAGTCTTCCACATCAACTTCTTGACCCAGGTCATCTTCAACAACTTCACCCATCTCATCCTCAGTCTCAGTGTCTTGTTCCGAAACTACTGTGGTTACGATATTAGTAACACGTTCTTCATCGTCAAGCTCGTCTAGTTGGAACTCGCATCCTTGCTCTTGCTCGTCCTTTCCGTCAGCGAGAGTCAAAATCGGAACCGAACCTGCAAAGAGTCCCGTAAAAAAGACTGTGACCGCGATCACTCTTAGATTTTGCAAGTACGACCAAAATGGATGATTCTATGTCGTGCTTCAATATCCTCGTCATGATCACTTGCCCAGCTGAGGCGGTTAAGATAATCAACATCAGCAAATTATTGACAGGAGAAAACCTGAGTTGATACCTGAACTCAAAGTTGTAATGTCTTGTAAACGTTCTTAGGCTGGTGGTATTACTACGTACTAGTACATCAACATAAATAGCCATAAGACCAGGACGGATAGATACCAGGTTAGAGCTGACATGAGCCAGAGCAGGCAGCATCCGCCAGCTGGAGCGAGGACGCCCCCACCCGCCCCAGACCATGAGCGGTACATAGGATTAAACCGGTTGTGGAAGCACGCGACGCGCGATCCGTGAGCCCGCAGAGCAAAGGGTCTACCTGTTGTAAGATACTTCACACTTGTTGTCTTCCAGGTATTTGTGGAGGAATAGACACCTGCACTTGTGGTTGGTATAGGAGATGAGCACGACCCCATTTTCCTCCTTTCATCTTCATCATGTAGAAGTAGAGCTAGAGGAAGATCAGGCGCTGCACACTCTTGCAATGGTTGTACAGGCACTCCACCTGCTACATGAACATGACCTCCATTATCTTTACTAGCATCAGCAATATCTTCTTCCTCTTCTTCATCGAGATCTACTTTCTTCTTGGCGCTTATTTGTAGTTGACTACATTGGGTTTTGTCGTCCACGTCGTCGGAAGTACTTGCAACTTCTTGTCCACCTCCATTGTCTAGTGCAGGTAGAGCTACAGCCACATGTACTTGTTGTAGTTCTAATTGGCCGAACGCCGGTTTTCCTCCATGAGCACCGGGAACGAAAGTGCTGTAAGCTACAGCATTCCTTGTTTTGCTCTCATCTCCCTGCGGGTCGGAACGGGTCCGGGATGAACCATGCCCATAGGGAGAGAGGACATCGTTCTCTTCATTGGATGAGAAGATGTCACGATCGCCACGTTCGCGAATCGGTCGTGGCGGCGACAAGCGTGCTATAGTAAATCGAGGAGCGTCTCTTTTCTCTAAGCCACCCTCGCCAGATGCAGACATCAACGTCAAAGTGGAAGCCATTTTTGTTGCACTGTGAATATCTTCACCCGTGTCTTCCCCCGATGCAGTCAAAGAGTCTTGCGGGCTCGCGGTTGCTGAGGACCATGCTCCAATTGCGGACGCGACTGTGTTGCGGCCAGCCAGAAAACTACAACCACGTTCGACTGATGTTCTTGCATTTAGAGGACAGCAAGAGGAAGGAGAACCTGAAAGCGGTGACTGAGGTGAACCCAACGTGCCTATCGTTGTTCTCGCGTCAAGAAGAGCTGTTGTAGTTTCATCATCTCCCCGTCCTTCGGAAATCCTCGCGGAAGCGCCAGGACGATGCTGCACATTTTTATCAGCGGAATCGAGTTTGCAGCTATCATTTTTGGTCGTGTGGTCTCGTTTGACATCGGCATTCTCTTTCATCATTGTCTTGTCGGAGTGGACGACATTCTGCTGCTCAGGAGTGTGCTCTCCCACCCCTGAAGACTCAGCAAAACCAGGAGGACCACGCACAGGTAAAAACTCTTCATCAAGTCGTGGAGGATGAGCTGCAGGTGCGACATGTCTCTCTTCATCATCATCTAGTGAAGTGCAAGATGTCAAGAAACGATCAACATGACGGTCGCAGTCGCTGCATCCACGCCGGTCAGCACAATCCAGATTCGAATCCGAGCCAGAGTCCTCATCCCCAGCTGCAGCGAGATGTGCAGTCCTTAGCAATAGAAAAGAAGAACGAGATGAACTCGTCCCAACAAGTAGAACGAATTACAACTACTTCTTCGTTTTACTTATTATACAACATAACCGCAAAACACTTGATCGACCGCAGTTTCAGCATCAGTCTGCTCCTACTCTTAGTGTTAGTGATTCTATTAAAGAAATTAACTTATTTTCATCTACTTATAATGTTTTGCCCCGTAAATGTTCTTGTCCCCCTCTTGAGCCCCGTGATGGCCTTCGACGATTGCTGTATTCTCGGACACCGAAGGACCTTTTGCTCGTTTCGAAGATCTTTTTCATCATCTTCTCGTGGTGACGTGCGAGTGCAGAAAGAAGTGAGACGGCGGGTTCTTGAAGTGATCTAGTAGAGATTCTGCTTTCATCTACCTAAATCTCGATTTCTCCTGAAAAGCAAGCAGGAAGAACCGAAATCTTCTAGTGAGGCTCGAGAACGTCACTTTGAACTAAGGTTTACCTATCAAGTAGAAGTAGAACTACTTCTGCAACGAGATGCTGGACCAAGTTGTACAGGGAGAAGAGAATGAGAAACTGAGAAGACTTAGAAAAATCGGGGCATGAACATCTTCGAACTACTCCGCAAAATGCAGAAATCGCCCACAAAATTACAGTAGATCCCGTTCTTGGAGGTAGATGCTGCTGCGTGTTTTCACTCGACGAAGTACGAGATGCATCTTGTTAAAGTACTTAAGAACGAGATTTTTGAAAAGACGGCAACATGAGCTCTCGTTATACTTGTCACAGTGATCATCTGTTAATGCCGCTTGTTCCACGGTCACTCCTGTGACTGTGACACACATCACAGAGGACACATACTACTAAACTAAGACCATTTCTATAATATTTCTACTGTAATACACGCACACGCGGCTTGTACAATTACAATGCTCCTGAAGGAGGAAAATAAAAACGTTGTCCAGAGATCAACATCATGCTTGTGTATCATAATTAAACGGCGCCGATGCAACAGGGTGACAGAGCGATCACTGCCGTCGCTTCGAGGTTGCTGTTAGGTTCACGCCGACACCCACGCAAACAAGCTGTTACGTCGAGTAGAACAGCACACTCTCACTATAGACAGGCTATGAGTCTCATCCCTGATGAAGACATCGCCATCCCGTGCGCGTTAAAATAAAGATTATAGAACTCTTTCTGTGAAGCGTCAGAATCAATCTGCAGAAAAGGATCTTGCGCCTCGACGAGACGAGTCGTCTTCTGGTTCCTGTTGCACTCGTTTCGGTTTCTCAGGCTACTAATGCCACCTTTTTCGATTACTTAAGTAGTTCCGTGTCTGGAGGAAGCAAAGCGCGAAGAAAATGGAGAAAGACAAAGATAAAAGAATAAGAAGTGGTGTAGTAAGCTAACTATAGTGGGAGTACCGAAGGAAAATAACGCTCAAGAATGTGTGTGGCCCTGCGGTGTCCCTTCTTGACCACCGTCGAGACAACGGGGACAGCTCAAACAATGCTCTTCAACGCGAGTTCGTTTCGAATGTGTTCCGGTTGTTGGTCTCTCGGCACAGGTCGTCCAACGACGTTATTTTCGTGTAATGGCGTACCCCCAATCACGACATTTGGTATTGTCGTTGCTTGCTCTCCTGGTGTCAACATGTCCTGTTGTTGAACTCCCGCTGTAGGTACTCCTGTAGTAGCCGTCGAGGCGAAACCTGCTTCTCCAGCAGTTCTGGGGTTAGAAAGTGCGCCTGTCGTGCCTTGTTACACGAAGAAGATGCTAAAACGTTGTCATGATGTATCTAACTATTATGATGATCAGATCAACATCTATTTGAACGCAGTGGGGAAGGACGAAAACACGAAGCAAAAACTCCCAGCACTTGGACGAGTCCGAGGACCTGGATGTCGTTGTCTCTACTATGTGCGCATCAAACGCATGAAGATTTTTCACCTCTAGTATCTTCACCACGACTTGTGATGCTTTCAACAACACGACATCATGCGGTTACAATACACAGTAGACCACTCAATGGATGAGACCAATGAATACCAATCGAAGTTTCCCTTAACGTTGTTTGAATTTCCTGCTCCAGCACCCCCTTGCTCGCATTCGATCTTCGGCCACGTGGGTATGCGACCACTAGCCGCAGCTCGATCTCTGAGCGCGTTCACCTCTGCTGCAATTAGAGCTGCTTTGTCATAGTCCTCGAGTCTTGTTGTGCGTACTGGAAAAAAATGTCTAAGCATAACAACAACAAGAGCAGCAAGAGGAATCTACCACCTTCTCCCAATAGAGAATCTGCACCGTGGACAGAGCAGTTATAACGGGGATCTTCTTCATCATCCTAATTAAAGTAAGTAGTTCCTCCGTGTCCGTGTCAGATGAATGAATAGGAAGTGAAGATAGAGAAGCAAAACTTCTTTCATTCATTCACAGCCTTAATTGAAAGACAGTTGCATTTTCGGTTGTCCGATCGAGCATGATAGACAGCTTTCCGATGCAGAACATCGCACAGAGCACGAATGTTGTATGCGCCATAAAAAGAAATAACGTATATCCCATCACGAGCTGATGATACTGATTAGAGTTGTAGTAGTAGTGGAGGTGGAGCTGCTAGAGGTTAGCAGCTTTCATTCATTCATTTGCCTCTTCGTGAGGTACTGTCTAGTGCGAGCGGTCGCAAGAGGGAGTAAATTCTTTCAATGCGTTACGGTTACTACTTTCAAGTTTGTTAGATCACGATTGAGATGACCTCTAAAAACATGGCCATATTTTTAGAGGAGGATGCATGCTCAAGAACACCTAGACGATCATGTATTTGTACACAGGTGGCCATAACTACTGCGGACCGAACAGCATCCTCCCTGTCATTTCCACCACGCGTATTCAACATCGGAAAAAACCCGCGACTTAAAGCTGAAAACGGGTAGTTATGTTCATCAGATTAAGTATAAGTTCAACTCCGATCGATTCCTATGCTCACATCACCTCGAGAACTAGTAGCAGAATCACAAGGTTTAATCAAGCCCCCAGTGCCAAAGCTCGAGTTCAGTCAGTTGCTGATTCCAATTTCAAATTAAATACGCTAAGTACTTCTGACAACTTTTTACAACATTTGTCTTTCAGTCAACAAAGAGAAAGTAGGTCTAGGTGCATTTTTGCAGCATGACGAGAAGAATGATCCACCATTTGATGATGTATTCATAAAACTGCCTGCAAGAAACTGAGAAGGCCGTAGAGGACTGATAGCCACATCCAAATTTTCCAGACCTCTCGCCACACCCAAATCGCCACCCCAGCGCCGCTGAACGGACATCGCCCGGCGAGCGCCCGTTCCCCGCAAGCCGGGTAAACGTATGCCCGACCACTCGGCTCACGCGGAAAAAGCACCAATCGCAAGTCTCGTCGTTTGCGATACTCTGTTCGCTGCTTCCGATAGGTAGCTAATAATCGTGGCACTGACGACTTTTGTCCCCTAGCGCTGCTACTAGAAGAAGCCCCAACTACAGCTACACCAAAATGACCTGGAGCGGCTCCTTCTTCGTGTTCGACTTAGCGCCACGAAGGGTAAACCTCCATGCTAATGCTTCTAGTTTTGTTAAACAACAAGATGAGCCTCATCGTCACCTAACAAATTTCTTCTTCTAACATTACTAGTCATCTTCGAGAATCTTGTGCAAAAATAGCTCTCCTCTAGAATAAAACTGGTCGTGATGCTTCCACGATTGCCTGTCGCGGAGACGATGTAGATCGCGCACGTAGTCCTAATGGCATGATCATGATGCGCACTGAAATTATCAATACGGATGCTTAGTGCTCCATGCACAAACTACAACGGCCTGCTCCGGAGTTGTACCTCAACAGTCTACTTATAATTCTCATGCTTCCACCACGTAATTAGACTAATTGTCGTAGAAATGATCCTCGCCTTAAGCAATACCTTGTTGTACGCCTGATCCGTCAATCCCCGCTTCCCTGGGTGTCGACACAGTGGAGGGAACGAAAGACGAAGTCGCGTGATTCCATGAGGAATTCATTTGCACCGACGTTGGGGACAGATCTGCTCTCCCGACAGCTGCATACTTAGAAGGAGAAATTGTTGTGGGTGACTGTTAGAGAAGTTGTTGTGGAGTTGTAGACGAGGCAGTATACAAGTGGATATACTACCTAGAAGTAGACGAGATAGAAGGAGACTACAACCGTCCTTCCTCCCGCTCGATATTCTTTTTGAGCACAATATGTCCTCGGATAAAGGTAGGGAACGGCCGTGCATGTTGCGCAAAAGTATCCCTTGAAATAATGATGAGACGACTAGATTGTAGGTCGTTTAGATAACTAACAAACCCCTGCACTAGAACATTTAATTGAAAAAGAGGCGTATCCCCTGAAATAAGCGTGTACTAGACCTTAGAATATCAAGAAATATAGTGACACTCTTCCAAAGATGAAGAAGATGTGAATAAAGATGTAGAGACCTTAGAATATCAAGAAATATAGTGACACTCTTCCAAAGATGAAGAAGATGTGAATAAAGATGTAGAGACCTTAGAATATCAAGAAATATAGTGAGATAACAAAGATGATGTGAATTATATGAAAACAAATCAGCCTTACCATACTCTTCGGTAACCCCGCTCTGATTCGGAGTGGCCGATGAAGACGAGAGGGCTGCGGTTGTACCAACGGGAGCCGGTTGTAGCTGTCCTCCTTGTTGGGTCGTGGCCGCACTAAGACTAAGCAATCGATCCTTATGAAAGTACTTCTAGTAGCTCTTTCCATCTAGAACAAGGAAGAGAAGCATCCAAGAAGCACTTACTTATAATCCTGCTCCCAGCAGTTTTTCCTCCTGTAACAAGAACTTGAAAAAAGTACCACGTGCCAGGAGGATGCTCCGTTTGGTTATGTTTAAGATGGAAGAAAACTAGCAACATCATCGTCCATAATCTACTTCTGCGTTGTGAAGAATCTTATCATATTGCTTCTCCGACACCACCGGTGATACGAAATCATCGGCGTCCTCCCCAAAGTCAACAACAGCAGCACGCAGCTCCTCTTGCTCTCCTCCTGTACTCGTCTTCGGCTTAGAAGCGCGGCTTTCAGAACAACTATTTACGACGAACCAAGTCCTCTCCTTCTCCACTTCTTCTAGTGGCTGCCACAACAACAACTCCTTGGACAAGAACAAGTACAGTTCTTCAAAGAAACTACCACAACATCAACAAGAACAGGAGGATCTTCTAGTTCCGGTTATAAAACTGAAGATGAACAGAAAATTCTAGAAAAGCCGTTCTATTGCAAGGACACACATCTTCTGAAGTGCTGATGCTTCATCTGCAGATCTGTAGAAGTAGAAAAAGGAGGTAAAAACACATTGAAGATGAGATTCATCAACATCTTTATGCAACAACACCAACCAAGTAAGTACTAGTATAAAAATATCAGTCTTAACTGGTGCAGCTGATGTTGACGAAAAGCTTGTACTATTTTCATTTCGCGGTGTCCGGTGTCCAAAGGCGAAAAGAAAAACACGCGTGAGTGCGAGATAATTCAACAGAAGACCAAGCAATGCGGCCACTACACCAGCCACATTAGAGCTCAACTTATCCGAACTGAAAACGAAGCAGAGCTCTACTCCTCCGAAGTGAAAGTTGTGGGCCATCCATGTTCTACTTGTGGTGCAGCCTCAGCTTGTGCTCTATCCTAACTGGTAGGTCTACGCTTGATCCCTGAATAGTATTGTAGCTCCCACGTGAAGAAGTACTTAGTCCAATATTATGCCTCTACTTGTAACGTATAGTAGTACGTATAGATACATAAGTAGTTATATTCACCATTGACTACAACCATGCCAAGAGAGGAGGACTCCTCCCGCCCCCTTACCAAGATGAGCGTGAGCTACACGAAGAACAAGCATCAGGTGATTAAATATATTAAACGTCATGATATTGCAATAGTCATTGTCATCAACATCATCTTCATCGCCGTAACGAAAAGGCCTCGTAGCGATGCGCCGATGTAGGTGCCTTGCCATGTTTCGTAGACGACAGTGAGCAAACCGATCAGCACTGTGCAATGCCAAAATTTGCGAATATCGAGCGCGTCCTGTCGACAATGTATGATGAAACCCAAATTCGGCGGCCCTCGTTTACTCAGAGACGAGACGCCACGGTCCATGTTGATTGGTTAAATAATAGGTTTTTAGGTTGGACGGGGACGATACTTCTACTAATTAGTATAAGTACTTGAGTTCAAAGATGGTCATGGTGCTCGTGGTAAAGCACATTCGATTCTCTTGTTTCCAAACAGAGGAGAGCTGCTCGTCTTCTGTGCAATTGTCCAGCAATCAATAAATATATCGTAACAAGAACATCATGATCAGCCTAAGTACTCAAAGTAGATGGTGCACATCGACGTCAAAGAAATGTTGACAACCACAACTACCGATTGTAAACTACTTACAAGGTGCATTGTCGTTGCGGTATGCTCTTCAAGAACCAGCACTATGCAACTTTTCTTGATTATTTTAGCGCCGCCAACTGCTCGCCTGTAATTGCTCCACAAGAAGCACTTCTGCTCTTCTTCAAATAAAAGATTTTTCTCGTTCCTGAAAATTATTGTCTTGCGCAACCTTACTTTTTTTCGGAGCTCTAGCTTGTCTTCTCTTACATCTTATAATCAAGCCTGGGTGCTTTCTGTTTCATCTCATTCGTCTCTCCTCCATTCCTACTTGCCTCCTTACAGCGACCGATATTTTTTGTTTTTCGTCGTTCGCCTTCCTCGCCCTCGTCTCAGTTTTTCACCTGATAATTGTGCAGTTCATATGCCAGCAATTACCGACACGTGACCACCAACTCGTCACCACCGACCAGAGCCTGAAGAATTTTCTGTGGCGGCTACCCTCGTCGTCTCCCTCACAGTAGTTCGCAGCCACGTCTTGTACTTGCATGTCGTTATTCGGATATCCTCCTCTCCTGTTAGGAAGAACCATGATCCCCCGGCGCCAACTGAGAACCGCCTTTCTTTTTCACCATCTTCGTTCATGCACTTGTTCTCTGTCTTTCTGACAACTGCTAATAACAGCCTTTTGCTTATATTCATGTTTATGATGCATTTGCATGCTATTTCCATTGCTATTGCTATGATTCTATCATTTAAGTGCTAATCTAAGTCTGCGCTGCGAAAATCATGTTGTAATAGTAGTTCGATATTCATTTAAGTAAGTAGATTCGAGTATAATTCGTTGTTGCTGCTGTAGCTCTGTAGTTACGCTGTTGGTCATGTCCTTTGTACAACAATGCTCTCTGTATGCAGCAACTACTTTCCTTTTTTTAGCGACTAAATTTTTCATTTCATTCTCCCGAACCTGATGCGTTAGTTATGTTTCAGTATGATGCTCATGTGTTTCATAAGAATGTTTGAAGTTATTTTGCTCGTGCGCGTTTCATGTGATTGTGATTTTGAAACTATATTGAACTGTTTTTAATATTCCGCAACTACATTGCAATTATACTATTGGCTTGTCACTACAACCACTTCGTTCTTTTACTATTAATAATCAGTTTGAAATAGAGGTTTATTAAATGCTGAAACTCAAAAACATGTGACATGATGCTTTAAATATATTATAAATCTGTGTCTTTGTCTTTGTCATTATGTTGCAGTTGATCTTGCTGTTGAACTCAACGAAGGCAATAAGAATCAATACTTATGCACAGCTGCGTTGGTGCTCCTGCGGCTACAAGGTGTATAAATTATTGTAAGTAGACCTCATCCTTAAGCTTAACGTAGAAGTTAATCTACGTAGTAAAAATCCATCAATCAATCACTTCCTCACTTACATTTACATACTCCTGTGATGAAGAAGAAGATACTACTACAACTACATGTAGTACATATTAACTAATCAAGATTCAAGAAAAGTAGACGAGAGATCAAATATACTGACTCCATGTTTCATCCGCTTCATCTTGTCGTGACCACGGCGCACGCAATGCCCACACAGGCTCCACCTTTCCCCGAGTCAGCATTAGTGGAAGGATCATTAGATTATGCTCCTGTTTTTCTCTTCTATTCGATCGTTATTTCTCTGTCACTGTCACGGTACGATTCTCCCTTGTAGTATCTGCTTCTGCATTTGGTACTGGCGGGAAAATCAATCATAAATCATTATTATGGATGTACTTACAACTACATGCAGCATATCAAATTGAACAAGGAATGCGGTATACAAGGAAATTTCAAAAAAACTCAACATAACAGAGGCTTCTCCTGTTTGTGCACCGACGTGATTGTCGGTCAAAATCTTCGCTGGTGTGGTCGGCCTTGTTTCCACTGGTGTCGTGCGTGGTTTGCGTGCTCGTCCAGCATCCGCTCCTTTGGATGGAGGGTGGTGTTGGTCTCCTTCCTGTGGAAGATCTGCACCCAGCGATGGGAAAGGAGGCGCATCCAGTGGATGTCGTTTCGCATCAGCTATCGGATCGCCTTTGCGGTCAGAAGCCGGACGCAGTCTGGCAGGCGGACGAGATCCTCCATCTGGACCTTGATGGGATGGGGATAGTCGACGACCGTTGCTAACACCTCCGCTATCGCGGATTTCAGATGTACCGCGACCAGAATGAGGCCTATTATCTCCACCATATTCTGGATTCCAATCATCTGTCGCAGAAATATCGTCGCTCCCTTCAGACCACTCACCGGTTGGGGTTATCGTACTCGCACCCGCATCGCTACCGCTGTTGATCTCAGGACTTGCTTCGTGGCTGTCACCAGAGGACAGCAAGTCCTGGCTTGGCTGCTTCCGTCCTCGATTTTTTCTCCTCTTGTCGCGTCTAGCTCCTCTGCTACCTCCGGGAGAAGACTCGTCACTCTCATTGCTACCATCGCCCGCGCGGCGCTCGTCATGCGGCGGCGGCTCGATTGGAGGAGGCGATGGCGATGGTGGGCGTGCATCAGCACCACTCGTCGCCGCGTCATCCTTACGACCCGGCTCTCCCTTCACGCGGCTCTTCTCGGTTGTGTCTGTCGTCTCGGTTTCGATGTCCTCTTCACCTTCCTCATCTGACGGCCCTGGTGTTGGGAATGGACTTCCGGTCAGGAGAAAATTGACGTCGTCGTCATCTAATGGTGACTGGGTCGCGTCTACGTCCGTGTTCGTGTCCGTCGCACTTACGTCAGACTCGGGGAGAGATACTCCACTGTCGCTGCCCTGTCGCTGCCCTGGATCTTGGTTTCCAAAAGAGTCCTGTTGCGAAGGGGAAAGATCTGGCCGCAAGCGAGCAAGACGGCGTCGCTGCTGGTCTGAAGAATCTGATATGCTGGAGGCTGGAACCTCCGGTGAGGCCTCACCCGACTCTTCGCGACCGATTGCCGGGGGCACTTCACGCTGCGGTCGCTTGGGCATTGGCCTTGCGGTAGCATCTGCGGCTGCATTGCGATTGCTGGGTGGTGCACCCGCGTCACGCCACGGCGGGTGGCCGCCTGCCTCCGAATCAAACGAATCGCCAGGAAGCGAGGCCGGAGAATCTACGGACGACGAATCTGGTGGCAGCAGGTCCTCGGAATATGGTGCTTGAGAGCTGCCCTGGCGATCACCAGGCCCAGACGGCACAAGAGCCGCCGCGTCGCCACTTGCGACTCCGATATTAGGTGACGAACCTGCACGAGGTCGCTTGGGATTGGGATTGCGTGGGCGTGGGCCAAACCCCGCATGTAGATCCACCACGCCAGAAGATGAAGATGATAAGTCAGAACTTTCTTCATCGTGTCCAACGCTCGTTGAGGGACCCGAAGCTGGAAGATCGCCCTGTGGTGCGCCTGGCAGCGCCAACGGTAGCTCTTCATTATTTAATTTCTCGCGACTGTCCGGTGTAGAAGAAGGGCTCCCATACCCTCCCCCATGGGCAAGTTGTTGTCCTGGGTGTTCACTTTCCCTTTGTCCCGGTAAAAAGTCCTCGGCTCCCAGGGGCGGCTGCGCTGAATCCACGTCTGAAGCCTGCGAAAGGGGTCCTCCGCCGTCGCCTCCAAAGGTAGAGCGTCGCGGTCGTCCTCCAAGTGCTCTCCCCTGTTCTTCGCTATGTTCCGAGTCAATAGAAGAAAGACCTTCGTCCCTGGTCCTGCTTCGAGGGGCGAGTTGTCGTCGAGTGTTTGTTCCTCTCCTTCCAGCGGAGTCAGAATGTTTACCGCCTGCTGTGTCCGCGACGTCGAGGAGCTCCTCATCCTCAGACAACGTGGGAAGCACATGAGGAAGAGAACCGCTAGCCCATCGCTTGGGCTTTACACCTGAAGATGCGCGGGGCCCGGAGCGATCGGACGGGCCCCCCTCGCTGCCGCCACGACTTCCTCTAGTACCCTCGGGGTCATGGGGATCGTCGGGCGCACTAGCAGTGTCCGTCTCAGAGAAACGAGTGGCGCCCCCTGTTTTTTCCAGAGAAAACGAATCGCCGCCATCCGGCTCAGCCGATGAGTAAGGCATGCTTCCGGCCGGAACGCGCGGTCGGGTTCTCTTTTTGGCGCCCAGGGGCGGCTGCGCTGAATCCACGTCTGAAACCTGCGAGAGGGGTCCTCCGCCGTCGCCTCCAAAGGTAGAGCGTCGCGGTCGTCCTCCCAGTGCTCTCCCCTGTTCTTCGCTATGTTCCGAGTCAATAGAAGAAAGGCCTTCGTCCCTGGTCCTGCTTCGAGGGGCGAGTTGTCGTCGTATGTTTGTTCCTCTCCTTCCAGCGGAGTCAGAATGTTTACCGCCTGCTGTGTACCCGTCGAGGAGCTCCTCATCCTCAGACAACGTGGGAAGCACACGAGGAGGAGACCCGCTAGCCCATCGCTTGGGCTTTACACCTGAAGATGTGCGGGGGCCGGAGCGATCGGACGGGCCCCCCTCGCTGCCGCCACGATTTCCTCTAGTGCTCTCGGGGTCATGGGGATCGTCGGGCGCACTAGTAGTGTCCGTCTCAGAGAAACGAGTGGCGCCCCCTGTTTTTTCCAGAGAAAACGAATCGCCGCCATCCGGCTCAGCCGATGAATAAGGCATGCTTCCGGTCGGAACGCGCGGTCGGGTTCTCTTTTTGGCGCCCAGGAGCGGCTGCTCCGAATCCACGTCCGAAGTCTGTGAGACTTCTTCGTCGACTCCAAAGGCAGGGCGCCTCAGCCCTCCCACTGCGCGCTGTCCTTCGCTTTCGGACTCGTCGATAGAAGAGAGGTCTTCTCCGCTCTTTTGGGCCGGTAGTCGTCGAGAAGCGCCTTCATCGCTTTCCATATCCGCGGAATAATTGCTGTCCCCAGTCTCCGCTCCCGAAGCAAAGTCGCCCCTGATAAAAGGAGGAGCGGGGCCTGCTTGTTGAGATTCGGAATCAGAGTCATGTTTTCTCTCGCGATCTGCTGCGTGCTCCTGGCGTCGTCCATCTCGGCCGCGCTCCTGGCCCTCGAACACAGTTGGACGCGCCTGCCCCTTTGGCATTCGCGTGGGCCTTGCAGCTGGTGAATCAGTTCCAAATGAACCTCCACGACTGCGGCCCCGCGGACCGCCACGACCTCCTCTACTACCGTCCCCATCGCTATGAGTCTGGTCTTCAGTGGCAACAGTGTCACTAGTTGGAGAAAGGCTTTCACCGTCTAAAATAGCCAAGCGCTCTCCTTCATGCTCGCTATCGAACCCAAGGTCCGAGTCCGGTTTCCTGGCGTCGAAGCCCAGGAGCGGGGCTTCTCGTTCGGATGAGACACCGAAGTCAGAATGTTCACTGCCTGCTGCGTTCGCGTCCTCGACCTTCGCCGGAAGCACCTTGTGAGGGGACTCGTGGTTACGCTCTCGCCTGGGCTTTACACTTGGATATGCGAGGGGCCCAGAGCGACCGGAGGGAGACGTGCCTGTGCCTGAAGGATCTGCAGAAGCCCCAGGCGAGTGCTGCGACCCCGCCGAGCCCGAAGACTGCGGGCCTTCTTCATCGGCGCCTCGGCGCGCAGCGGGCAGGTGGCGGTCTGGTGGTCGCCTTCTTCGCGTTCGCGCATGATAGTCTTTGCCGCCGGACGAGTCCGAGAACTCTGTCAACCCCTCAGCAGCAGTAGAGTGCTCCGACACGCCCTTTGGCTGTGCTTGGGGTTCGAAATCGAAAGCGGGGTCAGAATGTTGCTCACGACCACCTGCTGCGCGGCGCGTGGGCTCTGGCTCCTTGGGCTTTGCAGCGGGGTCCCTGCCGGACAAACCTCCACGGCCGCGGGCCTGCCCGCTTACTTCTTCAGAACCTATATCCCCCTCAGGTGAGAAAGACTCGGAGCCTTCCCGACCGCCCTCTCCTTGTGACAACGCGGACGGCCTCGCGCCTGCACCATAAGGAGACGTCCCACCGGCCGCTGCGTGGCGCTTGGGCTTTGCACCCTCGGGGTTTGCAAGGGCCGCAGAACCAGGCGCGCCCCCATCACTACCGCCGTCGAAAGCTTCGCCCGTAATACCAAAACTGTCGATCTCTCCTGAGAAATTAGACACGTCTTGTGTCAGCCCCTCTTCGTCACCAGAAGGGGAACCAGCCCCATCCGCCTCAGGCCGTAAAAACCCTGGCGGGGGAGCAACCTCCGAAGAATACTCGCCACCATCCGGTCCCGGTGATGTGGATGGGCTTGCTACTGAAGCACTAGAGAATTCCTCTTCTGGTTGTTCTAATGAAGAGGGTCGCTTCCCATAGGATGAAGCGGCGGCGCTGTGTCCACCGATCCTCGATGGGCTTGATGAGCGTCGGCCGGGTAGCTCACCGCCCTCGTCATTATCCCACGGCAGGTGCTGGCCTCTTTCCGAAAGAAAATCATCAACACTCGAAACGGAGGGGTCTGCGAACGGTGCAGGCGGGGCTTCGGGATTGTCCTGACCATCATCGGGGTCAGAGGACGAAAAAGGCACGCGATTGTCGTCACTTCCAAAATCTGATAGCGCTCCACCAGGTCGCAAACGCCTCGACGTACGTGTCGTGGGCTGCTCCTCCTCCTGGTCGCTCCTTCCGTCCGCATCCACCACAGAAGAATATGATGTGAACTCAGAACCATCTTCGCCCTCTATCTTGTCTGAGGAGTCTGTGGATGACAAAAAAGGATGGGTGTTTTTGACGTTGACGACTTTTTTACTTTTAACGCCGTCCTTCGAAAATTTCTCGACCTCTTGCTGTGACAGCACGGGGTTCTCTTCGTCGCCGTTGCCGTAGTCGCTGCGGCTTGCTTCATCACCAAGTGCTCCCTTCGAATCGACGTCCATCCAGACGTGCTTTGGCCTTGTCCGTCGCGCGGGGTTCGCTTTTTGTTCATGTCCATCTCCCGCTTCACGTTCACTGTCTGGCGAGTCTCCCGAAGAGGATGGCTGTAATGGCAGAAGCGGTCGGCGATTATTACGCTTTTCCAGCGGATCTTCGCTGTCCCTCTCGGATTTCTCTTGTTCGGCAGTAAGCGTCCAAGATTCGGAGAATTCATCTTCCGCGCCCGGATTCGTCGATCGGCCTGATGTGTCACCTATTCGACGAGGACGAACGTTCGCGCCTGGCTTCGACGGTGCTGGAGATGGAGAGATGAAGTCAGCATCCATTTGCTCCGAGTGCGTCAGTTGATCAGTATCCGTTTCGCGTCGTTCCGGCTGCGATGGATTCGTGGGGGCATCAGGTGAGCTCCCAGGTTGAAGGCCCCCGGGGTTGTCCAAAGTCTCTTCTTCTGGCGATGAATAACCCGAAAGGGCAGAGTCTTCCAGTCCAGCGTCACCACGTCCGCCACCCTGTCCATGCTTGCCCTGGTTCCCGGCCTCGCGCGCGCCCGTCTCGAGCCGATGCCGCTGCGCTGGGCCCGTCGTGCTCGTTTCATCGGTCCTGCCCTCCTCCTCAGATGAAAGCCTTCCACTAGATCTACCACCGCCGCCGATGAAAAAATGATCAATATCACGCCCGCCATCACTAGAAGGCCCATTATCGTCCTCGCCTGTAGATACAGATGCCCCGAAACGATGGCTGGGGCCACGAGGATGGGTGCGGCTGCCTGAAGCTAAACTACCTCGGCCGCCATCGTCCGCGCCGCCTCGCTTGCTCATGGGGCCCGCGTTGTGAATTTTTGGACGACCGGCATGGCTGCGTGGAGTGTCCTCGTCTCCCCCGGCTGGCGTTGAACTTGCAGAGGCAGAGCCCTCCTCGTCACCTGAAGAGTCTTGCCCGTCAGGCAGCGCTTGGGCGCCTTCGTTAAAGATGCCACGGCTATCAGCGTGATCCGCCGAAGCATCATGGTCCGCATCGCTAGTATCCAATTCCACACTGTCTTGTTCAGGCAGGCGACTGCTCGGGGTCCCTTCTTGTTTTGTCTTCCTTTCTTCTCCGCGCTGTTGGGCCCGTGCAGGTCTTCCAGTTCCACCAACATCATCTCCAGCACCATAATCTCCATCGTCGCTTGTTTCAGTTGTAAAATGACCACCGTCAGCAGTGGAGGAACCTGAGCGACCCCTTGGTAGACTAACCGAGGAGTCCTGCAATGGCAGTGGCGCATCGGCATCATCTTCATCGGCACGGGACGATGACAAATCGCTGGAAAAAGCATCACCCTCTTCAGAAGGCGACACGTCCTCCGGTCGAGCATCCGCAGAAAAAGGAGGTGTGTCTTCTTGTTCTGTTTGCGGGGAATGGCCGAGCGGCGCAGCAGGTCCTCTGACATCATCATCATCATCATCATCATCTCCAACACTAGTACGGCGATCGCCACCCGCCGCAGGGGCGCGGGTGGATTCCTCCTCTCCAACATCTTCGGTACTACTTCTGTAAGAAGCGTCTTCATCACCATCGACGGAAGAGCCTCTGCCCCGTCCTTCTCCTTCTTGTCCAGAAGGAGAGAGGCTCTCGGAATGCAACTCGTCGCTTCCATTTTCATCATCAAGGAACCTCCGGTCACGAGCAGGCTCGTCAGGGCGGCGATCTGGATCACCGTTCCGCCGCATAGCGAGTTGCCGGCGAAGAGGCGCCGCCTCATCAATCGCTGATGACTCGCCACTTTCGCCCACTGTCGAAGAAACGCCGCGCCGATCCTGGCTCGCGCGGCTACCACCCACAAATCGACTGCTGCTGCTGCTGCTGCTAGCCGCGTCTGACCCTAGCGCTGAAGAGTAACCCAAAGAGTCGGAATCTTCCACAACAGCGGCATCCTCGCGGCGCCCTCCGTGCGGTCCGTGCTGGCTCTCTGGCCCGTACGAGTGCTCGCTCGTTTCACTGTCACTGGCGCCTGATGACTCGCCACTTCCGCCTGACCAGCTCTCCGCAGAGTCTTCGCTCTCTGGCGACCCCTTAGCAGTAAAATGCGGCTTGCCAACATCTTGTCGTGCATAGCGTCGCGGCCCACCGCTTCGCTTCTGTTCTTGTTGCCTAAGTCGACGCGCACTCTCTGTTCCCACCGCTGAAGCATCTTTTTCCTCCACACTTTTCTGCGAACCAGACGTCTCGGCTGGAGAAGAAAACGCCTCGGAGCGACCGCCATCGCCTCCCGCAGTCGATGACAACCCGGACTGCCTCGCGCCCGCACCATGAGTGCGCCCTTGAGAGTCAGACGACTCTGAATGCGCTCCAGGGCGGAGTCCTTTCCCTCTCTCCATAGCGAGTCGCCGCCTAGAAGGCGGCCCCACAGTTTCATCTGAGTCGTCACTTTCGGCAGCCGCAGCAGCAGGGTTCGTTGCGGATGCAGAACGGCGGTCCAACTCATCCCATGACACGAGTTGTCTACGACGGACCTTGCGCCGACCGGCTCCGATACAACAGGAACGGCCGCACTGCGCACAGAGGAGAGAGACGACCTTCAGCTGCGCGCCCTTGGTCGGGCGCAGATTCATGTAGAGGTAAACGAGAGTTGCACAGAAGAGCCACACTAGTAGCGGCCACGGGATCCGGACACGACAGGTCTTACAACACAATGACATGGCTGCCATTCTCTTGGAATTCGTCCCGGACCCGGTATGATACTCCTCCGCGAAGTAATGCGCGAGACGCGGCTGCTCCTTTTGGTAGTTCAGCTCCACGTTCAGCTCGGTGCCATGTTTCTGCACAACTTCCACCGCCTCTCCGACAGCGTCAAAATCTGCGTCAAAGCCGTCAAGCTGGCCGTCAAAAAGGTCTCCGCTAGTGCTCCCAGCATCAAGCGAGTCGCGGTACCGGAAGAAGCGGGCCATGAGCGAAGAAGCCCGCATCACCGGCGGCTGGTGGTCCCAGATTGTTGGTCCTCCTCCTTTCACGTCCGCCGCATTTTTCGCACCGCGTCCCAAACCCAAAGCGTATGTACGAAACGTCACGACGCTTCGTAAGTATCCGCTTTCATCTAGAACATCCTCAAGGGAAAACGTCGCCGACGCAGAGGCTCCTGCTCCCGCGGCACCAGCCTCGTCTACTCCTTCGCCTTCAGCTACGCTCTGTTCCCCAGCTACGATTAGAACATCCCTCGTTAACGGTCCATTTTGGTTTATATTTGAATATCCTTGCTCATCTTGATGATGGATGACTACTTACTCTATGTTTTCGCATCATCAAGAACATAAAAAAAAAAATCCGTACCATGATTATATCAAAATCAAGGACCACAAGGTCGTGGATGTACTCAAGTATAAATGTGTCCCCTTATCGTCCTCAAGCTTATAAGGTCGTGATATACATACTCATACCGCGAAACAAGCCTTAATAGATCCACAGATTTCATCTCTTCTTGTTCTCGCTCGTAATCCCGGAACTCCGCGCTTAACAGCAGTTGCGATTCCACATATGGTGGAGTCGACAAGCTGCTGGCACCTGTTGTACTGACGGGACCTCCGCCCAGGGTATCATATTCCCGCAGTTGCCAATCAACAAACGGCGTCATAACATCATTGCCAGCATTTCCATTGCTGGAGGAAGCCACCTGCACTTCTTCTGGCGTTCCATCCTGTTGCTTTTGCTCAAAGGACCTGAACATCTGGGTTCCGAGGAAATCATCTTGTGGGCTGCCAAACTGTGACGAAGACCGCACCAGAGCGCTACCGCTGAGGTCGGCTCCCGCTGGGCGCCCTAGCTCACACTTAGACCTAAACTCGTTCCCTAGTTGTAAATCCATTTCGAGCATCAAAGACATCCTGGAGCGTTCTATTTCATCTACTTGAAAAATCTCGCAGGAACGGAAGCTGCTCGTGAAGATTGATTATGGGAAGCTGCCTTAACAAACTCCATGAAGTCGCTCGTTTGTAGCAGTTGTGTGCCCGTGAAGTTCGAAGACGGATCCAAGAAGGCACTGCCGACATTCTGCTGCAGAAATTGGGAGTTTGGCGCTCCCTGCCCCACAACATTGTTGTAGGCCGCATCAACTTCAGGAATGGTGCCTCCTCCTACACGAGAACCTCCATCAACATCTCGTCCACGATCTTCATGGTCTCCCGCGGCCATTTTCGCTCTTTTCTTCTTCTTCTTCGTCTTTTCTTCAGATTCTGGAGGATTCGCATTCGGCTTCGGACCAGAGGTGGAGGCGCTGGAGGTTGTGGACTGCGATTTCGACTTCGAGGACTTCGCTCCACCATCTACATGAAGAAGCTCGTGCTCGTCGTCGAAGTAGGAGTCATCTCTTCCTAAGACATTTTGAACGTCCGAAGGCAGGCGAATGTCGCTGAAGGTCTCCCGATCATGAGGCCCAGGTTGATCTGCTCCACCAGCAGACAAGAAATCCTCATCCTGTGCTTTATCTTTATGCTCCTCTACGATTGTGACGCTCTTCTTCTTCTTACCATGATTTTTATCATCGAGGTCCTCGTGATGGTCGTGGTGTCGTTTCTTCTTCTTGTTCTGCCGGTGCTGCTCTTTATTTTCATCCTCGTGGTGTTCCTCGTGCAACAGCTGTTGTAGGGCTAGGTCTACTTGGGCTCGATGTTCCTTTGGTTTTGCCTCATCAAATCCTGATGAGGCACCACCAGACTTAGGACTGCCGTCAACATCCTTTCCTCGACGTGCCATGTTGAATTAGACGAGATCGTAAAGTAGTAGTAGACTCCTATTGCTACTTCCACCTACCCATCTTTTGAAGCCAGAGCAGGCTAATTGGAAGCACGTTGCGAACTACTCACCAAATTGTTCAAAACCAAGGAAATATCTAGCAGAAATGGAATCTTCATCTTCTTTATCCAACAATAATCACGACAGTATTATAAGTTCTAAAAAAACTACGACTAAGTAGAGATGCTCTTCCTGAACCTGCTGCGTTTCATTTCCTTTCACTACTGTAAATTGAAGATGATGATTATACTAGAATATAAGGCAATTTCCGAACTTCTGGATTGCATGGCATGGATGGCATGCATTGCATGGATGGACCACCCAAAAAACAATATATTTTGCGTGGCGCCCTTCGGGCGCCATACTTCCTCCGCAATACCGGGCTGCTCCGCCGAAGAATTGCTTTACGATACACGAACACAAACACGGCCCCACTGTGACCTCGCCCCAGAAACAAGCAAGGAGCAGCGCAAACGCCGTGGCCTGTGTGCGCCAGGGAACAGCGAGCAAGACGGTCGAGATCACAGGCAAGCTAGCCTAGTCGAGCTACTTACAATAGCTAGCACGTGCCAGCACTATTCAAGTACGCCTACAGTACAACGGAGCCAAGTATTCCTATGCCGCGCCCTGCGTCTTCGCTCCCGTGTCGCTCCCTTAAGAAGGTCGCACTCTGACCCCCTCGGCTCATGCAATGCATGCAATGCCATGCAATCCATCCAATCCAACATCCTTCTTACGAAATGTTCTATTATACAACAAGAACAACTACATTGCTAGTACTCCTTGTACTTTTTATTAATCTAGTAGTGATTTGCGGTTATATGATATTAGCCATAATAAAAACTAATCTTCACGTCGTGTGTGGATGCGGATGCTTCTTCGTCCGAATCCTTATGCTTGTGCGCCTTTGAACCTAATTGTGAATAATTCACCTATTTCACGACCAAATGTTAGAAGTACGTCTTGTACTTATTCATCATCAACAGTACCTGATTTTTAGAACTGCAAGGAGACTGCGCTTATGACGACAATCAAGAAGTGGAAGCCTTCGCATCAGCAGCAATTTCTACTCGTAGCACGCAAATATTTAATGAAAATTCTGTTGTAGTATGTGAACACGTTCAGCATCAGTTAGATTTCCATCACGACATCAAGTGGCAGTCGTGAACCTTCTCTTTATAAAAATAGATTTGATGATCTGACGTGAAAATGATGTTGATGTTGACGAACTTATGCCTAGTTGTACTTGATCTGGTTTCAGCCTAGGTAGTCTAGGAGATGAGTTGATTCTACATCATGATAACTCTCTAAACTAGGATGTAACTGACTCCACAAAGTGGGCTTTGTTGACGCTACGTTTTTTCAACAGTGAAGAGCAACAGAGTACAAAGAAAAAAGAACTTGTTTTCATTCAAAGTAGACGATTACCGGGTGACCCGAGACGAGAGGACTCCCTTTCTTCCCATTCTGGCTCGAACGTAAAGGATGTATTTTCCAGCTCTCGCGAAGATTGCATGGCTTCCACATTATAAGGTTTATCCGTCGCAGCTATAATTAGAAGAGGCATGACGACCATAAGCAGGTTGGGGTGGATAACGATATTGAGGATAATGATAGATAATGATGAAGAAGATTGAAGATGAGGAAGTTTAGATTGAAAGTAAGTGCATAAGTCAAGAATAATGATAGATAACATTGCTATAATTCTTGTTGTCCGGCATAGTGGACGAGTTGTCCTTGCTGGATGGTCACCACCTTGCCTGGGTGTTCATTATCTTTAACTCCCGTATTCAAATCTTTACGGAAGTTAAAAATCACTATCGTCTTCCTTTTTATCACGAGGATGCAACGTTGTGCTGTTCACCAAGATAGAACGGAGCGAGTAGTTTAATGCCCAATGGGGATATCGATACTATTTTTAATCTTAAGGCAACGACCGCCTGAGCCCATTGCCCAATGAGGATAATATTCTCGATTTTAATTCAACCTCCTGACGAAATAATTTGACGAAGTTGTAGTTACCTTACGGAATATGAATCTCAACTTTCCTCGTCCACTGACTTTTTGGGTTGAGGCTCTATGTTTCAGCGGGCGAGCGGCAACAGTGGGCATGTATATCTCCCCCTCAGGTTGCGCAGTCCGTCCATTCCGTGTTGCAGTTGTTCCATCACTCGTGAGCAGATGCTCGTTAGAGCTAATGCAAACTCGACAGAGTTAAGTAAAATTTAGCCATTGCAATTGTTCCAACATCTGTTCTCGTCACGCAAAGAAGAAGAATGCAAGTCGAATCATGTTAATGATCCTTCACTCAAAAACGTATTCTTTCTCCTGATGTTGAAAAAGTATGATAGTACATCTTAGATGACTGACTAAGTACTAGATCTACTACACGCACACGAGTATATAGCACATAGAAGAGGATCCGTCTAACGCTACCTAGTACTACACCTAGTACTACTCAATTGTTCTCGAATATAAATGATGATGATCGAAATGACCAGCGCGAATAAGTACATGTAGGTGGAAATATAGGATTCTGAGCCTTATCTCTTTGTTGAAAGCTGACGTTTTCCTCTGCGGACGAGCTCTCGTCCATTTTCATTTGCTCATCATGTCGGGAAGTATCGTGCTCCTCTTCCTTCTCCACGCTGTCGTGGTTGTTGATGAAACCTGATGGAGACGACATCTTCGTGCAATTCTTGTTGTTAAAAACAGGAGAGCCAGAAGCAGAAGATGAGTTAACAGTTAATAGTCATGACTACTACTAGTCCTAGCTGTAGAAGAAGTCCCATCCAACATAGAGCAGCAGCACGTCGACAAGTTGTTGAAGTTTTCTGTGATGAGTCAATGTGTGTATTCTACATCAACGTCAACAACGTTGGTCTTCTCGATCAATATTGGACAACATCAAGGAGAACACTGTTGGAAGTCAATTTATCATAATTTAGTTGTAAAGGTGAAAATAATAATATTACAGGGGGGTCGTGTGGTGGATGAGGGAAAAGTGAAGATTCAAAGTCTTGCAATCCCTTTCACAATCACTGGAAGGACGAGATGGGAATGTCTGGAGTGTAATCATTGATTACTCATGCACATGCTGCTCATAGTTAGTTGATGCTCCAGCAAGAATGACATATCTTCATAAGATAGGAAAACATTTCTATTGTGTTTGTGTGGATGGACATGAAGTTGGTCCTCTACAGTAGACACCTGTAAAAGTGCTGGATGTGGATACTCACTACAAAAATCAATCGATCATGGTATAGATGATGATAATTATGTTGACAAAACTTTTTCGTCGCAGATCAAGCTAATTATCTCTACTCTACTTCTCTACATCTACATGCATTTTTATTTTATTATATGACAGATAGATATTCTCAACCTCAAGCAACAGAAGTAATAGTCCGGTCTCTACCTCATTCTGGTGACGTCAAACTCCTCTCTGGCCATCTCCTCAACATACGCTCCAATCGTCACCTCACACGCATGAAAACAGATGCTTCCTGCTCAATAGAAGAACGACCTCCACCACGCGGGATCTCATGTAGCTTTGCCGATGATCTCATCACTCCACGTCCAAGCCCCCCTCAGCACGTCAATAGAAACCGAATGCTCAAGTCAACTGAATGCTCAAGAACGCTGTTGAACAGCGTATGTCTTCTCTTAATAGCAGCACACACAGCATGTTGTTCAACTAGATCGCGCAACACAAGTCACAGAGTGGAATGAGGACAGGCAACACCAGATTTTTATAGCTTCTAGTTCTAGTAGTATTTGAGACTGTAGTTCTAGTTAATATTACAATTGTATCTATTACTTAGGTGGAAACGTACTTATAAATACATAGTCGTATTGAAGACACTAGCTGAACCAATCATGTTGAGGCATAATGGAAACAGGTATTAGTAGAATCAAAAATCCCATGTCGTGCTGAGGACAAGCACTTTTTGAAATCCGTTTTTCCTACGCTGCTTCAGTTCTTTCACCTACCAAAAAAGAGTCGGCAGATGTGGGTCTGCGTTAAATGGGCCGGGTGCGGGGGATTTATATAGGCAAAAAAGTCTTCGACATCCATCTAATGATCTGGGTTGACAGGAGGCTTCATCATGGCAGAGTTAGAAATCTTAATGTACGATATTCATGTTGATTATCACTTACTCGATGTGTTTTGATTACTTAGTTCGTCACGTGCGAAGTCGTTCCCGCGCATGCTCCAGCTCTTTTAGTCATATCTAATCACTCAGTCAAAGTTTCTTGAAGTCTGCGCTAGATGGGAGCCGTCTTTGGATCTTTCTGCATCCCGTAGGCGTCATTTCTCTGTTTTTGTGGATTTGGGTCGTCGTCGTGAAGATCATTTGAATAGTCAACTATGTGGAAGGTTCTCCAAAGTCGTTCAAGGAACTCTCGACGTAGTACTTCCGAAGTAGTTGTCAAGAGGATTACAGTGATTACATTTATTAGCATTGCAGAGCAATTGATAAGGTTGCACAGCTGGCATGGCATGGAGTGCATGGATCGCATGGAGTAGCATGGAGCTAAAGGGGGAGCTTCTTGCGCCCCTTAAAGCTCTGCGCTCCATGTACTCCATGCTACTCCATGCACCATGCGTGCTAGTAGTAGTAGTAGCGCACCCAATCGTGGGGTATAGTCAAGTGCATTAAAATCAAATGCATTAAAAAATAGCCTTGTTCGTGGCTGCTCTAGTCATAACGAATAATGTAAAAATACTGTGCATGTATGAAGAGAAAGGAAGACGGACCACTCCAGTAGACGTCCGAAGCATCACCGGGAGGACAATTACGACTCCTTTTCGCGAGAAGCCTCTCTCTATATCATGGCGAGCACTTCTGCAGCTGCGTTCTGCTCTGGTGCTTGCTGCGAAGAAGTAGGAGCAGGACTACGTACTAGACTTCTCTTTCTTCGTATGAATCCATTTAAGATTTGCCGCGACTAATTTTTGGAAAATTGGGTCCGAGAGAAAGCGCTGGGCAATCAATCCATTGTGAGTCATCATACTGCCCATCCAATCCATGGTCAGCTTCTTCCATTGCTGCAGTGCGGCTGCGGACGGGGAGGCGGAGGCGTTAGGCGTCGCGGAGGCTTCCTGCTCATCCTTTAGACTTTTGTATATTTGAAGACCGCCTTGAATAACGAGCGAAACTTGCTCCTGGAGCGCGATTTCAGTGTATGTGAGGGGGGATGACAGGTAGGCTGAGAGGCCGAGGTTAAACGTAATCTGCTTGCGGCCAAGTGTTGTGTAGAGCGCTATCAACAGGGCTGCCACGTTTCGCCAGTTCTTCTCTAGTTGCTCGTTCGCAATTTGGTCCCGCAAAAAGGAAGTAAAGGTATTCGCAACCGCAATGATCGTTGTACTGAACTGTCGTTGAGCCATCAACCCATTGTGCACCGCGTTAGCATTCTCTCTTTTGAATTGTCCAAACAGTAAGGATTCTTGCTTTTTTCCTTCAAAGAACGTGCGCATGGCGTCGTGCTCTGCGTCAGTGAGAGCTTGCGGAAACAATGGTAAATTGGCGGAACTTCCCGAAGGATGGGCGCCCTGCTCTTTGGAGATAGCTATTAGCTGATGAAGCTCCATCTCTCCCGAGCCAGGGTCATCTTCGAACACGGCTCCCCGAGAAGCTGCAAGCAAAAAGTCGTAGTCGAGCGACTTCATGGTTTTCTCAAAGTGCGACAATTGCGATTGCTGCTCTACCTTGGCAAGGTCGTAATGATGGGGCGCGGGAAGAGAGAGCCGCATATGTCGAGCCTCCATCTCCTGCTTTCTCATTATGAAATATCGGAAATCGATGTTCTCTGAGAGTGCATCCGCTATCTCGTTGTCGTCGCTAACTTTGCCCGCAGAAAAAGCGTAAAAGTTGTACGTCGCAGCAACTAACTTGGTCAGCCTCGCTACCTGGTCAAGATGCCTCATCGCGTCTCTTTGCATGGCTTCTTGGCACCGGGCATTCAATGCTAACGCGCTTAAACTGCGATATTTTCTTTCGTTTGCTTCAGCCAATGCCTTTTGCTTAGCTTGCTCCGCTTTGTTAAGCTTAGAGACCATATCATTTTCAAAGGTCTCACGCTGCGAGAGCCACTCCTGCTCCTCGACAGATTGCTGTCCTTGTTCTTTTTCATCTTGAGTATCAGCTTCACCTTCAACATGCTCTTCCTCGATCGTCTCGAGAGGGGCCAGCTTTGGGTTTGGCAGATAATCCTTCTGACGCGGACTCTGAAGCGGACCGACAGCGCGAGAACCAGCGAGCAAGCCCAGAATGAATGCCACCAAAAGGCGGATAGTCTTCTTCTTGCCAGTAGGAAACATCATTTTTCTTAGTGCAATTACCAAAGGTGAGTTCTTATAGAAGTTCTTTGATTTTTCTACTACGAAGTGATAGTTAGTGTTGTAATTTTTGTACTTAGTATTTTCATAAGATTTCGTGTCTGTTCGACGTTATCGTGGTTATTCAGTTTCAGCTGGAGTAATGCTGAAACAATGCTTCTTGTCCCGAAATGAAAATCTGCTAGCGAGGAAGACGTAATTCTCGGCCTTGAGCCAAAATGCTATAAACTACTCTGTTAATATTGTACAATGAAATTGTATACGTAGCTCTAGCTGCATAGCTGGTACGACAATCAATCGTGCGGCCCCAAAACCTGTAGCACGTCGACCAAACACTTGTTTGCTTTACGCTTTTACTTTTTCTGATTATTTTTCATCTGTACTACAGCATGGTCCTGTGCGTTAGGGGCGACGATAGAAGCGAAATCGAAGTCTTAAGCGTCACAGCGCTAAAAATAACTGCATGCACTGCTTTGTCTTTGGTAACATGGCTAACTTTGACCAACGATCACAGCGCTAAGAATAAAGCAGAAATAACTATAGTAGAACAGTTTATAAGGGTTCCCAACATGGCTGGGCTGGGCACGCTGGGCACACTGGGTCGCACCGATTTGGTATATGAATCTTCCATTTCCAATGGAGGTGAAGCAGTGACTACCAGCGCACTAGCAGCTGCCCAGCACATGATTTTGTATTATTTCTACACGATCCTGGAGCGATGGTATCGCCCACGACATTTTCTTCATCTGATTACAGATGAATAAAGCGACGGCGAGGTGGACCCTGTAACGGCTTTATCCGGTTCACAGAGAATGATCACCGAGAACCTCGTCCACCAAGTCGTGACCATGAGTGCTCGCAAAGGAGTTTTCTTTGTGTTATGCTTTGGGACCATGCATTTCAAATCAGGTAACTCGATTCAGAAAGACACGACATCACAATCCACTTTCTCACACTCATTTCGGGACTGCTGCATGCCTGCTTTGCTCTACTCCGCAGGACACTTGCATCCCAGTGCTGCTGCCAGCACCGAAACATGCCTCCTGCATGGTACACTATTCTTGAAAAACACAAAGAACAAGAACTGTCTGGTTCAGCACACAGAGTGTCTTGTGTCTCACATTCATCTGAGACACAAGAAGAAGAACCCAGTTTCATTTGTCGTCTACATCTCCAAATAATTCCTTTAATCGCTCTTGCTTTCTTCAAGATGTTGACAAATTCGTTTCATAGTTCGTATCACTAAAAACTCCCACAAATATGTTCGTACAAGCTCGCCGATCCCTGTCCATGTGGATTCCCACCTCCCATCTCCCAATCCCCTTTTACTCAAGGGCCGCCCCCATCGGGATAATCGGATGAACCCACAGAAAAAACTACCTGCACCATCTCACGAAAGCACGCGAGATGAATAAGATTTATTTCTGTACTAGTGATAGTACGAAGCTTAAGAATGGTAAGGAAGCATCCAGAGTCCAAGAGACATCTCCATCAAATGAGCCCCAGCAGCTGCTTATTCATATATTTTTGAGAAATTATAGGCACGAAAAACATTTTAGACAATCATCAAGTAGGAAAGTAGACCAAGATGATAGAGAAAGTGGAATTATTTTTAGACGATGTAGTAAGTCGACGACTGATCATATATTTTTGTTACGTAGCTAATAACGATCGTATTCTCTTTTTCACTAATTATTTTCTGACGACGAGAGAAATCTTCTGTGTTTTTTGACGAGCATATTTTTGATTATCTCCTCACTCAAAAATACCAATTATAGCTTCCTTCTGATAAGATCCTCTGTCTGTCCCTACTACATATGGCGAAGCTGAAAAGCGCAGCTCTACGAGTCCACCCCATCGTCTTCCCTAGTGAGGTGAACTCGAAGGAGCTGTTGCCTTGTCCTCTTGTCTATTCGTTTTCATTTTTTTATTTATCACATACTTCTAGGTAGTTATTTTCAGTAGTTGTCCTTAACTCCATTCTAAAAACAAGCAAGACGCACGGACGAGGACCGCCACGCTCACTTCAAAGCAAGGACTTTCTTTTATTTCGTAGCATGAGCGAGTTCCGTAAAGAACCTGCGAACATATTTCCTACGTAGCCACCGGCGTAGGGGGAAGGTCTTAATCTCCTTAACAACTACGGCAAAGCTTCTCTCTTTTTTGTAGCGCTTCTTTTTTTTTGTAGTGCGAGCGAGCCCCGATAAGTCAAGACCTACCTGCGTACTTTCCGCGTAGATACCGGCAGAGGGGGGGCTCTTAGGCTCCCTTTTTTTTAGCCCTCGAATGTTTGTAGTGCCATGCTTATCCGAAAGGGGAGAGCTTGCGCGTGCACCCAAGAAGCTGCCGGCGAAAGACGGGGCTAACACCCTGTAGGATACGCAAAAACTTGGATCCGTCGACTTTAAGACGATCAAACTTAGGAGCTAAGGCAGACTACTGCCATGCGGAAAACCGTCCCCCTCACAACATAAGCGCCGTGTCAACCTGGGCTGCGAAAAGCCGTCCACCTAAGATAGTTAAACACTTAATCCAACTTATTGCTCCCTACTACGCGCGAAGCTCGTTGGTGGAGTAAATTAGAAGGATGCCGCGATAGCTACAAAATGGTTGCTATAATGCGAAATTTGTGAAGGAACGCTAGGCACTTTTTTTAGACTCCATCTCCCCGTTGCCGGGCAAATTCATTAATTGCGACTTTTTCGCATTCTTTATTTTTGATTTTGCAGCACACCCGTTACAAAAAAAAATTACAAAACATAAACATTATTCTTTGATAGATCGAGTAGCATTTCTGAGTACCTTGCAATAGCATCTTTTTCTTTATTTAGTAAGATCGACATCAAATAAAAACTATCAACCTTGCAAAACTATCAACCCAACGCCGACTCTAGTCGTCCAATGTCGTCCATCAAACTCATTTTCTCCCGTAGCTCCGTCTCCCCTGAATGTTCCAAAATCAAACCGATCCAATGTCGCCAGTTGTATAGTTCGTCTCCCATACAACTGGTTGCACTAGAATCGGATGATTCTCTATTCTAATAAACACGTCCGGCGCTGCTCTAGCAGCAGCATCCTTCGTCTTCCTTGGCCTTCGCCTTGGCCTTGGCCTCGGCCTCTGCCTTCGCCGCCTCCTCCTGTTCCTTTTGCTTTTGTTTAGCTTCGGCCTCCTTCTTCTCCTGCTCGACCTTCTGAGCTTTCTTTATCTCCTCCTTAACTTGCTCCGTGTTGTCGAGGCAGCATTGGGCATAAAAACTGTCCGAAAACGGGCGCACCTCGTTTCCCTTGTGGCCGGTTTTGGCCTGACTGCCGTTCATGACGTACATTTTTTTGGTGATAAACTTCTTCACCCCAGCAAGGTAGTCATAGTCTTTGTCGCCAACAATTGGGTCCACGCCATCCTTGCTGTTCTTCAAGGTACTCCAAGCGGACTCGTTTTCTTTGGCGAATGTCAGAATTTCCTGTAACTGGCCCTGTTCTTTTCCTTCTGCTTTTTCCTTACCGTCATTAGAGCTGTGAAACTAATACTAAATGTAAGTGTATCAGTATCTAGTACAACTACATGATCTAGAAGTAGTTAGACTCAGAAGTATCTACTTACAACTACATTGTAACAACCCCGGAAAAGAAAAATGCGTCCTCCCACAGCATCTTCATACTTCTCCACGAAGGTGAAGTGTAGTTTCTCGAACAAGTCAGAGTACAATTGAAGATGTTGTACTTGTGCATGTACTATGAACTACGAGTACGAGCTGCATGCTAAATTTATCAGTCTATAATGTTTGTGAGTGAAGTTCTCAGAAACGATGCTGCACTTCCGTTATTTCAAACTGAAACTTTAGCCTTAACAGTAGCCCGGAGCGTGGACGGATTCTTCTTCTCCTGTTTGGCGAGGTTTCCGGCAGCGCATACTTTCGCCGCTTCGACAACTGTAAGGTAATCCAAATACGAGAAACGTTCTTTCTTGGTCTTAATGCTGGCCAGTGTCTGATCCTGAGGATCGCAGCTCGGCCCTCTGCATGTCGAGCCAGTTAGAGCAGGGCATCTTCACCGGGTCCGTTCTCGGGAGAGAAGAGGAGAACTGCAGAGCGGAAGCGCTGCCCGCGACAACTGACGCGGTGATGATCTTCTGTGTCAGCGACATCGTGATTTTTTTTCCTTTCAAGATCTTGGATGAAATAAAAACAGACGAGAAGACAGTAGATGATGACTCCGATGGTGTCGAAAGACAATCCACTGCCGTGAAGTCGAGAGTGGCGATGTTCGTGTAGTAAAAGACCTAAACAATCTAATTTTTCGGCAGGAGCACTTGTGTATGACTATGACAAAGCCGCAGCGATGGCCTTAGTTTTTTCGAAAAGAGGGTTGGGATCTCGTTGTAAACGCAAGTATATCTCTGTGGAGAGAATTGGTTGCAAGATAGATGTGTTTGGTCGACGTGTTGATGTTGAACAAGAGAGCTTTTTATCTTGATCATCCACCACCTAAATCATATCACTCCATAAGGAAAAGGATATCATTGATCGCATGGAAAGAAATTGAAATTTTTTGCTCAAGGTCTCATCTTTGTCTCACACGACCTAGCGCTCGCGCGGTTGAGACCACGACAGAGCTTCACTCCTACAGACCAAGTCACACGTAATTATTGCAGCCCATCTCCCATTCTATTGGAGGACGGGGAGGACAGCAACTCACTCACGCTCATCATCATGCGTCTCTAGTGGTCATGCACCCTCACCCAATACCAAGCACACAGTCCTCAATCACGACGACGACAGACATATTGATTCTCGATGTGGTCACAGATTAAATTAATAATTTCACGCTACAATCAAATGCTGGCTCTGAATCTCAATGTCTTCACAGATCACGATTACCACGCCCGAAAATCGTGATGTAGTCACTTCTACGTCGCGGCTCCTGGAATTACTCAATAAATTCATCCTAGTACAAGTTGGAACACGAGCCGCTACTTCGTTCCAGAAGTTCTAATCTTGCATGATGATGCGAATCTATTTGGCAGATCATTGACTAATATATCTATTTATAAGATTTCTTTTCCCTCCTGACAATTTCATATGATAATGGTAATCCATCAAATATATGGGAATTCCAACTACGCGCACTGGCGATTTCACACGCACACCTCGTAACAACGTTCGGAATTTTCTTCCAACAAGACAGTTCACTATGTTGTCTGAATTGATCATCATGGCAAAGGCGGAAGGCTCTCTTCTTGCTTATTTTGTGATACTTGCCTGACAGTGACGAGCAGAACTACGAACGTTGTACTGAGACCATACCTTCTTGTTCACGATTGCATGATCCAGATCATATTTCACAGACATCTCGCAGCAGACCTTCTACTAGGATCATCCAGGCTCACTTGTTCGACAGCACGAATACGAAAGAAGTGAAAATTTACATGAAGCTGGTGGCTTCATCTAGTTCAATTCTTCAGAACTATGCGTGCCATCTGCTTCTCCATCTGCGTCGGTCTCGGTCGTGGATCCACTATTCCCTAAGACTAGGAGACGCTGAAGTACTAGCAGACGAACTGTCTGTCGACAGGGTAACTTACTAGCCCTAGCTTTGAACAATGATCGTAGCCCTCAGTTGCCAGCAGAAGTTGTCGTGCCAGCAGGAAAGACTTCTTCCGCCTACTCTCGCCTTCGGATATATTCAAGTACTATCGGCGCGTAATCAGGCGCACGCATGCGGCTGTCCCTGGAGTGTTCTTGTCATCGTTCGTGATAACCGAAGAGACGGGATCTGAAAGTCTATTTGTCCAAATGTTGCGTTCGTGAAGGTATTCCGCCAATGCCGCAGTCCTTTCTTGGAGGTTTTAGCCCAACCCCAATGGTGTAGTGGATAACTGCCCATGACAAGAGTCAGCGAAAATAGTCAATCCTTGTCGGAAAACATTCATCAGCATGTTCCTGCTTTCGCCAACGACGAGGCACGAATTTGTCAATCATCATGCTCGTGAAGATTCTAGTGATCGAAGGCTGTAGTCTGTAAGCGTAAGGGTACTAAATCTAGAGCTCTGCGAATGGGTATGCTTCTTCTGATGAGGAAGTTTATTTCGCACCTCTCCGACTCCAAGACCTCCACACAAGAACTTATTCGGCATTTATACCTATGGCTGCGGGATGGAGATGCAGCAGCTCAAGACGAGGACGAGCTCACACTGTACCGCGGTACAATTTCAGGTTGATGAGCGGCTCATCTTGATGAACCCATACTCCGCATGTGCACAGTCATCCTACTTCTTGGCGTATTTCCCTCTTAGAAAAACAGGGATTTCAAACAAAGAAGATGATCATGATCATGATGGTGCTGTTACTCAATAAGATAATTGTTGCCGGCAATCGTCGTGAATGCAGCTGCTAAAAACTATGGCCCCTGCAGTCCTCGTGTTAGTACACTGTTCAAAAATGGAGTCCGATGATTGCTCGCGGCCGTTCTCTTGTTCGATTCTTCTTGCGCAACATCTTCGGCTACTTCTGGTACACTGCTGAAGCTCGAGGATGCGGAAGAGCTATCACTAATACCCGGAATCGGCGCGGCACCGTCACCAGCGGAAAGTCTCAAAATGCTGCCAGTGTCTTCATCCACTAATGCCATTTGCTCTCGACTTTCAGGAGCTGTTGTATTTCTTGATCGACTATAATTGGAAGTTGCTCTGTAGCTGTAGTTTCCATTTTCGGGCTGTAGTCCATTATTACTTAGTAGCGAAGAACTCACCAATCCTCGTCCCTCTTTACCTTTGCCGCTACTACTACTATCAAAATTGATACTGGCAACTGCAAAAGTACTAGTTGTAGTTCCTCTTCCTTCATAAACAGCAGAGGCGGCACCACTTTTATTACCATCATATTTTCTCCAGAACAAGGAAGTACTACAAGGCCCTACTTTTGCTTCTGTACCCGCGCCATCTCCTGTTCTTGGCCTGGTGAACGCAGACCGATTATAATCGGTATTGTTCGTATTACTCTTGTTGTAGCTGTTGTTCTCGGAGAAGATTTGGACATTGGATGAAGCCGCTCTTGGCGACATGATCCCTGTGAAGTCCACGGGGCTTGCTGCGATGCTTTGACGTATACTTCTAGCCGTGTAGGTTAGATGGAGAAAATATCGATCTTCAGTCGGTAGACATGACTTACCAGCACGAGCACATCTAGTCCCCCATCTACTGCGCTGCTCAAGATTCTAGATGAACTACTAGTTGTACAACAACAACAGCAACAAGTTTTATTTAAGTTGTATTTTTAGTACGAGGACTCGTACTAGAACAATGAGTTTTAGTTGCCATAATTTGAGTCGCAAAAAGAGCATCACAAATCGTGCGGGAAGGAGCACCAAGCGCAATAACAAGACGGGGAGAGAAAGGAAGTTCTCGATGAAGAGGAAGAAAATATTACGAGGAACCACCGTATTCGCTTCTTGGTCCCAACTCCAAACGGTACTCACCGCATACACAATCGACAACGCGCAAGCGGAACTGATTTCATCGACGAGGCAGTAATTCTTAATGTTGAATGAAGACGAAGAGGAGGGACGACGACGACGAGCACGAGAAGTGAAAAAGAAACATTCATGATTGAACAATGATAAAAAAAGATAGGAGAAGGATTAGATATAGATTACATATTCTACTGTTTTTATACATAGAACTACGTCGGAGATCATAACGTAAGAAATTCAGATTACAAAGTACGCAATGCAAAGATCCCCTAGATTCGTCGGCTTGTCGAGTTCGCAATACAAACGGAAATCGCCTCCAGCGACGAAGCAAATAAATCCCAAGGTTTCGGCGATGAAGAAGGCTGATATCATTCCCTCTACCGTCTCCTCGACTAGAAGTTCCAGATGCGGACTGTCCGTCAAAAATTGCCGCTCTCTAAACCAAGACCGTCCATACACGCCCAATTTCGCCAAATACCACGCTCCGATACCGAAAGAGAGAATGGATGCGATCGCGCAGTAAAACAGATAAATCCTAGAGGCCCGGCATCTCCGCAGGCGGTACTCGCTCAGGGACCGAACGATTTCCCGCTGTAGATGGCCTCGCGCGGTACCCGGCTCCGGGATCATCTGCCCGCTTCCTGCACCTCCTCCTCCGCCCAAATCCATACGAATAGTGGATGTGCTGGAAGGGTTGAGCTCCCTTGGCAGAGCTTGATCGACGTAGCCGCCTCGCTCGTTTGGTAACATGGACTTGTTTTCCTTTTTCCCAAAAATTCAAAATAAACGCTCCTTATAGTGCAGAAAGAGACGCAAAGTAACCGTTTTGACAAAGTAGAACTTCATTGTTCTTCTGCGGTAGACACTGAGAGAGAGAGACTAGTATCCCAAAGACACAAAACAACGAGGAAGATAAACAGAAGAGGAGAAAAATCCGGGTGCAGGGAGAGAATCCGGGTGCGGGAATGAGGATGGGTACAAGGAGAATGGGAAAAGAGGGCAGAGATGCGTGACTTTGATCGCAAACATGACCACGACAGGTTGACGATTTGTTGCACAGGAGAGAGAAGCAGCTCTCATCATTAAAAAACATAAAGGCCCAGCTCTCAAAGTGAACACACAGTCACAGAAATGGAAATCTTCTTCTCCAGCTGCAACTTAGCAGGGCGAGGAAAGAAGTCCGCCCTCCCTGCTACCACATTTTTCACAGGGTATAAAATTCTGAACGTGAAGTAGTACCCAGAAGACGGACCCTGTCGTCCCTGACCTCGTCGACAAGTACGTAGTTGCAAGGTATCACCAATTAAGTCAGTCAGTACTACTAGCACCCCTTCACGCTGCATGACGACCTTACTGCACTGATGATTGAAGAACGCCATGAGAAGATCATGAAGCCATGCGAAACCCAACGTTGCAATTGATATACAAAATTCATAGGAAGTTGTTTCTCTTTCTTTTGATCTTCTAAGTACTTCTTCGTAAGCAGATCCTTCGTTTCTTTGTTACATGACTATTGTTTATTCTTGTGTGCGAAAAGCTGCAAGAAGGAGCGTTTTTCTACTAGAACTAGTCGCCCTCGTACTTAGCCGTACTACCATGTTTCTTTGATTACTGATGGATACCCCTCCCAAGAAACACAGACCACATGCAAAACACACTTGTTCAACTTTTCCTAACTCAAATTTCTGCAAGTGCAAGGTTCAAGGTGAGGGTCCACTTGCTCTGCAGATTATATATAAAAATGCTGTATCCGTATCGACGGCTCGGTTTCTATAATTACTTGCTGGCTCTGTACAAGCAAGATAGATCTCGCGTTGTCGTTTCTGGAATGGTTGTGCTAGAAGTTGTTTATCTCACATAATTGGACCATGCAAATAAGTAGAACGCCTTACTTACGTCGCCTTGGGCTTGCTGGAAAGACGCAGAAGCAGAGTATCTGCGGAATGAGTCGGCAGCACAAGCACTTGTAACAGGTGGCTACATTAAAACAAGCTTTTCCACAGGACCAAGACGACTCGTCCGTCTGCTTATAATCCACGTGCCTTGTCTTTTTTACTCCTCCTCCTCTCTTGTAGTTGTCTATTCCATCATCGTCCAAATGGTTCGTGTTGATGTGGTCCCTTCTAGTCCGATAAGAAAGTGGATCGTGGTCTTCTTCTCTAACTCTATCATTACTGGCAAAATGATGATCGTCTCTAGTAACCGTTTCATCGCCACTAGACTGCACCCCGGACGATGTCGAGGTCGAACGACCGCTACAGCCCGAACGACAGCATGGACAGCACTTCGCACAAATGATCGAACAACAGCCTCGTTGTTCTTTGGCCAGTGCTGTGGCTTTTTCTTCCTGTTCGCGGTCTAGGCGATCTTCGAGGCTTTGCTGTCTCTGCCTTTCTTCCCACGAATTATTCGAAGTACTCTCGTCTTCACTTGTCTTGAGTAATTGACGACGTTGCTGCTGCTGTTGCGCTGATGTTGTACTGGTGGGAGATATTGGTAGCTTCCTATCCTGTTTTGCTCGTAGTGGTTTTGCTCGGTCAACAGGTGCCGTTCTTCTATTTCGAGGCGACGATAACGGTGAAGATGTTAATCCGTAGTTCATTCGCATCACGATACCAACTTCGGGATTCTGTTTCAATCCTTCGAGAGAGTCACGGTACGCATTCACAACTTCATCGATACCACAGTGCTCCACAGGTTGGAGCCACGTTTTGCTGTCATTCAGTATTCTCGCGAAACTTCGCTCCAATCGTTCGTAAATGCTCACTGTCTGGTCTAAGGCATCTGAAGAGCTCGCTCGTTCTTGAATCCAGGCTGGCGCGAAAAAAAACTGGTCATACAATTCCCGCGAGTCTATCAATCCAGATCCGGTGGAAGCGCCAGTACTGTACACGCCGACACCTCCTCCAAGGAAGTTGTTATTACTGCTCCCCAATCGATGAGATCCCCCGATGGAAATGGACCGAACTCCACTCGCAGTGGCAGCAGGATGCCCGCCTACTGTAGCTGTACGGCCCTGATACAACTGCTGATCAAACGACTCACCTCTGACCACAGGGTAGTCGTAGTTTGCACTTTCGCCAAAAAAATTCATCGCTCTACTTGACGAAAGGTTCTTGTTGGCTGCGCCAGACGACGAACCCCTTGTGCTTATTCGAGTATTGGAGGGTGAACTATTACTTCTATTGCTGTTGTTGTTATCATATCTAGCCCGGATTTTGACGGCCGTCTCTCTATTTCCCGAAAAATCGAGGTAGACAGCGCGAGATCCGGGAAGTTTCTGGATGAAACGGTAGTCGTCGTAAAGTAGAACTTGATCGTAAAGCTCTAAGTCCTTCACAAAGTGATAGTTGTTTCCAGACGTCACCGCAATCAGTCGCATATTTCCAGGAAATCCGCTAGCTCGTGACGTTTCGACAGCGTTCATTGGGGTGAGACCTAGGGACAATCCTTGCTTGTGAGAAAAAAGACACAAATCTTCGTCTTCGAGCAAATTGTACTAGTCTAGTAGTAGCATACACACCTAAAAGAAAATTTTTCTCATGATACGCGTGTTCCTTCCAGTCAAATCTAAGTACTTCAATTGAACTCTACTAGAGTTTCTGAGGAACCATAGTGGGCCGCGGACGAGATCCTGAAAAAACCAAGAACAAGAAAAAAAAATATAGCCGCAACAATGCATCAAATAGATGATACATCACAAAGAACGTCCAATATACAGATACACCCATATTCAATGAATGGAATATGTATTATACTCTGCCGGCGGCGACTTTCGTAGAGAATTTTGATGAAGCAAACTGCGGTTTTGCAGCTTGCGGAGGAAACGATAAGCGAGTCGGCTCCAAAATAGCCATGCCACTTCAGATAGTCTTTTAGTTAGACGAGCCAGCGCCTGACTATAATCAAAATGCACTTGTTTCCTTCATTTCTTCAGAATCCCAGGAAGAAGCAAAAGAAAGAAAATGACCGTCGGAAATGAATTCATTGCAACAAGCCTTAATCTAGGAAAAACGCCGTTGCGAACAAAGGATGTAGTAGAGCCAATCGGTTTTCGTCCTCCTCCGTGCTGCAGCACTTGTCTAAGAGAGGCCAAGTCGTCTCATCACAAATGCGGTAGGTTCGATACACAATGGGCAAATGCTCTCTCCTATGTGGATGGACGTCAATTATCATTTCCGACCCGCGCTGTGCTGAAGAGTCTCGAATCATATTGGTATTGCCACGTGGAAGAGGAGACAAACTTGAGATCATCTTGTTCGGGGGAGACCTCTGGGAGAATGGGGAATTCATCGTTTGCTGCGCTGGCACTACTTGCGCAAAGGATGAATTGCTCGTTCTTGCGGAACGGTTGACCGTCTTGCTTTTTGGTGACCGAGATCTGCTGGAGGGAGGGTCCGGATCTTCCGCAGGTGGTGTTTTCGGCACGATTTCTGGTACGACTACGATGCTTGACCGACTTCTCTTCACCACATTGAGCGGAAGCTGTTCTGGTTCCAGCACTAGATACGTCGACGTAGGCCAAATCCCATATAGTCGTGTGCCTTCTCCGAGTGCTGGAGAGCGCGATGCCACGATAGTGCCGTAGCCCCATACCGGTAATCTTCCGAAGTCGCTGATCCTGCTTCCAGTTGCTTCTGGACTAGATGATGTACTGCTAGTACCTGAAAAAGGATGACTTCTATCTGCATACTGGCTTTCCAAAGTGGCTCCTCCACCTGTGGCATAATGACTCGCAAAAGCGCTATCGGTGAGGAGATTGGGAAGAAAGCTGTTCGTGGTGTCCCCTAGTTGGTCCGTTATCTCTTGTCGTAACGGGAAAAAAGTCCAATACTTCATCACTTCACCCAATAGGGCGTAGCTCAGATTGTTGCATGTGAGGCCGAATCGGTCGATTCGAACGAGGACCTGCCCACTTTGTAGAGAGAGCGGCGGCTGGTCGACGACGAGAACCTCCCGGATGTCTCCCTTCTTGATAGCAATGTCCACCATCTTATCGAACTTTCCGAGGCTTTACTGAATCTCAGCTTTGTTCAGTGCCAAAATTTCGTAGCATCATTTTCAATCCTCTGTCTTCATGTCTCTATCCTGCCTCCATGTTCGTTATCGTTGTGTATTTACATTTGCTCATTATTGAGTCCATACTGAATCTTTGATTTTTTGTGTTCGTATATGCTGCGAAGTATCGGAGTTCTCCGCGTGGCCCGCCACGTAAGAGTAGTAGTGGTTGTTCTCGCACAGGCACATCACAATGACATGAAGTAGATAGCGCTACTTTATACCAGAAGAGTGTGAACGTGAAGAGCGTCGTAACATAACAAAATCCTCTTGCTTGGAACACACGAGACTACCAAGATGGATTGCAGAGCGCGTGGCTTTTTGCGAGCCTGTCCAGCGTTTGTGACACATCTTGCACCAGAGCCATAGCAAACTGATACAACAGTGAATAGCAATACATTGAATCATGTCCGACAAGAGGGACTGGAGATTAGCCCAGAGAGTCAATAGCATAAAACACAAAGCTGACGACCATTCAAGAAGACAGCGAGATGGAGATGACCACAAGAATCTTTCCACCGTGGACGTCTAGGTCTATTCATGATTGTTCCTCCTCGTCACATGATTATGGGAAGAACAAGTACACCAGTTGTGTATATTCTCTATTGATATTATCGCATCAAAAAGCATAGTACATTCATTCCAGAAGAAGGGGTAGACATTCTTGCACTTGCTAGTGCGCAGACAAAGCTGCTTTATTATTCTAAAAAGTTGAAGTTCGACTAACTATGGCTAAGGCTATGCATGTTGAACAACATGACCACTCAATTAGTAATTCCGACGACCCCCGACGCAGTTCACAGTAGGAATTTTCACCCCTCAAGACCAGTTGCTTAGTACATTCCTTTTCCATTTCCTTCATCACATAACGTGTATGCTATGTATCGTGGTCAGGTCATCAGTGATAAAATAACGTCTACGCATCACTTTTCCCATTAATGGTAATCGTCAAGGATTGTTCACAAGCACAACTATCGCCTTCGATGTCCGCAACAAGACTCTCTCATTCTTGTTCATCCCAAAATCTTGGTGATAATCTCTTTCGTCTCCGACTTCAGATCCGGTACCGTGAGCATACTCTTGAGCGCTTTGTCGATTTTGGTTGCGTACTCCGGCGTCACTTGTTATGAAGAATCTAGTACGACAAAGTGTATTCGTTGATGTATTCTACTTGATGGAAGATTCTATTTCTAATATGTTAGCCTTATACAACATACGTAGGCTCATAACAGCGTTAGAGGCAGCTAGTGGCCAAACTGTAACTGATGCGGAATACTTCTAAAAGTAGGCAGTAGATGTTGAAGAAGAAGAAAAGAACGCTTCATCTTCAAGTGGATGATGACGAGGATTTGTTGAGTTGATGTTGTGAACAAATACACTCCATGTAGTCGATATAAGTAGTCTTCATTCATAACTGCGCTTTGACTTCGAAGGCTCGGCACATTCTCGCGGCGACTTGTCCATTCCCAAACTTGTCCAGAGCCAAAATCTGATCCTTCACGAAGTCTCTCCCGGCGTCCGAGTAGAAGATCTTAGGGTTTCGCAAAACCGAGGCGACAACATTAGAGGTAGGTTTTTGGTGCTCGCTTACCCCGCTTCTTATGCCTTTCTCCCTTAGGAGAGGCATAAAAAGCGGTAAGAAAAGCACCTCTAACCTACCCTTAACAACAGACCGGAATCGATTCGGATTTGAAACGCTAAAATCGGAATGTTTTACCAATTCTTGGATGTTGCTGAAGTTCGGCGTGTACCAGGCTTGTAGAGAAAACCACTTGTCCATCACCGGTCCTGAGTTGCTTTTCTTCGCAAACTCATAGAAATCCGAGTTGGCAGAAGCACTGTGAACACATTGAGCAAGTAGTTATTCTTATTTGAGTTCAGTCTCCGATTTTACTTAAGTGGTTAGAAGAGAAAACGGCCATACTTCTAATCTATAAGTGGTTACAAGAGAAAGCCAACATACTAGCAGGTGAACAATGATCACAACATGCCAGAACTCATCATGATACAATTTTCAATTTCATGAAATATACTTACTTATATATAATATACGTGAGGTTGAACAAAAACTAAAAGTGTAAAACAAAATCACAACAACAAGGTTAGTCATGAGTCATCTACTTGATTTTCTGTACCTTTTTCCGGTCGGGAGTTTGCTGTCTGCTTGCGCTTCAACGAGGACGCGGAATGCGGCCACTTTTTCTGTCATTGTTTTGGCACTCCAGTACTGTTTTTGTGCGAGATCGCCATCCTGCAACAACACCAAAAGCGTATTTCTCAGCAATCGGTTCCCGATCGCTTGCGGAGTGAGAGAGAAGTCCCCGCCAGAGCCAGGGGTAGACTCGTACCTTTGTATTGGGAAAGAAGAAAAGAGTTTGATTGTATGGAGTTCGATTACGATTTCATTATTTTTTACGAAGACGAGAAACGAGAGTGCAGGAGCCTTCTACTCCGTGATGAATGAAATTTAATCTTAAGGTCAAAGGATGAAGTAGCAAGAGCTGAAGAAATTGAGTACGACTGAGTATTCTTATTATCGGTGGAGCCAGCCTAACTAGAAGGAAAAAACAAAAAGCAATGCTAGTAGAAATATTATAGACAGATTTTCAAGCATCAATACTTTGCTCTCATCTGTCTTCCGAGTTTGCTGATCAACGCTTCCCTGACTGCGTCAACGGAATCTGCTAAGAGAATCGGGTCGACTTTTTTTCCGTACCCAAACAAGAGTCCCTTGGCATCCGGAAGGCCAATGGTTTTGCCTAAAACTAAAGCAGCATTTTCTGCATCACTTTTGGACGAAAGCAAGGTGCTCAGCGACGATTCCAGGACCTTGAAGGCCTTTGCTTCGGCAGCCGCACTCGGAGTTGCTTTGCCGTTGCCGTAAACCTCATAGATCACCTTGGAGCACAGATGCTCGTAGGCTGAGTACTTGCAATACATATCGGTGTCGTATGCTGCAAGGGCGCCAAGCTCTTCCGGAGTAAAAGTGTACACTAGTTTCACAGGTGCGCCGAAGCCGCGATTCACCGAAGGAACAACGTCGTCGAAGGCGACACCAGCAGGCAGCTGTGATTTTTTTGTTAGATCATTGTACTGAGAATATGCAAATGCTTTTTGTATCGGTGAATACAGGAAACCCAGTAAAAAACCCTACTTCATCTAGGTATACGAGCTGCTTACCATCTAAATACCAGGTTGCTTTGGTACAGAAATTGTAGATTCGACCAGAAAACAAGAAGATCACTGTTTGAATTCTTACCACAATTCTGACGCTGCCCTTTTTTTCCTTGAGGTGGAAGACTTCGGTCTTCTGCAATTCCTTGCCTGTTTTTGCGTTGATCAATCCGTACGCCACCGGCACGTGGAGGATTTCTTTGACGGCAGAGCCTGCACCCGCTTGTTCAAAGACCAACTCCACTGCTTTCCCAGCATCTGCGCTAACTTTCTTGACATCAAGCGTCGGCGTTCCCTTGGTCGAGAGCCACTTCGAGAAGAGAGTGAGGTCTGCTCCACCTCCAATCTCCATCGATTTCAAGAAATCGTCGCACGTAGCAGCGGTTCCGTCATGCAGCTCAAAGTACTTCGCGAGGCCTTTCTTGAAACCTGCCTCCCCTAGGATGGTGTAGTACATCCGAATCACCTCGGCGCCCTTTTCATACACAGTCGCGGTATAGAAGTTGTCGATTTTTTCGTAGGACTCGGGTCTAACCGGGTGGGCCAGTGCACCGGCGTCTTCGGGGAACTGAACTTCGAGCATGTCCCGCACCTGGCGAAGTTTTCGTTAGAACATGTTTCCCTTTCCTCGTAGTTTCTATGCTCGCGAAGATGCGCAGGCATTCTTTTGGTCTTAGTTCCCATCTACTATTTTTTATGTTACACGCAGTAGCAGATTGCAAAACGTAGAAGCAAGCCTGTTGCGAACCTTAGATAATCAAAAATCATACTCCACTAGAGATGCAAAAAATCCTGATCACAGGACAGAGAGGCGGTTTGCTGCCGGATGATATTTTTCGTTTTGTTTGTGTGTTAATGTCCCTAAGAGTTTGGATGGAGTTGGTTAGTCTGCAGTCGTTGACGTATTTTAAAATTGGAAAGATTAAGTAGGTGATATGAGTTGAGTATCAGAAGTAAGAGCGTACAGAAAAACGAAGAAGTAGGAAAGTAGAAGTAAATGCAACACCGGCGTCACTTTCATATTAATTCTACTATTCCCGAGACAACCGCCACCCCGTAGTGTATACTATCATTACCTGATCGATCCTTTTTGCTACGCCGAAAAGGCCGTCGTTGATCGAAAAAATCTGGTCCCGGAAAACGGTCAAGCCTTCTTTTAGAGTCAGTTGAAACCAATCCCTGCAGGTCACCCGGTTGCCGCTCCAATTGTGAAAGTATTCGTGTGCTACCACAGACTCTATTCTTTCGTAGTCCACATCGGTCGCGGTGTCCTGGGATGCCAGGATGAGCTTTTCGTTGAACACGTTCAACGACTTGTTCTCCATCGCGCCCATGTTGAAGTCTTTCACGGAGACAATTAGAGCTACCGCGCCGCATCCTTGGGAGCATCCCTAAGACCTTTTTCCCCTTGAAAAAGAAGCCAAGGCGGCGTTGAGGATGCTTCAGCAGTAGCCTTAAGACAATGTTGAAGACGTCGAGATCGTATTCCAGGTGAAAAAAGCGCTCGTCAAACTTGATGGCGCGAATAAGAGAGTCTAAACTGTGTCTCAGCAAGTGCTTCACTGCTTCTTCGGCGTAGACGCGTAAGGTCACCTGTCGCTTCACGAAAGCAGTGGTTAGTTTCTCCTCGATGTAGGCCAGTTTGCCTGCAACTAAAGCAAAGAGGTAACTCGGTTTCGAGTGCGGGTCCTCGTAGATGGCATAGTGCCAGTCGCTCTTTCCGCTTACGGCGCCCTCTGAAACTAAGTTTCCGTTCGAAAGCAAAACCGGATTCGAGATCTTGTCGGCTTCTATCCGTACGCGGTATTTGGCCATCACGTCGGGTCGGTCTGGAAAAGGCGAGAATTTTCGGAAACCTTCCGCCTCCATCTGCGTGCAGTGCAAGGAACTCCCATCTGCCAACTTGCACAAGTACAACCCCATGCAGGTTTTATTCGCCTCTGGATTAAAGGTGACCCTGGTGTGGAGTTGAAAAGTGGACGTGGCATCTCCTGAAGAGGACAATTCGGATTCGAGGATCGTCAGTTTTCTTTCCTCCCCTTTGCCAGAAAAAGCGTAATCGACATGGGGCGACAAGATTTTCCGCTCGTTGGGATGCGCTCCGGTCGAAGACAGTGGAGTTGAAGAAGATGCAGCAGAGGTCGAGACGGCAATTTCTTCGACGTTCAACATCTCATCGCAATCCAGCAATAAAGGCGTCGGCCTTTTATGCCCCGCTCCAGCATTGCGTTCGCAGCATAAAGTTGCGAGGACCTCTGTTTTTTCCGCACTGTGGAGGCGGACAGCGAGGTCCACGTGTCGAATCCAATACGCAGGGGGTTTGTAATCCAATCTCCGGTACACATGAGGCTTCGAGACCTTCGGACTCTGTACAGGCGAGGTGCTACCAGCAGCCGTCATTGTGCCGTTCGTTCTTATTTGTAGTTGACTCAAGAACAAGTGATATGGATGAGACTGATTTTTTCTTGTTGTAGTTCGACGTACTTGTTCTTGTACAAAACAAGGTTGACTCAACAAAAAATTATATGCTAGATTGTTCTTTTCTCTGATGTTGAATGGCGGAGCTCGTGTTGAGTACAAGCTTCTAAGAGTTATGGGACCTTTGCCCTTCAGAAGCTCCCTCAACATTGTATTTCATCCGGTTCCGGAATTTTTTTCGGTCATATAAGAAAAAGATTTGTTCTAGTTCTACTATATTCTCAGAAACTGTTCCAGTACCAGTGGTCCTACAACGATCATTTTCGATTTTTGTCCATTATGAGTCAGTAAATTAGGTCGATTAATATGCTTTCAATCCTTGTTATGCTTGTTCTTTTATGAAAGTCGCTCGTCATTCAATCTTTCGTGTAGCTTGCATGGAAGACAAGGTGATTCGCTGATTATCTCCGCTGGTGCATGGAAAAACTACAATAAGATAAAAATGTAAGAACATGATCTCTGTAACTTATGCGGGCCTTTTCAACCATCAACCAGAGGAACAGACGCCGCGGCATTGACTGCAGTCTGAGTCACAGGGCACCTTGACGAGGCATACCCAGCTAAAAATTCTTCAACATGCAGAAAAAGTTTCATCTCGATAAACTTCATGATAAAGAAGGTAATTTTTTGAAACGCGTGCCGCCTCCATCTAATATGCCATTCTCGGATTCAACATGTCCAGACGAACGTTACTTTTCCATCCAGTTCAACATGTCCATAACAAACTGGTGTGCAGTTGACGAACTTTATCAATCACGCTAAACAAACCAAGTACTTGCACTTGCATACTATGCAGCTTCATTTTCGCTAAACATTGATGCTGTTCAGCAGAATGCGAGTTCTGCAGTTGAAACTTGACGTTGTTGACACTATTCAAACAAAGCGAAACGCGAGGAACGAGCTGCATTGGCAATTGGACATGAAAACGAAAAAAACAAAAAGAGCATTTTGAGTGTCAAGAATCAAGGAGACCACACTTGTTAGTTGACTACTATCATCTAATGCACCATGAGGTGAATCGGAAACACCAAGGAAATGTTGTAGTAGTGATCGCAATCCGATCGAGCTTCGAATTTTCTAGACTTTGCGCCATTGCAATCGAAATCACGGTGACGAAGGTACACGTGGAAGCAGTCGCGGCTCCATCCCCCCTACTTGTCCACCCGCACCGGGACCCAACATGATGCCGTCCACAACTCGTCTCTCGTCCAGCCAGGTGTTATTCATGTTATTCCTATTACTGATAGCGGCCGCCGAAGATTGGGATTGCATCACGAGGGCGCGCCGTGGCGAATTATTGTCCAGTTTCCGTGAGGCTTCTGCCAAGAGTTTCCGAACCATCTTTCTCGTCATCTCCGGCTGTGAGCGACCACCTCCACCCATTTCGTCTTCACATTCACCTACTTGTTTGAGCCTGCAAAAATGCTGCTGTTGCTCTACTTGCGTCGTATTTCTATTGTTCTGAGCACGGGGGTGCTGTTGATTCTGTTGCTGGTGGTCCTGCAGCTGGTGTTTGCTTGTTCCGTGGTTGCGGTTGGAACAACCTGAATCTAAGGATCCCACTAATAGTTTGACTTTGTTGCTCCGTCCCTCTTCTCGCTGAAAGAGCATCTTGACTTTCTCATTACTCGCGTTCTTTATTTTGCCGGCCCTTGTACTAGGAGATAACTGTGCCCAACCTTGAGGTGGAGCAGCGGGTGGTCTCGGACTCGGCTTCAACAACATTTTTCCCAACATATCTTCATCAGGTCTATGTGCAGAAGTCGGATTCACCAAGAACATTGTCTTACTACTCTTGTCAGCAGCGTTCACAATCGGTGAAGAAGAAGACGTTTGTAATTGTGTCGTAGGACTAGTATTGCTTAAAGGAGGCGTTGAAGCGAGGAGAAGATGCATGCATTGCAAAAGAGTCCTCGTGCACACGAAGAGCGCGGTGAGGGTTGTTTCCGCTCGATAAAGGCGCGGCTCCAATAACCGAGGTTCGCGTTCGTAGCTATTTGGAATTCCAGTGATGTCATTAGAAATTTGAAATTATGATCGCATTGGAATTGGTGGAGCTCAGCATAAGGAATTAGATATTAGGCCATTCAGTTAAAAATGATCTTCAAGACCAAGTTGAAGTTTCCGATTCTTTGAAACACAAATAGTCCTGGTTTCATAAAAACAGTGCTTTGCTGTGCTTTCCCGTTGTCGCCGATGAGGAAAGAGGGCCCGGCTATTGCAGACCGATTCAGAATTCCTGGCTCGACAACGCCCACATTCACGACCTTAGTCGGGTCATCAGTGACAAGAACCTCTGAAGTCTGTCTCTGTGCCAATGCGCCGTCTGCAACATCGTTCGCCTGGTTTGCCGCCTCTTCACCCATCAGGGTGGAGACCAAAAGATGACCATCCACTCCGGAAGAGGCTCCACCTGCTCCACTCAAGACTATGGGTCGTCGTCCTGTACTAGCAGATCCGTTCATATTCCTTGGAGAGTTTCCACCACCTCCTTCTTTGCTGCCACATGGAATTAAGATCGTTTCACCAGAAGCGGGCGCAGCTGCTTGCTCCAGCTCTGCGCGAAACGAGGTGCGCTCGTCCTCCTCGATATCTTCTAAGAGAGACCTCTTCCGCTGTCTGTCCTGCTCCTGCTCTGTTGTCAGATATATGAACAGATAGAGACGAAGATGATACAACACAAGATGATCGTTGGATAAAACAAATTCAAATCCTAAGCCACCTAGAAGTAGAGCTGAAGGGGAATAACGGCTTTTGCTCTATTTTTGGCTCCACTACGAAAACTTAGTAATGTTGACATCAATCTGCATTGGTTTTCGTAAAAGGACTGCTTGGTCCACTAGCCTGCAGCTGGTGACCTCCCCTCGGAGAAGATGGGGAAGAGCCATGATAGTTGTTGTCGCCGCTTCTGTCCACGTTCCTGTGATCTGCTACCAATCCACCGGCCGACAGCCTCCGCAAAATCGGTCCACCTCCTGCACTGGCCTCTCCGGTGGCTTGCAGGAAGAAGCTCTCGGCATCTTCCCCGAGCGCAAGACTGCTCCCACTTATATTCGCCCTCAACCGGCGAGCGGCGTTCATGCTCTGTTGAAACGAGGCGCGCCGCTCTCCGGTGCTCCCAGTGCTTCCGCGTCGATTTTGCGAGCCCCACCCCTGGTAGGATCCGCGCGGTGTAGTATCACTGTCCACGCCTTTCACACTCTGCCGGTTACGGAACGAAACGCCACGACCCCTTTTTTAGACCTAGCTCTCTTCAAACTTCATCTCGTCGTGGTGGTCTCTACTTATAGCACGAGCACCTTGTTCGTACAGTATCAGTATTTATACGTATCCCTTGCCCCCAACATTCTTGAAAACAGAGCCAAAGGTAGAGAGGTGGTGGAGGCGCGAGTCGATGGGAAGACTATTATCTTCTAAGTTGATTCACATAATCATTATTGTGGAACGAACCACGCGGGCTGCCGAGGTTCGGAGAGCTATCAGCTCCCCGGTTGTAATTTTGAAACGAGTCTCGTCCGGTCACAACGGAGTCCACACTTCCGAGCCTGGAAAAGCTTCCGCGGTGTCCTCGACCTCCGCCGCCGCCGCCTCTACCAGTGATCACCCTCGACTGCGAGTTGAGAATCGAGTGAACGCGTGCGACCTCCTCCGCCACCAGCGCTTCCAGTTCATTCTTGCTGTTTTGAACTTGTAACCGAACCTCGGCTTTGAATTTGGAGATCTCGTCCCGAACGCTGGCGCGGGTTTCTCTCATAAACGTTGCGCTCTGCGCGGCCAAGCTGTTGTTATCCCCGATCTTGCCCTTTGATTCCAAGGTTTGCAACAGAGTGGCAACTTTCTGATCGGTTGCGGCCGCACGCTTCATTTGCAGATTCGCCGACTCCAAGACCCCCTCTTGCCCGCGTTCCAGGAACTCGTTCTGAGTTGAAAGGATTCATCGATCCCAAGTCATTGATGAAGTACAAGGTGAACAAGTGCTGAAACCGAACAAATAGAAAAACTGTCGTGCTGGTCGGTGACGATAAAACTTCAGCTACAATAATAGAACAACAAGATCTAGACATCTAGATCACTCACAGTCTTCGGACTCAGAGATCAAAAAGTTAATTCTTTGGTGCATACTAGTACCGTGTCCGCCAACTTGTCGATCCTTTGGAAGATTTCCACGTTTTTCTCCGAAAACTTCTGATCCACTTGCTCGATGTGTGCCCTTTGCTTTCGGTTGTCTTTCTCGGCCTCATCCCTTAGTTTCTCGACAATTTCTTCCAAGGATGATCGATCCCGTTTCTGTTCCGCATGCAATTGGTCGAACCTTTCTCGGACATGGTCTCGCTCAGCATCGATTTTCCTCTGCAAATCTGTACTTTTTTCACCCATCTCGTCCAAAATCCGGCGTTCAGTAGTCTTCAAAACAGCGCCAAGCGTCGTTATTTTCCCCCTGTTTTCCTCCACACTTTTCCAGAGCTCTTGCTCTCGAACTCTGCTTTCTGCCGCTTCTTCGGAGATTCGTTCCTCCAATCGCCCCAGGTCCTCCGTGTGCTGTTGTAGTTCGTTGAAGTTGTCCGATCTTGATGTAGTTGTAGGTGAAGTTGCTTCGACGTCATCATTCACACCAGTGACGCTTTCACTCGCTTTATATTGCTGGAAGGGCTAAGGCTCTAGAGGTAAAAACTAACCGGCTGTTTTATTTTAATAGTGCTCTGAGCGCCGCTGGACCTAAGCCCCAACGTTATGAAAAGGAAGAAGCCAATCTAGATTTGCAGCACACCTCTGAGAAAGGCGAAAACCTTATAAAGTTCCTGCTATGAATGGTTCCGGTATTTGGTAGCCTGAGTTTGATCATAAGGGAAAACAAGAAGAGAACTCTTATGATCAAATTCAGGTTACCAAATACCAGAACCATACATGCAGGATGCAGCTATGTATAGCTTAATCTACTCGACGCTTTATATAAAATAAAAGAAATCATATTGCGTTGAAGAACGTTGTATATCAACGCTTGAAAAACTTAGGATATGCAACAAGACCTGATTCAGAATTTTCAGCATGGCTTCCTGCTTTTCTTCGACATCTTCGAGTTGGGATAGCCGTTTCGCGACCGCTTCCACATCTCGGACAACTGGGCTGTGCAGCTCTAGAACCAAGCCCCTCAATTTCACCTCCAATTCCGCGAATCGTAGCTCGTTCGAAAACAGTGCGGCCCCCGACGTGGCGGCCGCCATCTTGATACGGAGAAATGTCGAAGATCCTCCTTGTCCTGCTCCGGATTTTTTCTATTGTGTATTTGGGTGATCTACAAATAGATCTTTTCTTGTTTTGCTGAAAAGAAAAGCGTGGAGGTACAAAGAATCTTACTCCACCGTTCCATTACTTACATCAAGAAAGTCGTATTGTCAACGAGCCACTGAAGAGTGAAGAAACCGGTATTATTAAGAACACTGCAGTGACGGGCGGACAAGCCAGTCCTCCATACACACATTTGTCGTTCGTACTTTATATTATGGATCAGTTCATCCGAGCATGATGTTTCAAAAATAGTTCGCCTATCTTCATATCGGAAGCTTTGGCTGAAGGTTCTTCTCCTCCAAGGAGGCGTTACCGGATGCTCCGGAAAGCAGAGCAGATCGCATTATCAACATCATGCGATGAGAAATATCTTCTAATTCTCTATCGCTATATTTTCACATCGAGTTTCCTCTGCTTGATCTTGGCCACCAGAAATCAATGAATCGTCCTAAAGAAAAAATCACGAAATGCCTGCACACGATGACGATGATGGTCATGTATAATTTCACAACAAATGTTGGACGTGCGACCAGTACAGCTGCTAGATTTTTCACGAAGACCAGACAACTACACGAGATGAACGAAAGCAAAGTACAACTACAAGTAGAAGTTGAAAACATGAAACACAGGCTGTATCGTGGAGGATGCATATCTATGGTGGAGGATTCCGTTTTCTACAAGGGTTTGTTACTGTTTTGTTCACGATGATAGCAAAATCTTAAACTTAGTTAAGTCTATTCTCAAGTACTCTACTAGTATATTTCTTCTTGATGTTAAATACTACTAGTTACCACGGTATCTCTTTACCTTCGTAATCCAGAAATTTCCCTGTGTCCTCGGGTGTCGCTGACGACAACACGTTTTTCCACATCAGCTCAGCACCAAACTCCGGAGTGAAATATCCCGAAAGAGGCGTCCCTTCGGGAGGATCCTCAGACTGCAAAGTCTTCCTCTTGGCAGAACCCACAAAGATTAGAGGAAAAACAAAGAGTATGATTATGACCAGTAGAGCACTATTGCAAATTAGCATGTGCATACCAGCTGCGGCCAGGAGCTGTTCTTGACCTTGACTTCCAAAATAAAGAGAGAATGTGAAATAATCCAAAAAGATATTTTCTATGGCCTTAAAAAGGGCTCGCTCAATTCCGTGGCACACGTTCCAGGGTGCACCATCAGCAGACAGGCATTTGGATGCGAGCGCTTCAGTTCGATTGACGCCGTCTTCACAAACATATTCTGCGCTGCCTTCGAAGCACGATACGAATACCTATAGTAGAGGAGCATTTTTGTCCGTGTGGTTCTACAATAGTACATAGTATGTAAGAATATTATCTAGTACGGTGTTACTTCTAGAACTACAACTGCTCTTCATCTACATCATCTACTAGTACCATCCCCCCAATTCGTTTGCTTCCAGAGATCCTACCCTTGCTGACCACGATGCAAACAAAAAAGGATGCTTTCCGTTCGGAATAAGGCCTGAAACTAATTCTTTCATCAGCAAGGCGTTAGCAAATGTGTTCGTCTCAAACGTTTTACGTCGAGATTAGAGGTGGAGTTGTCTATGTTGATGTCGATAGATTGCATTGTGTCTTTATTCTTCTCCTGTAGTTGTACCTTTTGCTTTTGTAGCAAGAATAGGAAATCAACTGGGACAAAGTAAAAGCGGAGCACACTTTGCTTCACTTTCCGGCATAGTGCATTATGAGCAGAATGAAGCATACACGTACGCGGCAACCCAACCAAATTATCCAAACAGAAAATGATCATGTCTTTGTAAAAAAAGGCCTAAAGTAATTCCGGCGTTATTTTCTTCAAACCGGCTTCGGGACGAATGATTTTTCCCTCCTCGCCTCCTGGCAGGGCGAGCACCCCAGTACAGTTGAGGATCAAGTCTGGGTGAAAGCCCATGCCTTTTAGCTCCTGTGTGAGCTTCGGAAAGTCTTCAGGGTTGCTCAAATCCAATTTTACAAAGCCCCCCTTTGCCGGCGTGTCAAAGGGAGCCCGACCGGTCACCACAGTCGTTGCAGGGTTCAGGAGTCGCGCGAAGGCGCTCCCGATCCCACCACGCCCACCCACAATCAAAGTCTTCACACTCTCGCGGGCAGGCAACATTTTATTCTTTCCGTAGGTAGTCGTGGTAGAAGTGGAATCAACGATATGTTTTGAGTTCTTTCAATTTGAATGTAACTAAGTACTTAAAAAATTTTCGTCCTCGATGTTGTACGCCAGTCGTTTAAAGATAATCATGAAACATAACAAAGAAATCAACAAGAATTATCCATGTGAGTACATAACTGCCAAGTCTCACTTCTATGTGCGCGGAGGAACAATGACATTATTATTAAAAATAAACCTCCTTTTAACTAGCTGAGTGGCAGAAACAAATCCAGGAACCCGAATTATCAGATGGTCGTGAAACTGAACAGAGTCAGTCTGTCAAACATCAAATGACTTCTTAAGAAGTGAGAAAAATAATCCGAATGCGCATAACAACAAGTTAAGAAATCTTTTGAGCAGTTGTCGAATCTTTTTAGCAGTCACTCAACCTTTTTAGCAGTTGCACTGCTAAGAAGTTCAGTGTTCAATCTTTTGTGTAACGCCGTTCTATCAAGATCAAGAACACACTAGAATAAACGAGTTCCTCGGAGGTTCATGAAGATGAACATAAGGACCACGGATAAAAAGGGGAAACATGCGTGACGGGAGGTTATGGGGGAAGCCGAAGCGGGGAGGTGCAGGTGTGGGTATGATATTAAAAATGAGTGGAACATGTAAGTAACATTGTTGCACCAGGTCTTGCACCGAGCCAAGGAAGGTGGTCAAAATTCCAATGATGGACCACCGGATGAACATGGTCGCAACAAAAACATCCTTCTCTCGTCACACTCATACAACTCAAAGCTGATCGCCTCTCTAATATCAATACTGCTCTCTTACTCAAAGATTCCAGAATGATAAATAAAAACAATCGGGATTAGTAGAACAAAACAACTACTACTTAAATGTTGGATTATATATACATATACGCCAACTGTGCAATGAGAAGAACACATACTTGTTTGAAAGCTTCCTAGACGGGGGCTGCATCGCTATTCATTTCTTTTCTAGACCACTTATGCTTCTACTGTCTCAACATCCTTAGGATGTCTTCAATTGTCTCTGTTTATCGATATCGACTTTCTGGTAGCTTCTTCTACGAAGTCAAAGCTATATTCGAGGGCATCGGCGGATAATCATATGAAATTACATTTACATCAATATCATGCTAATAGATTCAGTTTAAGTGTAGGTTTACGCGATCTACGATCTTCAAAGTCATCATCAAGAACTGGAGGTTTGGTGTACAAGAATAATTAGGACGGAAAAGTAAATTTGAGTAGGGACATGGTCAGTCATCTGATTTCGCCAAATTTTGCTAGGTAGCGTGCAATTGTCATTTTCGACTAGTACTTTGTTTCATGATTTTCTCTCTATGACTATGTGTGCAACATGTAGACAGGTATGTTTTTATATGATGATGATGATGATGATGATGATGATGATGATGATGATGATGATGAGATTAACTTGATTCTAAATAAATGCTTCTATCAAAATTGTTTACAACCAGATCATAGATAGTGATACATAGATGATATATTCGAAAAATACTGAAAGCTGGATAGTTGTGGAGAGTTATGCTTAGTTATGCTGATGAATAGTTATGTTGATGTTCATCATGAGTATCAGAATGAGTAACAACCAAGAAGCTAAGATACGGAGGAATACAAGTGCTTGACTTTTTTCATAGATGAACTTGAAGACCAACGACTTGAATCTTCAATACTCGACATGAATTTCTGTAGAACCACCGCCATGACCGTGGGTCTATGTGTCGATGTAGTAAATTTTCTTTACAAGTTGGGGAGACGGAGAGCATGCTGTAAGACAGGAGCTCGCTTGTCGCGCTTGATACTACTTCTACTACCTGTTTGTTCTTACATTTTTACTCATCGCCAGTCTGGTCCACGTTGACGTCTCGTAAACCTGTCGCTGCCAGTTCAGGCGTGCTGCGGGTGGTGGCTTCCCGAAGTTGAAGGCGGCTTTCGACCGAAACAGACTACCACGTCTGTTAGAGCTTCTACCTTGTTCTATTGTGAAATCATCTTTACATTCCCGAATCAGATTTGAATCCTTGACTACTTTTCTCTAGTAGCAGTACCCCAGTAGAATATTTATAGGGTTCTGGATGAAACAACATCACATGGGAAAGATGAAAAGAGTCCAGCAGGAAGATGTTGTAGGTTGTGATGCTAAAGGAACAAGACTGAAGAGATGAAATAAGCATTGATGTCGTGGTGATTGTATCCCGTAATTTTGGAATTAACCACGTCGTAAGCCCCAGGTCCAGGAATGCTCGCGCCTGCCATTTGCCCACTCCACATGCCACCGAAGCCGTTCCGACCAGCCCTACAAAATGGCGCTGTCTTCGCAGAAGCTGTGGTAGGTGTACTGGATTGGGAGCACTATTAGTCCTCTAACGCAATTTCAAGGTGAACTTCACCTGCTTCAAAAGGTAGTAACGAGTAGTAGGTTTTTATGTTCAGAAGTAGATGAACATCATTTCTGCTTGATTCCACTGCTCGATTTTTTGTCAACATGATTAAATCAACTACACGACATGATCCGTCGTGATGAGGACCACAAAAGAAGTACTTCGTGTTCTAGCACAACTAGTACCAGTAGTACGACGATAATTTCTTCATCATCATTTAGTACATACTAAAGTAGTTCTTGTAACAAGAAGGCGTACTTTCGAATTTTCTCAGCTTCCCTAGTGATTGCGAAGCACGTCCAAGGAATTGCTTTTCTCCCCCAGGAAACAAAACCTTCTCCCATGCTTCGCGACCCTCAGAAAAAGACTTGGCTAATCTCTGCTGAACTGCAAACGAATCCGGTACCTTGTATTCCCCTGGTCCCAAGTAGCTTTTATCGATTGCACCAACTTCCCATCTGATGTTTTTGTTAGGCAGAAGTTGTGAAACACGGATGCAGAAGATCATCATGATCGGTGCGTCTATTTCATTTGGTAGTACTGTAGTTTGTGAGTAATAGTTATGCTGATGCTGGTGATGGTGTCTACTACTACTTCAGCATGAATAAAACAGATTTATTATCACATGAAGGTGTGCTACTGCTATCACTACTTTTTCTCTTATGATTATACAAAGATGAATACCTATCAGCGCGACCGATTGGTGGCGCTGTATTCTTGTCCGCCGTCATCCGCACGTCGTAGATTGGGCCGGGGCTTGGATTGGGGATGTCTGGGTCTGGCCGCATAGCCTGAGAAAATCTGACTCCCGTCGTTTCTGGTATCGCCTCGACGGGCATATCATAGGTACCTTCGTAATTTCAAAATATTAACATTCTTATGCACTACAGGCAACATTTTCGGATAGAGATATTAAGTAACGATCACGATCATCAGGATGAATCCTCAGCAGAAAAATCATTCTTCTGATCGGTTAAGTTAGGTTGGGGATCTTTCTCATTGAGCTCCCCCAGATTCCTAGCTCAACAACTCCGAATTGTACAAAAATACAAAAAAGTCTAAATTTACCAAGTACTTCATTCGAACTCTCCTGCAGCTACTAGTAGAGCTAGTACAACAAATACATCAGCTAGTTCGTAATCGACGATGCCGTCTATCAATAATACCCGGTCCAGGTGTTTCCCTTGCTCTGCCAGATGCCTTTGATGCCTCCCGCGATATGAAAACTTTGGACCATGACTTCTCATGTTTCGGCAATATTGAAAGCTTTGGCGCTGAAGGCTTGTCACTACGCCACTGGGGTCCGATTGCTGAGATTGAAGAGCAGTTGTGAATGATATTGTGATTTTACTGGGAGATACAGTGCCGAGATTTTTGACGTCGTTGAAGATCTAGGTTCTTGCGGTGAAAAGAAACCCTTTTAGCTCGTCGTCTAGACGAGTACTTATAGTTCAGAAAACGTAGGAAGAACAAGTGGAAGAAGTACTGTAGGAGAAAATAGATCGTGTATCATTACATGGAAGGCTCGAATCGTATGCACCAGGACCGGGATCCTCGCTAACCCCAAGGCCGTACGTCCTACTGAAACTTGCTGTTGAGTAGAGAAAAGGACACCTCTCTATGTCTGTTGCCCTCAGAGGACTCTTCTCCACCTGCGCACTCATCGTGCTTAGTGATCTTGTCGGCGAAGTTGGCATCTTCAACTTTTGACCAGTAAATGGTACTGAAGCAGCTGCAATCGTGTTGTCCGCTCAAGCGCAGTACGACTAGAGCGTCGCTGATGTTCATGTAGAAACAAGGTTGTATATTCTTATGTTCAACCTCGAAGAATTCGAAAGATAGATTAGCACCCACCTTCTGCTTCTTACAAGGCTATGACAGTTTTTGGTTTACGTAGGATCCTTCTTCGTAACCTCCTATAATCAAATTCTGTAGTACTACCCCCTAGTACTTTGTCTCGGCCTACTTGTTCCCGCGCTTACAACTTCCCCTACTATTGGTTGTAAAATTCGAAATGTACATCGTGATGCTCATGTAGGTGTTGACGTTTAGCGGCTAGTTGTAAGCATCAATGTAGTTACGTGCGCTTATGCTACGTTAGTGAAGAACGTTGAGAAAATGTTGAAAATGATAGTCGTGAAGAGTGCATAACCACATCAACAAAGGCTTTATTAATATAAACACGCGATGAGGTTGACATGACTTGTAAGTAGGTGGGGATTCGCCGTTGGGTTTTCATGGAGGTTCATTCTGGTCGTGTTGATCTATCCTCTCTTGTTTTTCTGTCGTAGCGCTTGATGATGTTGGTACGAAACATAACCGAGAGAAGCCGCAACAGATACTTAAACAGCAACATTAGGAACAGCCTACTAGGATGCACATGGTGAACATGATCCAAGGAGCGCCCTGTAGTTGGCATGGCCACTGATTCACCGACTGATGGTGATGTCCCTCGTAGGTCGTCGGGATTGACTATAGCGTCCAGCCGAATGAATCTGTTCACTATCAAGCCCTATTTTTTCGGATGAAAACCGACTAACATGAAGATGATGATGTGCGATGCAAAAGCGACTCGAAACACACGACGTGTCCCGGCTTCCGGAACAAAAAAAGCTCAACAAAAGAATCATGCCGAGCCTGCTACCAAAAGCAGCAGATTGAGTTCTTGTGTCCTTCTCTGGATCTAGCGTTGCAGCATCATTCCATCTTCACATTTCTGAGATAGAAGTTATCTTCGAGCCTTCGGAGGAACCAAGATGGTTTCCACCGGTCCTCTAAGGAGCGACCGACCCCACAGCAAGAGATCACGCAGAGGGTCACAACTCATCTTAACTTGGCCTTCTATGATAGAATCCATCTGAATTGTGAAAGTACCTTTTCATCTTGTTCTTCATCTAAACAAGCAATGTGATGCGGAGTACTAGAAGTAGTAGTAAGTAAGTACGTAGTAGTTTATCCATTCTGGGGGTAAGTCCAACAAGGAGGGGAAGGGGAATTGTTGCATTCAACAAACAAGCTTTTTTACATTGCTTTCATCTGTTTGTTCTTCTTCTTTTTGCATATATCTTCACGTGCACGCATTATCGCAAACCTTTTCGCCAATGATTTTAGAGTTTGCTTTTCCTTGTTAAATTCCATTTCAAACTTCTGACATTTCCGACATTTGATTCTGTTTTTCTCTTCATTAGACCAAGCCGCTCGGGGGCCTTCTATCTTCGACATCCTCGCATCACTGCCCACCGATAGCGAGTTAGCCTGTCGACAATAAGCATGCTGCTCAGATCCTACCTCAAAACGCAAATCACCTACCGCCCTTCCAGATACTGCGTCCTGCCTTCGCTTCATCCTGCCAAGAATGGCGCAATCTCCTCGCTTGTGTGCTCTCATGCGTTCCTCCATGCAACGACGTGGCCATCACCATCCTACCGCGTTTGCAGTAGAGCTTCCCCACATGCTTGCGGTTCGGCCCTGCTTTTCTCGCCAGCCCCATGGTGCTAGGATTCTTAGGATCTTGTTCTTCCGCCTTCTCTGCTCCTGCACCTTGCCTCCTGCCGAGCCAGGTCGCCCATCCCCTTTTCCAGCCGCGTTGGAGCTGGTGGCCCTTCCTGATGACGCTCCTCGACGTGCTTCAGAAACTGACTGGGTGCAACTCTCGGGCAGTCCCAGTCCCATTCTCCATCAGGCTTCCATTCACATTTAGCGGACAAGTCCACCCCGCCGTTGGCCTCATCGCCTGGCACACTGGAAGCGGATCCAGGGAGTAAGCCCGGAAAAATGCAACAGCGAATCCCGAAGGCGCCACTACTGTCTTCTCCTCATCTCCAGCTAAGTAAGTAGTTCTGAAGGGCCCTCAGTGGCTCGCCATCCCCTCTTGCAGCCGATAGGAAGGAGGACTGCTAGGCATCGGAGACCGCCACTGTTCCTACCAAAGCAGCCTTCTGTATGGTGGGGGCCGTCTCCTCTCCGTGCACTCGCAGCATGTACATGACCAAGGGACACTTTGTCATTATTGAGAATGAAACAGATGCAGCCTCCTCGAAAAAGGCAGGATGTATATTCCCATATAGCAAGGCCAACGCTCCCGAGGAGGCAGTAAGAGGGTCGACCGGGATGCCTCCATGGACCTGCAGCAGCTGTTCTCCACCTTCAATCAATATCATCTCAAAGCACTGCTTTGTTGAGCAGGCATGGATTGCCTCTGACACTACTCCTTCGTGATCAACTAGCTTCTCAGAGTCTGCCCACTTGTCCTCATCCTCCTTTTCCTGGTGATAGCGTCGACGCCCGTGTCTTTCCTGCATGCCGAAATACAGGCTGGCCACCTCCTCAGTTCCATCAAGTTCGCCTTCCCTGCACCAGTCCGCTATCGTTTTTCCAATGTAAGCTTCTCGCTGTGCTGCATACATAAAGCCTTCCTAGTATAGAAGTGCGTCCTGGCGCTGGCCTTATCCTCGCCATACTGTCGGTGTAGCTCCTCTTGTGAGACTGTCAAGCCTTTCGCCATTCCTTCTGCTAGGCCGCATCGCTTCCTCATATGTTGCAAAAAATCCTTGATGAGATCAGGCGCTGTGCGCTCCGAAGGGCCAACAGTGGAAGTGGATGCGTAGCGTGGCTTGAACAAGTACGCCTCTGCTCTGCCCAAGGCGGTATCTTCCTCGACTGCCTCCATCTCGGAATACTGGCAAGCGACACCAACCTCTGCATTTCCTCTACTGCCATGGCCGTCGCCTCACTCCTCGGGCATGCTCTCGCCTGCAACCCGTAGGTCATCACCGTTCTAGACCTGAGGACACAAAAGCACGATCAAAATGAAGATTTTCGTCAAGAATAGGCAGTTGATACATTCACATCATTCAATCGTGAGAAGGACTGAATCTCTACAACTCAGATGTTCACTCCTCTTTTATCTCGTTTTTTGTAGAACAGGTCGGCAATGCTCCTTTTTCTGTCGACGAATGTAGCTTCAATCCCCTGCTAACACTGCATTTGGAAGAAACATGGAGGAGTTTTCGGGTCTTAACCACAAGAGAATAAACTTCATACACACTCAAACAGCCATGACAGTAGGTAGAAATGTGTGAAATTTGTGGTGGTGGTATTTGGAAACAATTGATATATGTGTAGGTCTGTATGTGAAGAAAATGTATGTTAGTATGCACAGATATAGACAAAAATCATTCATGGCAAGAAGAACCGAAAAACGTTTGACAGGAAAGAAACAATGTGTATGAAATATCTCTAAAAAGGGCCAAGTTGACGGAGGATCACCAAGACATTCTTAAAATCAAAGTCAAACAAAAAACGTTCATACTTCAGGATGTTAGGGTGAGAGCAATCGACGAACTATGTCAGCGAGATAGATCAAGAATTTTTCACATGGATGGCATATCGATCCTGATTCTCTTGTTCAGATCATCAACAGCATGTCAGTATTCTGGTTCTTGATTTTGATTTTATTTTGGATCCAGCAGCACAAGGCGAGTTCATTTTCACGGTTCATTCACCACAAAGTCACCGAAAAAACGCCTCATGCTCTGTCACCATCGAAAGTATAAATAAGCGCTTCTGCAAATTGTTTATATTCTTGGATAGTAGTACTATGTGAGTATCCTTGTTGAAGAAGTTTTTGCACTAGTATGTTTGCTTCTTGTTTTGGTATATTGTTAGATTGTAGTCTAAGTCTAGCGAAATGTCCTCTAATAACACCCCTTTCTCTGCGATCCATCCCTGCTGAGAAGGCAGAGGCTAGGGGCTTGTCTGTTAGAGCGGCTGTAACCATTATTTTACTTCTATGGGCTATCTTTATTCTAAGTCCACAAAAAGCGGTAGGCTCCTCTACATCATCCTGGACCAGTGAACATCCCGTATAGAAGTTAGGTCTTAATGAGTCAGGTGTCTGCTGTAGTTGTGTAGCTCTCTGGACAGTAGTGGATACTATTTTATCGTCAGCATAGCGTCGTGAAGTTTCAAGTATTAAGCCTGGCTCAGTGGATTTCTCCATCTCTTCATAGATAGCATATGCGTTAGAAAGTGGGGTGCTGGTTGGGCTCCCCATAGGTGCGCCTTTAGTTTGTTTAAAAATAGTTCCTAGTGCTCTAACATAACTAAATCTGACATCGTGAAGTAGTATTTTTGGTAAGTCCGTGATTTTTATATAGTCGCGAAATCTTGGGTCCGGTCTCCCTCTGGTGAAGGAGATCAAGGACAAACGTTTTTGTAGTCTTCTGCCTTTTTGTACAAAATAGGTTTTATCTCTTCCTATCATTTTGTGTAGTACGGGCATCAAGTTCTTGCTAGATTTGAAAATTCTAGCAAAAATGTAACCCGTTCTGCTAATAAATTCATCGACAACTTTTTGTATTACCACCATGCTACTTTCTAGGTTGCAGTTAGTGAAGAATTCTCCTATGTCTCCCGTGAATACCGCTAGTTGTAAATCTAGTCTAGATGCTTTTTCAGAAACGTTATCGAGATACTCGATGATAGAGGCTGGGTTGGTCAAGAAAAATCTGGAGGAAACCGGGTCTCTTTCAAGGAGATGGTTGACTATTCTCGTAGCGGTGGTATAAATATCTTTGAAGCAGTGGCGCTGGTAGCTTGTTAGTGGTCTCATCTTGAGATCTACAATCTTCCGCTCCTGTTCTATTTTCTCAAAAATCTTGTATGTCTTCTTCTTCATAGTAATTCTCATCTTCGCCCATCTATGCTTTTTCTTACGCTTGATGGACGAGTCAGGGAAAAGCCAAAAGAATTCGTTATTATTGTCATTTTTGAGGCTTTCCCAGCCCGGTAATTGGGTGTACGCTCCTGAGGTGAACATGTGCTTCGTTACTATTTTGTGTAGGACTACCGGACAAACCAGGCTCATGCCAACTTCTTTATCTACTACGTCCGTGCTTAGTCTTTCACAGATGTCTAGGTATCTAGGTTTGGTCTGTTCAGGTCTAACTCCCCTGGTCTCATACGACTTTGCGAAGTCCTTGTATGAGTTGGGAAATCTTACCGTGGAGCGGGTGGTTGGGAATACCCTCGAGGTGAATTTAACTAGTTCTCGTCTTAGGCTAATAGCAGTAGATTTGGGACTAAGGAACCTCGATCTCATGTTCCATTTTCCCACCGGTAGTTCTGTCTCAATGAAGTCACTGTCTGAGCACTCAGTCATGTATCTTTCTAGTGATGATACAATGTGTCCTTGTACTAAATATTTGCTGAGCTTAGGGTGATCTAACAGAATTTCTCGACACCTACATATTTGTGGTAAGTTGTAATCAACATTAGTTTTATTCGCTATATCTACCAACGTGGGTCCAGTTTTAGTCCGAAAACATAGGCTGACCGCAGGTTTGCCTTGTTCTTGATATTGGTGGTATATTCTGATATATGCCTGTATATATCTCCAGAATGCCGGAGTCTTCTTCGTGTCACCTATGTCAACTACGTGGCGGACAAGGCGTTGTGGTCTGTGCTTAGCTAAGTTCCTGATGAGGATCTCATATTCAATCTCATCTAAAACTAGCCTCGCGCGTTTTGTTATGATTGCGCTGGCATGTGTGTGCGTGTCGAAGAACGTCGCGATGTTCTGGGGAAGTACATCGACAAGTCTTCGTGAGAGTGCTATACATATTGCTGTAGCTTTAGATGAGGCGAGTAGAGTAGTTAGTGCTAGGTTAGGCGCGGCGCTAGGCGTGGTCGAGGCCCCTGGCTGTCGTCTCTTCCTTCTCTGGTACAGCTTAGATCTACTATTTTTCGAAATATATAAGGATACTGTATGTAGGTGCGGCGATTGGTGGGTATCCGCTGCTATTTGTGTATTCTGGTTAGCAGCAAACTCTGTTATTAAGTTGGCTTCAGCTGTTCTAATTTGTCTACTAGTAAGGGCGGGAGGTAGGTAGACCAGAGGGATAAAATAATACTTGAAGAATTCGAAGGCGTTACGATAGAAGAACTGGGCGCCTGTCTGTGCCTTACGGATATGAGCAGCAGTTCTAATATCGATTCCTCCTGATGTTTCACCTACGTACGATTTCTTACAGTGTGGCTGCAATGCCATATATACTACATTTGGCGATCCCCTATATCTACAATTGGTTCTATCGTATCTGCTTATCTTCTTCGCCAGTGCCCTTTTTCTCCATGTGTTGCTATCGAGTAGGAAAAGCCTTATTATTATCTCGTCTATAGTGATCATGTATTCACGGACGGTGGATATGACTTGGTTGAGTTTTACCAAAGATGTCTGGAGCGGGCCCATCGTAGTTAGGATCTCAGATGGTAGGAAGTCAAAGTGTAGGGATCCTTGAGCACATTGCGACACTTTAAATAGTCTCTTGGTGACTTTGTTGTAGCTGTAGGTGCAAGCACAGTATCTATGTGATCTGGTGCATCTTGGGCATGTTTTGGTCTGACTATGCTCATGTGATAGTTGGGATATGATATTTCTCATAAACATGATCTTATTTAGAACCGTTTTTCTCACCCTTCGGTTTTCCTCTAAGATCGGTGCTATTCTCAGAAGTTCCCTCACGAAAATGTCCGCAAAGTTGAGGGCGAATGATGGCATAGCTGGAATTCTTGTGCAGTAGTTCGTTCGAAGTTCCCAGATTGGCAGGCTGAATCTGGGTTGTAACCAAGAGTAGATGTTATCAGTCATGGTGACGAGGTGGTTGTTCTAAAGGTTCCCTAGTTCCCCGAAGGGGTCTGCTTCTGTTGTATCCTGGTATGTGTCACCGTGATCCTTCATGTCATTATCGTTCTGATACGTTGCTGCCGGTGGTTGGCTTCTTTGGTCGTCGTAGTACCGGTCGTTCTTATAGTAGTCCACGTCATCATACTCTTCTCCCAGATCCATTTCTGCATCCGCCTGTTGGTTCTGGTCTGGTGAACCGTAGATCTCCTCACAAATTTGATCATATAGCTGTTCTGCATCTGGTTCTTCTTCCTCCTGCGGATGTGCACGTGGTGGCCATTGTGGTTGGCCATCTGGTTTTCCTCCCAGTGGTGAGAATTCATCCTCGTCATCATTTCCGATGTTCTTCAGCAGGGTGCCATCGCCCTTGCCGTCATTGAGTATCTGTCGGTCGCGTGCTCTCAACTGACGTTCCCGTAGCTTCGGGTCGAGTGGAGCTTGTTCTTGTGGGGTGCGTTCGATGATGTCGTTCAGTTGTAGCTGTTTCTTGCGTTCTTGCACTTTCTCCTTCTCCAGCTCGATGGTGAGGATCTCTTGTTGTGCCCCTGCTGCAGCTATCATCACAAACAGGGCGAACTCCGTTGTGGTCCTTAACTTGAATAAAGGTCTGTATGCTGCGATGTACTTCTCGGTAGTAAAATCTCGGACCAGATCAATGACATTTGATTTGATCTTGTTGGACAAGGTGGGCAGTGGTATGTCGTGCTTCTCATACAACAGGCAGGCACCGAAGAGTTGTTCCTTGACTCTCGTAACAGGTGTCGCCGGTCTCTTGTGGCAGAGTGTCGATCGAAGGAAGCATATGGGACGTGACATGGCCTTTTCGAAGTCTTCAGCCTTGTAGTCCTTCGGGTTTCTCTTGATGTTGTTGTCCAGCATGTGCCTAACCGTATCGTTATATGCCTTACCGCATGCTTCCTCTATGCCCTGTATTGCCTTCGTGATGCGTCGCTTCTTCGTATTCTCATCTTCTGCTCTCGGCATACTCTTGTCCGCAGTGGGGGCAGCCGAGTAGAGGTCACTGAGCAAAGCTGTTGTGCTCGGGTCCCTACTGTTCTTCTTTCCATCGCCTTTGGTGTTGGACTTGTTGTCTGTCGGTGGGTAGGCTTGGTGCTTCGCTTTACCGCGTATCTTCGCGTATTGCTCGGCGACCATATTCTGGATGTACGTCTTGTCCTTCTGCTGCTCTGGTTGGTCGTACCAGCCATCATTAAAGACTGTCTTTTGTGTCGCCTCGCCTTCCTTTTTCCACCACGGTTGGTTGTATTCTTCACTTTCCCACCACTTCTTATCCGTTGTAGATCCTGATGTAGGCGGTGGAGCTTGGTGCTGATGTGGTTGTTGATGTTGATGAGCCTCATGTCGTTTCTCGATCATTTCGATTCTTGAGGAGATGGTCGTGAATTGCGTTTGCAAGTTCGCCCCGAATTCTTGGAATTTATTGCCGATAGCATTGAGGATATCACTCTTATCCATGCCCTTCGTGTCGTGGCCTGTTGTCGTGCTGAGTTCCGATTCCGGCTCCTCCTTGGTCAACTTGAGGGTGATAGGAAGACTCTCTAGTGCTTTCTTGGCTTTATCCGCTTTTTCCGTTGTGGTGATCCTCAAACAAATTTCCTGTAGTTGTTTTGCCACCAGACTACTACATACTAGCAGTGAAAGGGAGGCTGATCCGTCCTTCATTTCTGATTCATCATCTACCAGTCTTCGCGCGATGGTCTGCGGGATGAGGAAGTCCTTAGTTGGGAGTTCGGTCGACTTGAACATCATGTGCTCACTCATTTCTTTCATTATCTGCATGCTGGAGATCACCATCGGGTATGTCTCCTCTTCTTCCTCTTGTGCTGGTTTCATTGTTATCGTAGGTACGAAACCTCTGGTCTTCTTGATGTGGATCGTGCCAGATGGATGCGTTACCCCGTGTAGATGTGCGCTATGCTGTTGTTGGTGATGCTGCGTCAGCTGTTGTTGTTGCGGTGTTGTCCAGCCAGAACCTTGGCTGCTTTGCGTCTGTTGTGGTGGACTCCCTAGCTGGATCGAGTTGGAGTTAGTAGCATATGGTTGCTGTGCTTGGTACATCTGCTGTTGTTGCTGTGGTTGGATCTGCGTCGGGCTAGGACTGGGTGGCGGAGGTGAGACGTGCTGCTGTCGAGCTTGTTGTTGATTGGGCAGATTATTCTGCTGGTACTGGGCACTTCCGCCTTGGATCGGTTGCTTTGGCTGGTGTCCGTTTGCAGTGTTAAATTGTCCAATGTGCATGCTCGTGCGATATATCTCTTGTGGTAGGCTCTCTTGTGCTACCATATTTCGGCCCTTCATCCATTTGTTATACGCTAACAGGTCCTGGTATTGATGCGAGAACTGACAGCTGTCTCCTGCTGCGCATGGATTTCCACTAGATGCCACCCGACATGCTTTTACGTACTGGGGGTTGTGATTGAAGGTCTGCGTTCCTCCTCCTGACTGTTGTGTTACGTTCATGCTGTTAGTCATCTTCGCTACTGGCTGGTAATTCACGGGAAGAGGAGATAATTCTTGTTGAGGTTCAGCTCTTTCACTTCTTCAGCGTTTATACGGTGCTATTGCTACTGCCCAATGGTGCGGTCTGGTCTGATGCCTTCTTCGGTTTTCTGTAACCAGATCGCTTTAGATTGAGTTTCGTGATGATTCTCCTATGCTCTTCACTGCGCGGCTTGATGTCAAAGGCGATGTCGTTACCGTTATGGTATTTCCGGATACTTTCCCACCCGTCGAAACCGTTGTTCGGTTTTTCCGTTCTTAGTTTGTAGGTGTTGACGTGGGAGAAGTCAAACGATCCGGAGAAAGCAAGGAGCGACAGGGTGCTGACCAATTCTTCTGTTCGGTTTGCGCACTGGACCACTCTAGCGATTTTTCCTTCGTGCGTCAGTGCATCAGCTACGTTCTCTGATCTTTCCCTACGGTTGTAATATGGGATCGCTAGTTCTGACGTGGAGAATCTCAGGTCGGGAATGGTTTCTGTTCCAAAGTCGTAGTCCAGTAGCCAGGGTCTGTCTGAGCTATTGATCTTCTTCACCAGTCCTTCAAAAAGTTTCTTGCCTAGCACTAGTCCGCTTTTCTTCGTTTTTCGTAGTTCTTCAATCCGAAGCCACATGCACTTCTGTTTATGCGTAAGTGCGAACTGGGGCACTTTATTTTTGCTGGTTCGCGGCATCTTGTAGCATTTTGATGTGGATGGGGTAATACATTTTGATTTCTGCTTTTCAGACTTTCTTCTTCGTTGCTGCCCTTGTGAGTTCAGGTAGTCGTCTCACAGGTTTATGGTGGTCTTGGTTTTTCGATGAGTTCAGATGATCGTCTCATTTGTAACCCGGCTTATGCTGCGAGTTGAGTTCAGGTGATCGTCTCAACTGGTGGTAGGTTTTTTATGCTTTGCTCCCCTTTATTTGTCCATCCGTGGTCTTCTTGTTGTACTATGTCGACTCTTCAGTGTAGATCTTTATATTTATTTCTCTTATGTAGTGCTGTGCTGTGCTGGCTGGCGTGCGTATGAGTATTCACTATTTATCTACCCGTGGTTGAGGTCCATAAATAGTTTAAAATCTCTACAACTCAGATGCTCACTCCTCTTTTATCTCGTTTTTTGTAGAACAGGTCGGCAATGCTCCTTTTTCTGTCGACGAATGTAGCTTCAATCCCCTGCTAACACTGCATTTGGAAGAAACATGGAGGAGTTTTCGGGTCTTAACCACAAGAGAATAAACTTCATACACACTCAAACAGCCATGACAGTAGGTAGAAATGTGTGAAATTTGTGGTGGTGGTATTTGGAAACAATTGATATATGTGTAGGTCTGTATGTGAAGAAAATGTATGTTAGTATGCACAGATATAGACAAAAATCATTCATGGCAAGAAGAACCGAAAAACGTTTGACAGGAAAGAAACAATGTGTATGAAATATCTCTAAAAAGGGCCAAGTTGACGGAGGATCACCAAGACATTCTTAAAATCAAAGTCAAACAAAAAACGTTCATACTTCAGGATGTTAGGGTGAGAGCAATCGACGAACTATGTCAGCGAGATAGATCAAGAATTTTTCACATGGATGGCATATCGATCCTGATTCTCTTGTTCAGATCATCAACAGCATGTCAGTATTCTGGTTCTTGATTTTGATTTTATTTTGGATCCAGCAGCACAAGGCGAGTTCATTTTCACGGTTCATTCACCACAAAGTCACCGAAAACTGCATCTGCAACATCACTTTATTTTCGGTGCTCTGCTCGTCTCTCTTCAGTTAGCCTAGAACCGCATCACAGAAATTTCAGAGTGCTCGACTTTACCAATGTAAAGATACATGATTTTGTTCGCTCGGACTAGAGGCACAACTCCTTTCACCTTATTGTTATTTGCAGCAAAGATGAACAAGCGTATTTTATCTTTATTGATCAACATCATCCTCGTCCAATAACTCTCTTAATCTTGGTCTTGCGCTACAACTTCAGACAAAACGAAATTGATGGAGCAAACAAGATTAAGTATGCTCTCAATACAGAATCGGAATTGAAGCTTCCTCGTACCGTTTCAGTCAAACACACCTCCACGCACTCAGAGTATTGTATATTTGTGAGCGTGAGAGGCCCGAACAAGAAGGATTTTTTTCAGCGTGTCATGACGCTATGTCGTTTCATTTCGTCACCGTTTTCTGAATTTTTTGAGCTTCAAAATCCCGTATGTGATTCATGATGATAGTTTATCTTTATGTATTCAAAGATACAAGAAAACTACATCTGCTACGGTCAAAACAAAATGGAACTTCAGAGCCAATGAACAAACGGTAAGAGCGGAGGTGGCACCGCATCTTCTTCTCATATTCGACCAAAACTCATTTATTTTACGGTAATATTTATCATCAAAAAATTCTCGTGATGTCTATCTTTTCTGATAAATTGGTTTTGCACCCTGCTTCTAAATCTTTTGTGTCTGTATCAATCCTCTGGGTTCATCTTCCACTACTTGTTGTTGTATGTCCCGTGTTCTCGAACATGATAATTTTGACATTGATATTCACATTAATTATGGTATCGCTGAAGATGGAGTAGACCCATCTACGTATTTATCCATCTTAAACATGCCGTATGTCGTACATGATTAGGAATAGCCTTCTGCTTTTATTACTGGAATTCCCTTATCCATTTTCTCCGGCGAACGCCATCGAGTAGGCCTTCATTCGGTGTCCAATGAATGTTGCTCCAGTTTACCGCATAGGTCCAGCCTTCGGGATCTGTCACTCCCTTCGTCTTAACGATCCGCCACGGCCCTTTCGGACGCCACAGCCTCGAAAATACGAACGGAGGCTTGCGGGCACGCTGGCTTTGCTCTCGACTCAATTTCGGGTCAAGGAGTTAGAAGAAAGGGAGCTTACTAGGCAAGACAGCAGATGGAGGCTCATCCAGTGAAACTACTCACCTGAACCTGAGGAGCGTTAGGTTTCTTCTGATGATGCAAATCTACTCGGCAGTCTGCGTAAGATTTCCCTGACGAATTCGACCCGCTAATCTAGCTTGTTGTTAGGTTTCTTCTATTGCAGTATGTTCTCATGATTGATGCCATAAATGAAGGGGTGTTTTTGCATGCCCTCTGTGGTGAGCCACTTCCATTTGCTATCGCCGTCTGTGGGCAAAAACGGGGGTCCCCATTCAAACAGCTTGTTACGCTCTACTTCGTAGCATTCGACTATGCGCGTTTGCACAGAAGCTGAGAAACCCGCTGCGGCTTGTCTGGAGTTGGTGTTAGAGGTAGAAGATGACCTAGAAAGTTTCGAAAAACTAGTAGAGGAAAGCGGAAAAAAATGAGTTTGAGTATGACAGTACCAAGACCAACAGCCAATGCCAATTATGCTGCTCTTCATCATTCAAGGTAGAAGAACAGGCGATCTTCTTCAGTAGTTCATCAACACATGATCAACGGGTAGAAGTCATCTTCATCTCAAGAAGTTGAGGTACCTGTTCTTCCTGTAGTTCAACTACTTACACCTTCTCATAACCCTTGCACCTCCTCCTCCTCGTCCTGCGCCGTCGCCTGTGATCGGTGCCAGAATGCTTTGACTTGAAGGCAGAAAAAGTTCTAGGTAGAGTTTGGATCGCAAAAACAAGTCCATCGCGTCTTTCACGAGTCTCCACTCCCGCGTCGCACCCCTCAACACTTTCAACAGTTCCCGCAGCACGGAGTGGTCTGGTGGCTCGATGATCTTACTAGAAGACGACAATGTTGCTGCCTTGTTACCGGCAACCCGTCCTCCAGCTTGATCAACATCTTGACCGCTCGCAATTGTGATGTCATCCATAAAAATATTCTCGTCAGCGTCTGCAGGACGATTTTTATTGTTCTTGGAACGATTTTTAACTGCTACCTGCGTAACATGGTCGGCGCCCTCTCCTTCGGGCTGAGCGAGACGATGGTCTCTTGTGACTACATCTCCTTCGCTTTTTTGGTCGGATCTAAGATCGATCTGCGTTTGATTAGGATCGACAACTTCCGCCAGAAGTGTAGCAGATTTTTCAAAACGTTCATCGCCTCCAGCACCTCCCAGAAAATCTGTAAGGTTCATACTTCCAGGTGATGCTTCTTTCTTCTCCTGTAAAAATTCTCTGCCAGCACCATATTTTTTGTGTTTAGCACCAGGGGTCCTCGTATTATGACTAGCTCCACCAGTTCCACCTGTTGTGTGTTCCTCTCCGTCTGATTCATCCACGTCTAGCATTTCATCTGCGTGATCTACTTCTCCTGCCTCGCCTTCGCCATGACGTTTCTTTTTCCGCTTGACTTTCTGACGGCCATGATCTCGTCTTGGCGATGCTATTTCCTCGTCTTCTTCGTCGGCAATAGTATCCAACTTAGGAGAAAATCCATCACGGCGACGTGAGGCCTTTGACTGAGCTATTGATGAAGATTGATGGCCCTCTAGTTTCTTCGATAAGCTGCCAGACGACGCCGCGGGACTCTCTGATCCGGGGGAAGAGCCTCGTGCATGGTCTTCTCCACTACTTTTGGTTGAACTAGTTGCTGCTCCACCACCACTTCCGAGCACCCGTCCTCCTGCTCCCACATTCGCGAGAAAGTGGCTTGCAGTCGTCGTCGTGTACCTCGTTGGCACAGACGTCGTCTCCCAGTCTCTGTTTTGCTCTTCTTCTTCCCGCTGCCGGTCTAGGCGATAGCGCTTGTAATTTCCGCCAGCGATTTTGAATGCTCGCTCCAGACTGCTCTGCTCCCAGTAGAAGATATCGGGTGCAATCTCGGCTGAAAGGTCGACTTTGCGCATGCGATTCCATTCGGCACGAATGTAGCCGAGGGGAGGGAGCCGCCGCTGCTCGCCGTGCTGCAAATGCATGATGACAGCACCTTTCTCTGTCGTAACTTTCGACAGCTTCGAAAGCTTCAACTGCCACTTGATCTGAAATAAAAGAGGTTGTCCTGTTTAGAGAAAGTCAGAATGAAAGTTCTTCTTCTTGTACAACTAACTAACTAGTAACTAACTAACTTTGAGCGGCCTGCTCAACAATAAAATTCAGTGTTTTAGTCCATCTCCATGTGAGTACTGGCAGAAGAGGAATAAGAAGTTAGTACTCTGTTTCGTACGGCTGGAGTAGCCGCATTTATGTCGTAGACATTTTCCATTGGATCGTCGAATATGAGGTCAGCTGTTTTTTGCATCAAGCCTCCCACTGTGGCTGCCGGGACTAGTGCCGCACTAAGTACGTTAGATCCTGCCTCTCCGAGTGCAGAAAGGACGTTTACTTCTTCTGTTTCTCCAGCGGCCGCTGCTTGCTTCAGCATGGCCAGCTCGCCCTCCAATCGCATCGGCACTCTGGCTAAGGAAACTCGATCGACGTGGCAGATTAGCACGTAGAACGCAACCCCGTAGTCGACCTCGACTGCGTCTTCGCCTAAAGTTCCTTCTTCTGCCGCGCCAACCAGCCCTAGAGGTACGAGCAACTCTGCGTGGCGCGCGAACAGAAAGCAGTGGTGCACAACGCGTGCCTGCACAGCATCGTAGCACGACAGAGTACCGAGTGGCCCACTCAGGAACCTTGGCAGCCTTCTGCGCTCTACAAGGGACCGATGCAGAGCGGAACGACCTCCCCGGTTCTTGTCGCTCGAGATGCCAGCACTGATGCCTTGACCAACATCAGAAATCGCTTCCCCAATTTTGCTGACGGGTTTGACAAGTGTGCCCATAAGCCCCTTGCCCAAGCCAGTAAAAAAGCCTGCAACGCCGTCCTCTTGCGCACCTTCGATGGGCTTCACGAAGACATCCAGCAGGCCAACCGCGCCGTCTCCCAGCGATTTGAGAGCCTCCCCGCCTCCAGCAAGGATGCCGTCGATTTCCTGCTTTTTCATTCGTCGGATCCGTCGCTGCTCACGGATGTAGTCTTCGTCGAAGGTGAAATGAGAGAAAATGTGCGCTCCGTCACTTAATAGGCCTCCAAAACTGTCCACAAAAAGCGTGCCAGTCTTCGCCAGTGCTTGCAGGGGCGAGCGCGCGAGTGTGAGCGTGCCACTTTTGCCGATCACGTGCATTACATTCTGAACCAAGTTTCGCGTGTACACGTCGAGAAGAATCTGGACAAAGTTGACCATCGAACCGCGAAAGGGCGTGATGCGAACGATTGTCTCGTCATTTTCATAAGCCGCGCCGGCCCCTTGTTCCACTTGCCTGGACGCCGCGTCCTTTGAATGCGCTCTGCTCCTCACACCTGACCCACCGTGCTCTTCGTAGGTATTGGATGTGCTTAAATGCTGCGGTGGGCCGCCAAGCGAAGGGAATTCTAGCTCACCGCGCTCCACGGTGAACGAATTCCCGAAAGACAAAACTCTAAGTACCGTTTTCGCGGATTCAGGCAAGCCGTCGATATTGTCCAGCAAGAGCTCCACCCAGACCAGGAGACCTACCTTAGAAATACGCAGTTGATCGATCTGCAATATGGGTGGCACATCGGGAATCCTATAGAGCGGATCGAGGGTCACGGGAACATTTGCCAGATGCTGGACCTCCTTCCACGTAAGAAGTCCCGACATCGCCTCTTTCCAGGTAGCGGCGCCAGCAGCGTCGGTGGCATTAGCCGAAGCATCACTCGGAGATAGGAGACCTCGCTTCTCCTGCGCTTCCCGCAGTCGCCTGGAGGCCTTGACGTAGTGAGCGCGCATTTTGACAAACGGAGTCTTCGGCGCCGTGGTTTGCCCTGGTGAAGGTGTCCCATCATCTTTTGTTTCAGTACCCTGATTAAGCACGTCAGGCCCTCCAGGAGTGGCCCCAGCTATGCTGATAGCGTCCTCTAGCTTGTTATTTAGTGGATCTCCATGGCACATCAATGTCTCCATGTAGACTGGATCATTATCATCTAGGTCACCCGCCAGAGACGTGAAGCTCATGAGATTCGAAGGCGGCGCGACATTGGAGAGGCCGCTTGCAGCTGCTGCACGACACGCGAACCCGGTGGTTCCAGACGTGGTGTACGAACCTCTTCGCGCAACGTCGCGCAGACGGGACAGCACGTCATTACTGCTAGAGGTTGTAACTAGGTGGACAACGTCGTTCAGCTGTAACGGAGGTAGGCTATTCAAAGCGACTCCCTCGAACGCCTTACATCGGTCAAGATAATGCAACAGCTTCTCTTCCGTCACTTGAAATTGTGTCGGAGCAACCAAATTTTTTCCTGCATCACTCTCCCGCGCAGTCACAAACGTTCGCGACTGTCTACTTTCCCTGACACCGTCGGCTGCAGCATCAGCGGCGGTTGTCTCACTCAAGCCAGTGATTCCCGCGCTGGACGATCTTGGTGCACTGCTTCTTGAAGAAGCTTGTTGCGACAAGAGATAGCTCGATAAGTATGATTGATCCTCAATCGAATAGCCGTCAATGAAAAAGTCCAGTTGCCCACTGCTCCCGTCGTCCGCCAGCGTGCCTACGGCTGCCCCATTGCCGCTTAGGTCTAGCTGCGCAAATTCCTCGAGGCCCTCTTTGATTTCATCGTCAAAGTTGATCTCTAGGTCATCGATGTTGACTTCTAGGATGGGAATCACCAAATCCCGACTCGCAATCGCTGTCCGCGTTACCAGCACCTCCAAAAATGGCACCGTACCCAACTTACTGCCACGGTTGCCCATCACGACGGGCATGGCGGTGTCGATACTATCCCACAGCAGTGTTCGCGGTCCCTGATCTCCGGACGAGCCGCCAGGCGCGCCCGCGGCATTGTGTTGCACGAGAGGCTTTCTTGTTTGCAGCTGGCAGTCAGCTTGCATGTCGGAGACGACGACCTGCAGCGTCATCTTGTCAGGTTCCTGCACCATCACGGCACGCAGCAGGTCCGCCTGTAGGTACAAAAACTCTTCACAACGACGTTCCGAAACGAGGGAAATCCCTAACCTGTTTACATTGAGCCGCATCTCGAAGGACTGTATCAGATTCATGCGCTGGCTCAATTCCTGCTGTGACGCGTGCTCGAGCCGCACCACGTTGCGCGCGCCTTCTCTCGTCACGCTGAGGAGCAAGGGATTGTCGTGAAGGCGACGAAGCAAACCTTTGGTCTCATTCAACTGGTGTCGGCGCGCGTGCAGATGTTGCCTTGTGCGTGCTGCAGTGTCGCCTGCAGACCCGGCAGTGGAAGAGCGGAGCTGCTGTATGGCGTGTCCTTCGGCCAATGCCTCTCCGACAAGCTTGCGTCCGTACAAACTGTGACTGCTGATGTCGTACGTGAAGTACTGGATACGATCGATCAGCTGATTCGTGTGCGTAGAGCGGATTTCGATATCTAACAGCCATCTTGTCGACAAAGTGCTTTGCGCTGATTGCAGTGCGCCTGTAGCAGTGCTAGAAGAACCAGAACGAGGGCCGCCACCTCCAGCGCCACCAATAACTCTCCGACCCTCGCCAGGGCCGCGCGCATGGGCGTGCCCACCTGTTGGCGTTGCTGCACTAGTTGTTAGCCTCAGCCGTAGTCCATCCTGGTCCCAACTCGACCCTTTTCCCCTTGTATTTCTTGAGAATACAAGGCAAAAGGGGAGCAAGATGCGGAGAAAGATGGATAAAAGCTAACCATAAAGTTGTCTTTCGTGCCGCTCCTTTGAGATTCACCATGCCAAGCAACGTGCTCAGGGAATCCTCGTCCTCGCCTTTTTTTGTTTCGTGCGATGCAACAGCGGCATTGACAATATGCTGCTTTTGCTCCTGTTCTAGCCATAAGTCTGCCTGGGGCTCCAGCCATCCATATGGCGTTGTAGTGAATGTTGGCCCAGCACCGGGAAAGCTGCGGAATAGGTCGCTTGCTCGCTGCGAACCTAGCAACGTCTCGGCAGCCAAACGGATGAATGCGCCAGCACCTTCGACGTCTTCCTCTCCTGCATCGCCAAGAACTGTGAAGTCACCACCAGGTGTGACCGCGCGTGCGGTAGTTGCTGTTGACGACGTTGAGTCGTTACTCTGGTACGACAGAACGGATGCTCTCAACAACTCCGCCTGTGGCCCTGGGACCACCGGCGGCGCCTTTATCCTCTTATTCAAAACCATGTAGAAATCTTTGCAGTGGTTTTCGGCATAGTAGCTGCTGCCCACGAGAAAGTTTACGCTGAGCATGCCACGTTCCGGACAGATCTCCACAGTACCGACGACTCCCGACTCCAGGACGAACGGAAAGTCCCCTGCCTGATCGTCGCCCAAAACGACGAGCGCGCTCCATTTCTGCATCCCTTGAATCCGAAAACGAATGGCCCCAAGGTCCTGAGAGGGCTGAATCGTGCCCGACCCTGGTATTTCTGCGCCAAACTTGTCGAGCTGACGCGGCTCCAGCGTGAAAATTTTGGGTTCGCGAACCGTCACATGCTGCCGACTCAAATGCGGGTTTTCTGCTAAAAGCTGGTCCTCCCTCTCGATCTCCGCATCCAGCAGCCTCTGCGGCAGGTCTTTCGTGGGAACCCGCAAAATTTCAAACTCGGTGTCCACCGTTTTGTTGTGGAAGATCAGCCTCGGCAAGACCTGGAACATCTCGGACACAGTCCCCATGATCGAGATCTCGTTTCTCTGAATGCAAAGGTTGAGTCCCCGGTCGAAGATGAAAAAGTCCGAGGGCAGTTCCACATGTCGGTTTGCGATCCCCAGAGTGTGCGGCGCGGATTGCTCCTGCTCGTTGCTGTAGGTCGCGACTCGGGCTGCAGCGCGCCCACCTTGCTCTGCGTGGTCGCCAGAAGTCGCGCTCTCCGCGTCGTGCTCGAGCCGGTTGCCTAAGATCGTGTTACCTTTGAAACTTGGAAAGTTGTCAATCGGCAATTGACTGCCACTTCGGTCCGTCATCCAGATTGGGCAGTAGACTTTGGTACGCAGTCCCAGCTTTACCTGCACTTCTACGGGCTTGTGACGCGCGTGCTCAAGCACGCAGCTCACCGTGCGATTGCCAGTATGAAGAGTTTCCTCGTTTTGGTCGCTTGATGCGGCTGCCGTCGCGCGTGACTTGCGGTTGCTGCCCGTCTTCTTCAGCCGCCGCTGGACCCGCTGGAGGTGCGCGCGGCGCCTGCTCTCCTCAATGTACGGCGAGAAGGATGGCAAATACGTCTTGCGATTCACTTTCACATTCTCATTCACATTCGTGCTGGAAGATCCTCCTTGCTGACCACCTCCACGAGCAGCACTCCCGCTTCCTGCGCCTGCCTGCTGCAGCCCCCGCTGCTGTTCTTCCGCCAATTTGAGACGTTTCGCTGACATCGTGCCGTACTCTCCGTCGACAATGCGCAGGAACATGCGAATCTGACCTCTAGGATCGAATTCGTGACAGTGCCACACGGTCATGGGCTCCACCGTGAATTCGCAACGGACCTTCTCCTCAAGCGGTTCAATCACCACGTAGAGTTTACACGGTAGAGCGTTCTCAAACATGAGCGCTGGTAGCATATGCACTTCACGGACGGCTTTGTTCATAGGTGGCCCTAGCAGCTTCCGCTCCACAGCAAGCAAAAAGTGAAAATTTGGCTGGTGTTGTTGCGGAGGCGTAGTCTTCTTAGAAGTAGCCTGTTCTTGTGCGTGTGTAGGTCCCGATTGTTCTCCTGATCGCTGGCCATCTGCCTTTGTCTCCCTGTTGCTCTCCGGGGCGGCAGAGTCTGGTGAAGATACGCTCTTGCTTTTGGCACCAGCTACCGGAGACTTGGGGAGGGAAATTCCGAGATCCTCTTTCGGCAGAGAGAAGATGCCGAGACACCACTTGGACTCCCGCGGACCAAGCACGCGTGCAAGATCAAGAGGCACTGACCACTCAAAATCGAAAATTCGAAAGGATACGCTGTTAGACATTACTGAAACAAATTCTAATGGGTTCAGCGACCTTTTTGGAGGTGGTGCTCCCAAGGTCGGCAAGTCTGGTATAGATGCGCCACCAGTCGCACTCGTCATCGCACCTACATAAGTGTCGCTGGTGCTAGAAGATGAAAGTTTCGAACCTGGAGTAGCTCCCGAGGCAGGGCGTGGCAGCGGAGCCACTGGACCCGATGATCGTGGTGACTGAGGACGCGTTGCTCTGCTGCTTCCTGCTGTGGCCATAGCTTTTTCTCGCTTTTTCAAAGCGATCCGGTAAGCAGCGTCGACTCCGACCTGCCGTTCGAAGTCCATGGCTTTGTGAGCATCGTAGAAACTATGGCGCGGGTAGACAATCCACTCACGAACAAACTCCTCATTCATAAAAGCGCATTTGCTTGCCAGACTGTCAATCGGTAAGAAGCGATCTGCCGAAACGCTCGTCCTACGACCCCCCGGCGACGTTGGTGCTGATGACTCTGAGTCTGATTAGAAAACGTTTGCTACTACTACCTATAACAGAGTAATTTGTAGTAAAGTTTGCCAGCTCGCACGGCATGGATCGCATGGAGTTGCATGGAGCTAAAGAAGGCGCTTCTTGCGCCCCTCATGGATCTGCGCCCCATGCACTCGATGCTACTCCATGCGTGCTAGTATATACTCCTCTACTATAAATATAAGGTAATAACAACTTTGACAGGACGAGGAGGCAACAGCAAATGGTCACCGTTGTGACTGTGAGGACTCTATGGGGAATACTGTAAGAACTTTTCGTTCTTTTCGCGAAGTTCGAAGGAGCCTTAATCATCCGGCATTGGAATACTGCGTCCAGTTGTCGGGTCGCACATTTTCAGCTTACAAGGCACTGAGAGGAAGTTGTGCAGCGTAACGGATGTCGTTAGCAGCAGCACTTTATGCGAACTGTCAGGAGCAAACATTCTTGCCAAGAAAGAGATATTTTTGAGCGACGTGGCACCTCCGAAGTCTATTGCTCCTTCTTGAAACACAGAGAGTCGATGACGGCGAGCGACCACAAGACCGGCATCCTCGGGTCGTCGAGCCCGCGAAAAAGGACCTCCTACTCCTTCAGGCGAGGACGCTGTATTCTTGATGTGTAGTTGTGCGTGCTCTTCTTTCATCAGCGTTGCTTCATCAAGATCTTGTGCTTCTGATGCAGAAGACGAGGCACTTGGCGAGGATTTTTGATCCGAGCCGGAAGATCCGGAAGACAACTGCCCATGAGTCGTTTTTTTTCGTTTTTCATGAGACTTTCCACCAGTTGTAGCTTCTCCCTGTTCAGCCGCCTGCAGCGGTCGTTTTGTCGTCTGATCTAGCACATACCCAGCTGCCGGAGTGACTGCACGCACATTGAACCATCCTGGCGCCATCTGCTCGCCCAGCGGGCTTGCTTGGACAACTCGACAGTCAATGCTTTCGGCCAGCGTCGGAAGAATGCCCGTGTCTAAGGAAAACCATTCCTGGGGACCCTCTATTGGTGGGATGACGAAGGTCTCGGCTTCTCCTGGTGCTCGATGCTTGGGTAGTTTTTCTTGTCGCATTTTTTGCCACTCAGCCGGACCTAAGCCCTTCGGCTGCACCATCATGCGCGGGCCCGACATCGAAGTCGATGGTATCTGACCCATTGCCACTCTTTCTCCTGACGGCGAAGACTGCCCCTGAGTTCTTGTAGCCCCTTCTCTAGCAGATGGAAGATTGTCACGACCCATCATGAAATCGTGCTCGTGTCCTTCAGCATCGAACGCGCCATAGCGAAGGTTGTACGTCGTGGTTGCCAGACCTCGCGGTGTGCCTCTTGGCGTATTCAGACCTTCTCCTCCTGATCCGTTCATCGACGACGAAGTGCCACCAGTTCCCAGGAAGGAATCATCTTCGGAAGACGAAGAACTACCATCGCTGCTGCTTTCATTTTCATCACTGTCTTCACTTTCATCTTGGTGCTGATTATCTGCCACAGTAGTCCTTCTCGTTGCCCGCTTTTTATCACCTCCACGCCCGCCCCCAGCTTGGTCTGCATCTTGGACCACCGGGTAAAATCTGATAGCACAATGAAAGGGCAAAATGTTGACGCATCTGAATCGTGTGCCAGACCAGGAGGTCATCTGGTCATCGGCACGACCATCAGACTCGTAGCTATAGGGCGAATACACCGGGTTCGGCTTCGGGGCAGGGTAAGAAGATGCTAACAGCGCCACTCGCACAGCGGACTGCCGTAACTTATCTTTCTGATAGACCCTCGCGCCTCCACCTGCGAGTAGAGCATTAGTTTTACGCAGTGCTCCGCTTTGCACGTCACTGGAAAGCAATGATCTGTCCGAATCTAGTGTCGCTCCTGAGATCGGAACTCCTGGATACTCTTCGGGCTCAGCTGCTCGCGGAGACTTAGCTAGTATACCAACAGTTCCGTCAACTGGACTCACACCATGAGAAGCGCTTTCCCCATGGGGACCTGTCTGATTGTCGCTTGTTGTAGTGCTCGCGCCGGAACCTCCTCCTCCGAGTCCTTCACTCATAAAATAAGGCAAGAACCACGCTAACTTTTCCAGAGGTGTTGGTGCGATGTTAAGCAAAAGCGGCTTCACCGTGCCTCCTAGGGACATTTTCATGCGACTCTCTGCATCGACATTAATCGCTAATTCGTTGAAGCAAAACGGTTCCAGAAGCGGCTCCCATGCACCGTTGCGAGTATTGTACTGGTTTACGTCCAGAAAGAGACCTTTCTCGGTCACCAGCGAGTACCCGGCACCAGTGCCCGGCATATGGTACAGTAAGTCTGGGAGGCGTGCATTGAACTGCAAAACCGGGATCACAGTATCTCCCAAGGTGACAGCCATGTGCTCAAATGAAAACACGATCATCGTATTGGACCCCCCGCCGGCGCTTGCAGCACTGGCAGTGTCACTGGGAGCACGAAAGTCGTCTATATCTTCCAACAAGGCACCCTGAAGACGAGGGTCTTCCTCCCCCGCTAAGAGGGTCCGCGGCGATGAGGGTTGCACATTCAGTCGTCTCGCATTCATCTTGTCTTGGCGGGAAATTTGCTCTTGCATGTTCAAATACCGAGAGCGTATGCGGGAAAGATAGACGTCCGCACTTTTGAGCGAACTCATGTCCAAATTTTGTTCTGAAGACACGACATTTCTATCCCCAGGATAGAGATTCTCTTCAAGAGAAGTGCTATGATAGCCTCGTCCACTCGTGCTGGTCCTGTCCTGCGAGCCATGCCTGCCACCAGAAGCTGATACTATGTTGCCACGACTGGAACTGGAGCTTGCAGAAGTAGCAGATGAAAATGTACTGATTCTGTCTGATACAACAGTGCTTTCGCTCTGCGGACCTGAATCACGAATAGCCGGGAGCGGCATGGGCCATCCCCCTTCTGGCAAAACGGTTGCGGTAATCCAGTCACCGAGCGCCAGCAATATTCTCAGTGCTTGGGGGGCTAGATGCAATTCCGTTCGACCCACCTGGACTGTAAGAAAGGTGTTGGAACCCATGTCCGTTTGTATGACAGTGCTGATCGGCACCGGCTTGAGCACGTAGAGGCGCTCCTTTAGCGCAGTGGTGACCTTCAGACTGGTATCGTTCATGTAGACCTGAAATTTTGCGTTGTTCATAGTAAATGGAGTCGGCGAAAACAGCAGTAGGTTGCCTAATTTGAACGATGCGGAGGCTCTTCTACGCGA